GCAACTTCTATCTCAACTAAAAACGATCCTAAGACCTGTACTATTACTTATTCTGTGCCTGAGGCCTTTAAATTTCATAGCAGACTTATCAAGAAAGGGAACAACACCGTATAGCCTTTTGCCAGCTGTCATCGCCTTTCGCGCGCTGTCAACCGTCTCGAGTTGATACGGTTACAATCTCTTTCCGGATTGATAAAAGTGTTACGTCTTTTAAGCTTCCGTAAATTGTTTATAACTTAATCTAAACAAATATACTTACTCACATGACGTAGGTAATTGTTTACGTTATTATTCATGCAATACTTAACAACGTTCAATATTCATACACGACTGGTAATTAAGTTATAAATTTAACGATGCGCTGTCGCTGCTATAAATTATGAGAAATTGCCGTAAATTCTCCGATGAGGCGCGCGAACTTTGGCCATCGAGTGAGGCAGTCCCAGCTATGGGAATAGATATTAAGCTTGGTAACATTGAATTTTAATGTAGAATTTTTGGTTAAACATTGGATTAGCACATCGTTTTTTTAGGGTTCCATAAGAAAGGCCGAGGTAAGTTGTAATAGAGGAGAAAATTAAATGTGACATTGACGATTTTTAGAAATTTAACTAGAGAGCTCGTAACAGTGTGCGTTAGTTACCTAATATGTTTCCCAAAATCGACTATAATATCACAACTCTCCTCTGTTGCAAGTTGCAACTCATGTCGGCCTCCCCTACCTTAAAAGTTAGAGACGGAACCCTCACTTTTTTGACGTCTGTCTGATTAATAAGACACTTTATTTCTAGAACACGTGAAGGTATCGAGTTGAAATTAAAACCATATACGCAGGTCTACAGTCCCTCTCTGTATTTTTTGTTACTTAAGTACCTAATTTACTTTCAATTCACAATCTTTGAGAGTAAGTATTTTAATACATCGTTAAGAGCTTGTAATGGCAGGAATGGGCTCTCAAATATGTTTGTCCTTTAATTAAATGACCAATCGATCAAGTGCCTTGCGAGTTGCGAGTTATGTGTGGTTTCTCGGTTAAGTGGCTCGTCGATATTTGGTCTCGATTAAATGGTCTGTGACATTTAAATGTAGATATAGAGCTACTAGCATTCTTCATTTAATTTTATTTGCATAATACGTAAAATAAACACTTCAACAGTAATAAATAGAGATATAATTTTTTTTTTGAACGAAAGTTAATTAAAATTTAATTTGTGTTGTTAGGATTAGGGACCCGAAGTTGACTAGGAAAAATGACCCTTCATAGGATTACTCTATTGTCTTTATATTTCTTCAAGACTATTACTCAAAAATATACCTAAAGAAGTATATCACGTTGAAAATAATAATTAAAAATGAATAATTACACTCACAACTCCTTATAGAATGTTTATCATTAAAATTATATTTTTTTATAAAATTAGAGACGTGTATTTCAACTGGAAGAAAGATTCGTACTTGGCCAGATTTTTTTAAGTGTCAGGGACAAAAATTAGCTCAGGGAAAAAATTAAACGTCCTACTTAAATATCAACTCGAAACAGTAAACGATTCTTTTAAACCTCTGTTAAAAATAGGCTTTTCACTTAATTTTGTTTGCTTCATTTGTCAAAGTGAGCTTCGTTCACAAAATTTTCCAATGACCAAGTAATCAACAAAAGGTGTCCCCGAAATTGGCTCTTACCATTTTTCTTCAAAACGTGGCTTGTCACTCGATCATTTTGAGTGTTTGTCATCGTTTTTTTTGTAAGTTTTTAATTCAGTATAAAACAGTCAACAGGCATTTATGCTGATAATTCCGTGACCTTATTAAAGAGGAGATGAAAAATGGAAGAAAAGATGGAATAAAACACAGGAAAGTATCACATTATAGACGATAGGCTCATAAATTGCTTTCAATCAGCGAGTTTTGATTCTTCTTTCAGTAGAAAATCACACCTGACATTATACATCTTTATACTTTGTTACGCCATAGAAATGGATGGATAATCTTGAAAAAAGAAATAAAATTAAAAGAAAAGTATCTTAAGATTGCTATTTTGATGATCCTTAAAAATCTTTAAATATAAATATCCTTGGACATTTTACACTGCGTATTTAGTCCCAAACTAAGCAAAGCTTGATCTATGGGTACTAGACAACGGATATAAACACATACTTAAATACTTTTTTTTTTAAATATACCTACATAACCATTTTATATACAAAACATCCCGACTAATACAAGAATTATAGAAAGTAAGAGCCTTCTTTTATCTTATAACACATGGTTAGAAAATAACTATCTTCCCTATGTAACTAGGTACTTAGTACACTACCATTTAAGGCTTCTTTAAAGCACATTTTTGTCTGATACATTGGCGTAATCAGCAAAGGGCATCGTTTGAGTGTACTTTAACCATACACGTAAATTGAGTTGAAGCAAGCCCTCTTGGGCCCTGTTTATCAAGAGCAAGGGCAGAATGTAAATCGTTCGTTAGATCTCGAGAACATGATATCTTACGAATGTTTCATTTTTTCTGAAATAATACGAGTGTTTTGGATGAGAAATCACAGAACCTTTTACGGTTAATCACGTAGTATTGGGTTCTTAGAAATATTTTTCTATATTATGTTCTTGTCATAAATAATAAATGTTATGATCATATAAAATAAGTTATGAAATATGTAACTAGAGATATTAACTGAATATTATGTACCTAGTATGTACTTGTATTTAAGAGAAAGCTTGCCCAAACTCGGTAAGTATACGTGCCTAGTATGTATTACCTAAATTTCTGCGTAACGTTTGTTCCATTCAGCAACCTATGTTCAGGTAAATGCAATGCCTGAGTTTGCACTTCAAATGGCACCCATTAGATGTGGTATAGATCAAATAAGACAGTCAGACACTTTTTCTTAAAACTTCCATAGGTACTTAGTATAATTAGACTACGCTGCGCTTTCCGGAAAGCGGCGACGTCCACCCATAAAGTGGACCGACGACCTCATAAAGGTAGCAGGAAGATACTGGATGCAGGCCAAAACCAACTGGCTATTGTGCAGCTGTGGACGTGGCTGAAATAATGATGATGATGATGATTAGTTAGAGTACAGGTACTTGTGAGGGGGCTTGTGAGCCTTTTTGAACAAAAAGAAATAAATGCTCCATTTTACTCGTACATAAAATAATTAGCAGGCAGAAAAACGCATAAGGTCATTTAGTTTCAACTACAGGAACGCTCTCTTTAGTTAACCACAAACAGAAATGGAGGATTTTGCCTGTATACCATGTATTACTTAGTTATAATTGTGATAACTGGTATTAATTGCTAATTAAATTAGAGTCCCACAAATTTTTTTTCTACAATCCGACCCACCTTAACCACACTCTCTATACAGTGTTAATTTTAGGTTAGCTTTCCTCTCTGAACTACGGCTGAAGACAATTTACACCAACATCCTAATGGACGTGTTCACCGCCATTATCCTAAATAATTAGTTTAGGCAGACGAGCTCAGGTCCTGAGGGAAATTACATTACACAGGTTACTGGAAAAAACAGCGCAATTGATTCTAGAAAGGTCTCCCATCGCAGGACTGAATGCTGAATAATTGAGAGGTGGTTAAGGGTGTATATTGTTTAATTATGTAGTTATATTAAACGAGGCGTAGTTATATGGTAGATATACCTAGGAAGGGTCAAGCGCTCCCTAGAATGAATATTTTACGGAAATTACCCTATAACTTCTGTAGGGCAGGGAACAAAAAATGGAACCGTCTAATATCTGACACCTGAGTTACTCTCATACAGACTTGTACGTATTAGGACCTTAGAGACCTACCTGAAGAGTTGATCACGCAAAATACACATAAAACTAAAACAAAAATTAATTCTAAGTATAGAAACAGAGCATTAACGTTTATTAAATTAAAATGCGCGATTATTATAAAACTCAATTTGAGACAAATATAATTATGTATGTATATTGTATAGGTTCCAAATGCAATCTACAGGGTGTTNAGTAAAAGAGGAGTAGGCTTTACAAAATGCCCATTTAGCGCGGATTGAGGACACTAATCGCCTTAATGGACCTGTCATATAGATGACAAAACGCTTCTCCATATTTCGAAGATAGGTCATAGCCTAAAAATAGCGTGTCTCTAGTGCTGACCCCTATGATGACACAAAATATGAATTTTGTTTACATAGGGGCCACTTAACAATTAGGGATTGATAGTGAAAACGGGCTTAGGTCTTTTAAGACCTCGGAGGGCACTTGAGTTTAAAAACGTATACTTTCATCTACCTTCTATCAGCGAACCACATGACGTATAGTGACTACACCGCTTTTCCTAGAAAACTCGCTCTGTCATAGATCACATGGTCACAATTCAGATGATAAGATTGTGATCAGTCGCAAACCTATTCAATATAACCAAATTCATATTATCTTACACGCACACAATTAAAAAAAAAAAACTTTTCTCTGCGAAATTACTACTTTTGCTGTCTAGTTCAATTTGGTATCAGATGTTTCAACTTCAGTGAAGCTGGACTTGTTCTCCAGTTTATAGTATTAGAGGCCGGTCGATCTATTCTGATAAATAAAACACTGGATACTTAACTTTCACAGTATATTGCCTTATTTTAGATACAATACATCACTTAGCACAAAAGCGCGCGGAGTCGTCTCCGCGCGTCCCTCTATTCTGACGTTTGATTCTCGTGTGACATTGACGAACTGTCAATGTCACTATGACAGCATCTCATTGGCCACAACGATACCGTTATTTTAACGTTTTAGATTTTTCATAATTAACAATGTCGCCCGTATTCACAAACATTACTATGAGGTCTCAAATTGCGCGTGGACGCACGGGGTGACAAACGGACCAATCACAGAGCTCTATTCAACGCTGTGCGTTTGATTTGCTGCTTCACTTAAGCAAGCATCGTTTGTGAATACGGGCGTGTGGCAACTTCCTCACATAATCCCCATCATTCTCACACAGGTACCAAAACATGTTGATCTGCGACATGAACAAGATGCAAGAGCACACACCATTCCCGCAATACATCCCGGAGTTCACGGAGTGGCTCAACAAGCTGTGTGCCGAGACTCGCGCCGAACTCCTGGACAACTGGCTCATAGACGTGGCAGATACCATGATCAAGATGAGGCATCACTGGTCGATATATGTCGCGAAGAAGAAGAAGGAGTCTACGTTTCAGGTGGAAGCTTTCTTCAGGCAAGTCTGCGCAAGTTTAACTTTTTAAATGTTTTGCTGGCCAGCTTTTCATCTTAGCATTTGTCAAGGAAGCATATAAAGGCAGAAATATTGGTGTACCTTTATCAATAAATAAATATAGGCTGCTGTATTAGTTCAAAAATAATATACTGTGACAAAAAGTGTCGTTACTCTTGCAGATCTATCCATGCACTTATGTCGAGGCAAGTGCGAGACTTGGTGGAACGAAGCGTGTATCATTTTGCAGAATATTTCAAGTACTATTGGGTAAGGGTTATTATTTTAATTTAAAATGTTATCTTTTGTACAGTAGTGGCAAAAATTCATTGAACTATGGCATGATGTTCCAAGTTGCTATTCCGCTTCTATCTAGATTGCCTGCGCCTGTATTGATACATTATTTAACGGTGTACCCTCTAGTCAATAGCTTGTATCCTGTAGCCACTAAACTCTAGCCCCTCACTTTACTAATCCCATCTCTTGCTCCCATCACCGTAACTTTTTTATAGCCAGGATCTACAGTTTAGTCTTAATCAAACTCAAATGGAGAAGGGAACGTCTTAAGTTTGCTGTAGTGTTCGATCTCTTCATAAAGGTTACTAAACCTTTGTTTGTCACCTGGCCAAATTTGATGGCTTTGCAATGGAGGGAAGTCGAATCTTAACTTGGAACTCCTCCTATGTTCTTCTGATTAATTTCATTGCGGGTCCAATGACTTTAACTTTTCCCCCGGAACAAGCTTGACCTTCACTGGTTGTGTTTTTATTGGCGGTCAAGCTGTAGATCCTGGCTACACAGGAGTTGCAGTGGTGGGAACGAGAGGTGGGAATAGTCCCGTGTCATCATTGCTGTCGCGAGCCATGTGTTCTGTTTTTGGGCATGTTGCAGCGACACCGGCCCCGCCCCCTTGTCACATCTCCCATAAGTTTCTGTGATCTTGTCGGTAGGACGGCAACAACTACAGCGGCACGTACCGCGACTACATGTTCATCAAGCGGCCGCTGCTTCGCATCCGCGTGGTGGGCGCGCCGGGCTCCACCAGCATCGGCTTCGAGCCCACGCTGGAGCAGGTCCGGCAGCAGATCGTCAAGTGGGTGCACGCCATCATCAACGTCAACTACCAGCTGCCCAGCGTCGACAGCGTCATGTACCCGAGTGAGTGGTATATTTGTGACGAGCCGAAATACACTGGTCATCACAAAAATCGACCCTCCTGCGACAAGCACTTTCAAATGTATGCATCCCCACTTCCCACCAATATTGGCACCATTTAATAGCCTAGTTCTAAACTTAATTTCATTAAAGGAAAGGTTTTTACCCCAAAAATGTGTCTGTAGAAGAATCCAGAGTCACTTCTTCAAAAAATAGGTAGTTACGCTTGAGCCATCTTTTATGGCTATAAAACTGTTAAGTTGGGATTACTCGCCATCCATCTGTTAAAGAGGACACGTGAGATCATTATTTGGTTTCATAACCATAAAAATTGGTCTAATTGATCCCAGAGGTGAGCCCAAAGTGAGGTCTTTTTTCAAGTTACATTTATTGTATATGTTAATCGTTTATTAAGTAATTAAATGTGTTTTACTTTAAGGATATTTATTGGGCTTTCAAATAACACCAATATTGTTGGGGCACCATGATTGTGTCAGTAGAAACGAGTTTTCCTGTAAAACGTAGGTGGGCCGATTTTTGTGATGACCAGTGTAGATGCGCGCCATGGTAAAGTCTTATCGACGATTTTGGACGACAATTGTAGGGGCTTATCGTGCGTCGATAAAACGCCATGGTAAAAGTTTATCGGGGCGCGCATATTAGGCCTTAAAACCACAAGTACCGCAATTACAAAAGTTCATCAAGCGGCCAATGCTTGATATTAACCTTTTATATTCGCGTGCGTAGGTGTTGTAATTCGCATCTCTCATTCATGGCACTTTAGCGTGGACACAACTTAATATTAAGCAGATGGAAGAGGCATCATCATCATCATCATCATCATCTCAGCCATAGGACGTCCACTGCTGAACATAGGCCTCCCCCAATGCTTTCCATGTTACCCTGTTGGTAGCGGCCTGCGTCCAGCGCTTTCTCGCTACCTTTACGATGTCGTCGGTCCACCTTGTAGGTGGACGTCCTACGCTGCGTTTTTCGGTACGCGGCATCATCATTTGCCTACTCATAGATATGTGCTCTAATGGTTCACAGCTCGACCTCCCTCAAAAACTTTTCAAAGCACTATGTTCCTTTTTTTCATATAGCTGCTATTTATATTCCTCTCTTATTGTATCCAGATGTCGTACGCCCGCAACCATACCTATCAGCAGTGTACCCTGACGAAACCTACATGCTGGACGTCGTGAACGAATGCATCAAGCACTTCGGCGCCAACCGCGCCGGGCCCGCGCGCTACCTGTCCTGCTTCCAGGACTATTATTATATCCTGGATGGGACGGCGCACCAGGACCTATTGGCGTTCTTTGCGCAGGACCCAGCACCCTACCTCAAGGTACTTACGATCTAGACAAAGATACAAACGTGACAGTTATCAGTAGTGTAGTGTACCTAAATGTATACGCACTATTCACTGGCTCATCGTCACACCAACCGTCTTACTGCGGCACGTCCGTCCTCGCCGGGCGTCTGCCGTACGACTGACTCGTTTCACTCATAACGATGTCACGTGACTGCCTTTCACTTGTGTGCGTGAGACAGCGTATTGTATCTAGTACGTAGATACAAACACTACAAGTAGTATACACCGACGAAGTTCACACATGCTGGAAGTCGTGAACGAATGCATCAAACACTTCGGCACCAACCGCGCCGGGCCCGCGCGCTACCTGTCCTGCTTCCAGGACTACTACTACATCCTGGATGGGACGGCGCATCAGGACCTATTTGGCGTTCTTTGCGCAGGACCCCGCGCCGTATCTCAAGGTACTTTCGATCTAGACAAAGATACAAACGTGACAGTTATCAGTAGTGTAATGTACCTAAACATGCACGCACTATGCTCATGCTCACCGTCACACCAAGCGTCTTACTGCGGCACGTCCGTCCTCGCCGGCGTCTGCCGTACGACTGACTCGTTTCACTCATAACTATGTCACTTGTGTGCGTGAGACAGCGTATTGTATCTAGTACGTAGATACAAACACTACAAGTAGTATACACCGACGAAGTTCACTCATGCTGGAAGTCGTGAACGAATGCATCAAGCATTTCGGCTCGCGGGGCCCGCGCGCTACCTGTCCTGCTTCCAGGACTACTATTACATCCTGGATGGGACGGCGCACCAGGATCTGCTGGCGTTCTTTGCGCAGGACCCTGCGAGATACCTCAAGGTACTTACTTTCTAGACAAAGATACAAACGTGACAGTTATCAGTAGTGTAGTGTACCTAAATGTACACGCACTATTTACTGGCTCACCGCTCATCTTACTGCGGCACGTCCGTCCTCGCCGGCGTCTGCCGTACGACTGACTCGTTTCACTCATAACGATGTCACGTGACTGCCTTTCACTTGTGTGCGTGAGAGCGTATTGTATCTAGTACCACAGAATAATAATAAGTACTACGTACAGAAGTTTTACTTCGCGAAGGTATTTAAAAAAATGTATGTTCAATGTCATTAACAATATGGTGTAATTTAGGCTGTCTCAAGAGTCAAGCACCATTTTGTTGACAAATGTCAGTGATCGGCACTGCGCCGAAGCTATAGGGCTGACTTCGGTAAAATGATGTGACGTGAGGTGCCAAACTGCGGAAAATGGCAGAGGAAATACATGATTTAGCATGAATTATCATGAATAATATTAACTCTACTTATTTACCTCTCAGTGTCTTGAGGCAACTTAAAAAAGTACAGTCTGTGTTTTTATTATTATTTAGGAAGTTAAATACTGCACAGTATTTAGTACACCATTTTCTTTATTTTCTTCCATCATACACAAGAATACGCGTGCGTGAGTCAATGTTCGCTCGTATGTGAGGCCTTGTCGAATAGTATCCTGTAGGTGGGCCATCGTGCGTGTTTTGTTTTCGATGTAAACTCGCGGAGATGAAGAGGCCTGCTAGTACGTAGAACTAAATACAAACACTACAAGTAGTATACACCGACAAAGTTCACACATGCTGGAAGTCGTGAACGAATGCATCAAGCACTTCGGCGCCAACCGAGCCGGGCCCGCTCGCTACCTGTCCTGCTTCCAGGACTACTATTACATCCTGGATGGGACGGCGCATCAGGATCTGCTGGCGTTCTTTGCGCAGGACCCCGCGCCCTACCTCAAGGTACTCACGTACTGGCTGCTAGATAAACTTACAAACGTGACACGGAACTATTCTCATCTCTCGTTCCCACCACTGTAACTCCTGTGTAGCCAGGATCTACAGCTTGACCGCCAATAAAAACCCAACCAGTGAAGGTCAAGTTTGTCCCGGGGGGAAATTTCGGAGCCAACCGCGCCGGGCCCGCGCGCTACCTGTCCTGCTTCCAGGACTATTACTACATCCTGGACGGAACGGCGCACCAGGACCTATTGGCGTTCTTTGCGCAGGACCCCGCGCCGTATCTCAAGGTACTTACTTTCTAGACAAAGATACAAACGTGACAGTTATCAGTATGTGTACACACACGCAATGTGCACGCACTATTCACTGGCTCACCGTCACACCAAGCGTCTTACTGCGGCACGTCCGTCCTCCCCGGCGTCTGCCGTACGACTGACTCGTTTCACTCATAACGATGTCACGTGACTGCCTTTCACTTGTGTGCGTGAGACAGCGTATTGTATCTAGTACGTAGATACAAACACTACAAGTAGTATACACCGACGAAGTTCACACATGCTGGAAGTCGTGAACGAATGCATCAAGCACTTCGGCGCCAACCGAGCCGGGCCCGCTCGCTACCTGTCCTGCTTCCAGGACTACTACTATATCCTGGATGGTACTGCGCATCAGGATCTGCTGACGTTCTTCGCGCAGGACCCAGCACCCTACCTCAAGGTATTTTCATTCTAGACAAAGATACAAGCGTGACAGCTATCAGCAATGTCCTACGACGAAGTTCACATGCTGGACGTTTGGAAGTCGCCAACCGCGCCGGGCCCGCGCGCTACCTGTCCTGCTTCCAGGACTACTACTATATCCTGGATGGGACGGCGCATCAGGATCTGCTGGCGTTCTTTGCACAGGACCCTGCACCTTATCTCAAGGTACTTTCATTCTAGACTAAGATACAAACGTGACAGTTATCAGTAGTGTAGTGTACCTAAATGTGCACGCACTATTCACTGGCTCACCGCTCATCTTACTGCGGCACGTCCGTCCTCGCCAGTGTCTGCCGTACGACTGACTCGTTTCACTCATAACGATGTCACGTGACTGCCTTTCACTTGTGTGCGTGAGACAGCGTATTGTATCTAGTACGTAGATACAAACAGTACAAGTAGTATACACCGACGAAGTTCACACATGCTAGACGTCGTGAACGAATGCATGAAACACTTCGGAGCCAACCGCGCCGGGCCCGCGCGCTACCTGTCCTGCTTCCAGGACTACTACTACATCCTGGACGGAACGGCGCACCAGGATCTGCTGACGTTCTTTGCGCAGGACCCCGCGCCGTATCTCAAGGTACTTTCGTTCTAGACAAAGATACAAACGTGACAGTTATCTGTAGTGTAGTGTACCTAAATGTGCACGCACTATTCACTGGCTCACCGCTCATCTTACTGCGGCACGTCCGACCTCGCCGGCGTCTGCCCTACTACTGACTCGTTTCACTCATAACGATGTCACGTGACTGCCTTTCACTTGTGTGCGTGAGAGCGTATTGTATCTAGTACGTAGATACAAACACTACAAGTAGTATACACCGATGAAGTTCACACATGCTGGAAGTCGTGAACGAATGCATCAAGCATTTCGGCTCGCGGGGCCCGCGCGCTACCTGTCCTGCTTCCAGGACTACTATTACATCCTGGATGGGACGGCGCACCAGGATCTGCTGGCGTTCTTTGCGCAGGACCCAGCACCCTACCTCAAGGTATTTTCATTCTAGACAAAGATACAAACGTGACAGTTATCAGTAGTGTAGTGTACCTAAATGTGCACGCACTATTCACTGGCTCACCGTCACACCAAGCGTCTTACTGCGGCATGTCCGTCCTCGCCGGCATCTGCCGTACGACTGACTCGTTTCACTCATAACGATATCACGTGACTGCCTTTCACTTGTGTGCGTGAGAGCGTATTGTATCTAGTACGTAGATACAAACACTACAAGTAGTATACACCGACAAAGTTCACATATGCTGGAAGTCGTGAACGAATGCATCAAGCACTTCGGCGCCAACCGCGCCGGGCCCACGCGCTACTTGTCCTGTTTCCAGCACTACTACTATATTCTGGATGGCACTGCGCATCAAGATCTGCTGGCGTTCTTTGCGCAGGACCCCGCGCCCTACCTCAAGGTGCTTACTTTCTAGACAAAGATACAAACGTGACAGTTATCAGTAGTGTAGTGTACCTAAATGTATAGTTCCAAAATACTGAAATGTCCTATGCATGACATTGACAGCGGGGCGCCACCGTCAATACTGGATCGCTGGTTCCGATTTTTGCCATGTTGGAAACCATATAGTTGAACGATGGTAGGGGGGCGCCTGTCATTGAGTTTGGTGGGACAGTTCAGTGTGGGTCATCTATACACGCACTATTCACTGGTTCACTGGCGTCTGCCGTACGACTGACTCGTTTCACTCATAACGATGTCACGTGACTGCCTTTCACTTGTGTGCGTGAGAGCGTATTATATCTAGTACGTAGATACAAACACTACAAGTAGTATACACCGACGAAGTTCACACATGCTGGAAGTCGTGAACGAATGCATCAAGCACTTCGGCGCCAACCGAGCCGGGCCCGCGCGCTACCTGTCCTGCTTCCAGGACTACTACTATATCCTGGATGGTACTGCGCATCAAGACCTGCTGGCGTTCTTTGCGCAGGACCCCGCGCCGTATCTCAAGGTACTTTCGATCTAGACAAAGTTACAAGTGTGATAGTTATCAGTAGTATACAGCGACGAAGTTCACACATGCTGAACGTCGTAAACGAATGCATCAAGCACTTCGGCGGGAACCGCGCCGCGCCAGTAGTAGTCCTGGAAACAGGACAGGTAGCGCTGTCCTGTTTCCAGGACTACTACTATAATGGCACTGCGCATCAGGATCTTCTGGCGTTCTTTGCGCAGGACCCCGAGCCGTATCTCAAGGTACTTACTTTCTGGCTCCTAGACAAAGTTACATTTATGAAGCTGATGGAAGCTGGAGGATACTCAAGTCTCAGTTCGGCATGAACTGGAGACTCATAGCTGATCCCAACATAAAAACCAAGGCGCAACCAGACTTCGATGGCTCAGCTATGTTGAGAGAATAGGATCGGGACTGTTCCCATCTCTCGTTCCCATCATTTCAACTTCTGTGTAGCCAGGATCTACAGCTTGACCGCCAATAAAAACGCAACCAGTGAAGGTCATGTTTGTCCCCGGGGAAAGTTACGAATGTGATAGATATCAGCAGTGTACCCTGACGAGGCCTAATATAGTGTTTCAAGACCTCACAAAAGTCCTTGAGCTAAAATGAATCCAATTATTTCGAATATCACACGATCTACTTAACACTGAATCCGCGAAGTACTTAAACAATGTGGTGGCACCCTACGTTATCAGAATGCAGTGAGTCGTCCGATGTGTGTACGAGCTGAATGGTGTTGCTTGTGACAACGTCAAGCCGTGAGTGCATAATGTAACTCATTAATAAACGTCGCGTTAAGACCCGTGTCTTACTATTTTAAGCTGAATGGTCACATTGTTCCAGGACTTCTCCGCCCGCATCTACATGTACGAAGAGCTCCGCGACGAGATCCTGTTCCTTCGGCGGGACATCCCGCTGAACATGGTCATGCTGGACTGCGGGCCCATCAACGACACCATGTGGGGCGTGGTGGACGGGCTGCGCAGCCACATCGTCGACCACTTCATCGCCGTCAACCGCAAGTGGAACCGCGCGTGAGTACACTCACTCAATGTGGCGTCTTATGTACCAATTGAGGCCTGGATATTAAACATTTCTACGTTAAGAGTCGCCTCTCGATCTAAAGGACAATGACCAAAAATGTATGGAGTGTGGTCCAAATGTCCACCACTAACGAGACCTATGTAGTAAAATAGTCTACTTAATATTGATTCATTATAACCAAACCGCAATCAAAAATATGCTGTCAGTAAAAAGTTATGACTGAATGAAAAGTCTGTTTTTTACCTTTTCATCCGAAAAATGTTCTTGATATCATTCTATCCATTGCACATTTTGGACTAATCTACGCATGTTATGTCATGTCGCATGTGGCGCGGGATTATAGATGAATTTTATTAAATATTATACTAACTGTGCCTACGACTTTGTACGCGTGAAAATTGTTTGAATAATATTTCCCATTTTTACAACATTTGTCTTTACTGCTCCGCCCCTATTGGTTGTAGGGTGATGTTATTTATCTTAAAACCATCCTTAATAAATAGGCTATCCATAACAAAAAGAATTTTTCAAATCGGACCAGTAGTTCCTGAGATTAGCGCGTAAACTACTACAATTTTTAAACAGTCATAATTTTTTACTGACAGCTTATTTTTTTTTCGTCCCATACTGAAAGTTAATCTCTATTTAAAGGACTATAAGCCAATATAGGTCTCATTGGTGGTGGACATTTGGACCACTTTTGGTCATTGTCCTTTGGCGGTGGCGATGGGCGGGGCACATAGCTCGTAGAGACGATGGCCGTTTGGGCAGGAAAGTTCTCGAGTGGCGACCAAGGGCTGGAAGACGTAGCTGGGCAGGCCTCCTACTAGGTGGACCGACGATCTGGTAAAGGTCGCGGGAAGAGCCTGGATGCGGGCAGTGCAGGACCGTTCATTATGGGAAACCTTGGGGGAAGCCTTTGTCCAGCAGTGGACGTCATTTGGCTGAAACGAACGAGGCCTAGATATTAAACATTTCTACGTTAAGAGTCGCCTCTCAATCTAAAGTTAAAAATAACTTGAAAACATCGAATTCCCTATCGTTGTAGCATTTACCAGTTGGCGCCACTGTTAATTAAGATCTTCACTCGCTGATGGCTGTCATAGCAGCGCCAACTGGTCAACACTGAAGCGGTAGGAGGACTTGCATTTGCTAAGATGACGCCACTGTAGTGTAAGCTCATGTCACTTGCCAGTAGCGGTAACTGTTAAGCATAGAAACCGTAGCCTATTGCTATGGCGATTATCACACTGCGCGCTGCGCCGCGCTCCGCCGCGGTACGCGGGACGACAGATTTAATCATTGTATGCAAGTACCTCAGTTTGTATAGAAAACACGCGCGGCACAACACACTGACAACGCGTCCGCGCGCGGGATTTTTTATATGAAATCACGCGGACCGCGGTGGAGCGCGGCGCAGTGTGATAACCGCCTATCGTTGCAATAGGTAAAGTTTTGCAACAAAAATACAGTTTCTGTTCTGTTTTTGCACTCTTTTCCCATTTTCACGCATATTGCTGGTGCTTCATTGGAATAGTAGACTAAAAGTTATTCAGTAAGTTACATTGTGTGACGTACAATGTGTATATCTCACCAGCATCTGCAACGTATACGAGGAAATGGCGGCACGCTCGTCCGAGAGCCCGGAGACGACGGCGCAGCTGGTGGAGCTGGTCAACTACATCCAGGACTGCCGCGACTGCGCCATGTTCGACCTGAAAGAGAAGTCGCGCACCACCGCCGAGTACGTGATATTCCTGATGCAGCACGCGCATTTGAACTGTGAGTATGTGAAGCCATAATATCAACCTGAACTGAGGAGTGCAGGGCAAATCCTCGGTTTTGACTTAGAGAAGGTCGTGGGATCTGAAGGTCCCCCAGCGAAAGTCTTGGAGCTTGGGACCAGTCCCCATGCAAATTTGAGGCGTACCCGCGCTCGTCCGAGAGCCAGGAGACGACGACGCAGCTGGTGGAGCTGGTCAACTACATCCAGGACTGCCGCGACTGCGCCATGTTCGACCTGAAAGAGAAGTCGCGCACCACCGCCGAGTACGTGATATTCCTGATGCAGCACGCGCATTTGAACTGTGAGTATGTGAAGCCAGAATATCAACCTGAACTGAGGAGTGTGGGACAAATCCTCGGTTTTGACTTAGAGAGGGTCGTGGGATCTAAAGACCCCCATAGAAAATCTTGGAGCTTGGGACCAGTGCCCATGCTTTGAGGCGATCTCTCAGAATATCAACCTGAACTGAGGAGTGTAGGGCAAATCTTCCGTTTTGTCTTAAAGAGGGTCGTGGGATCTAAAGATCCCCATAGCAAGTCTTGGAGCTTGGGACCAGTCCCCATCCTTTGAGGCGATCTCGCGCTCGTCCAAGAACCCGGAGACGACGGCACAGCTGGTGGAGCTGGTCAACTACATCCAGGACTGCCGCGACTGCGCCATGTTCGACCTCAAAGAGAAGTCGCGCACCACCGCCGAGTACGTGATATTCCTGATGCAGCACGCGCATTTGAACTGTGAGTATGTGAAGCCAGAATATCAACCTGAACTGAGGAGTGTGGGACAAATCCTCGGTTTTGACTTAGAGAGGGTCGTGGGATCTAAAGACCCCCATAGAAAATCTTGGAGCTTGGGACCAGTGCCCATGCTTTGAGGCGATCTCTCAGAATATCAACCTGAACTGAGGAGTGTAGGGCAAATCTTCCGTTTTGTCTTAAAGAGGGTCGTGGGATCTAAAGATCCCCATAGCAAGTCTTGGAGCTTGGGACCAGTCCCCATCCTTTGAGGCGATCTCGCGCTCGTCCAAGAACCCGGAGACGACGGCACAGCTGGTGGAGCTGGTCAACTACATCCAGGACTGCCGCGACTGCGCCATGTTCGACCTCAAGGAGAAGTCGCGCACCACCGCCGAGTACGTGATATTCCTGATGCAGCACGCGCATTTGAACTGTGAGTATGTGAAGCCAGAATATCAACCTGAACTGAGGAGTGCAGGGCAAATCCTCGGTTTTGACTTAGAGAAGGTCGTGGGATCTGAAGGTCCCCCAGCGAAAGTCTTGGAGCTTGGGACCAGTCCCCATGCAAATTTGAGGCGTACCCGCGCTCGTCCGAGAGCCAGGAGACGACGACGCAGCTGGTGGAGCTGGTCAACTACATCCAGGACTGCCGCGACTGCGCCATGTTCGACCTGAAAGAGAAGTCGCGCACCACCGCCGAGTACGTGATATTCCTGATGCAGCACGCGCATTTGAACTGTGAGTATGTGAAGCCATAATATCAACCTGAACTGAGGAGTGCAGGGCAAATCCTCGGTTTTGACTTAGAGAAGGTCGTGGGATCTGAAGGTCCCCCAGCGAAAGTCTTGGAGCTTGGGACCAGTCCCCATGCAAATTTGAGGCGTACCCGCGCTCGTCCGAGAGCCAGGAGACGACGACGCAGCTGGTGGAGCTGGTCAACTACATCCAGGACTGCCGCGACTGCGCCATGTTCGACCTCAAGGAGAAGTCGCGCACCACCGCCGAGTATGTGATATTCCTGATGCAGCACGCGCATTTGAACTGTGAGTATGTGAAGCCATATTATAATATCAAGCATCCCCCCCCCCCTCCCCTAGACAAGAGGCAAAACGTGATGTCGAAAGGCCGTTTTTTGTATGGAGTTACATCGCTTCGTGAACGGCTTCGATTTTTGATTCGATCAAAAGGTGCCACTTGTCTCTAGACCTACTGAACTGGGGAGTGTAGGACAACTCCTCGGTTTTGACTTAGAGAGGGTCGTGGGATCTAAAGATCCCCATAGAAAGTCTTGGAGCTTGGGACTAGTGCCCAAGCAAATATGAGGCGATCTTGCGCTCGTCCAAGAACCCGGAGACGACGGCGCAGCTGGTGGAGCTGGTCAACTACATCCAGGACTGCCGCGACTGCGCCATGTTCGACCTGAAAGAGAAGTCTCGCACCACCGCCGAGTACGTGATATTCCTGATGCAGCACGCGCATTTGAACTGTGAGTATGTGTAATGTGGTCGTCAGCATCTACAGCTGGTGGAGCTGGTCAACTACATCCAGGACTGCCGCGACTGCGCCATGTTCGACCTCAAGGAGAAGTCACGCACCACCGCCGAGTACGTGATATTCCTGATGCAGCACGCGCATTTGAACTGTGAGTATGTGTATAATATCAACCTGAACTGAGGAGTGTAGGGCAAATCCTCCATTTTATCTTAAAAAGGGTCGTGGGATCTAAAGATCCCCATAGCAAGTCTTGTAGCTTAAGACCAGTGCCCATGCAAATATGAGGCGATCTTGCTATCGTCCAAGAACCCGGAGACGACGGCGCAGCTGGTGGAGCTGGTCAACTGCATCCAGGACTGCCGCGACTGCGCCATGTTCGACCTCAAGGAGAAGTCGCGCACCACCGCCGAGTATGTGATATTCCTGATGCAGCACGCGCATTTGAACTGTGAGTATGTGAAGCCATATTATAATATCAAGCAGCCCTAGATAAGAGGCAAAACGTGATGTCGAAAAGCCGTTTTTTGTATGGAGTTACATCGCTTCGTGAACGGCTTCGATTTTTGATTCGATCAAAAGGTGCCACTTGTCTCTAGAGCTACTGAACTGGGCAGTTTAGGGCAAATCCTCGGTTTTGACTTAGAGAGGGTCGTGGGATCTAAAGATCCCCATAGAAAGTCTTGGAGCTTGGGACTAGGAGTACGTGATATTCCTGATGCAGCACGCGCATTTGAACTGTGAGTATGTGTAATATGGTCGTCAGCATCTACAGCTGGTGGAGCTGGTGGAGCTGGTCAACTACATCCAGGACTGCCGCGACTGCGCCATGTTTGACCTTAAGGAGAAGTCACGCACCACTGCCGAGTACGTGATATTCCTGATGCAGCACGCGCATTTGAACTGTGAGTTTGTGTATAATATCAACCTGAACTGAGGAGTGTAGGGCATTTCTTCCGTTTTGACTTAGAGAGGGTCGTGGGATCTAAAGATCCCCATCGAAAGTCTTAGAGCTTGGGACCAGTCCCCATGCTTTGAGGCGATCTCGCGCTCGTCCAAGAACCCGGAGACGACGGCGCAGCTGGTNAAGCCGTAATATCAACCAGCCCCCTAGACAAGAGGCAAAACGTGATGTCGAAAGGCCGTTTTTTGTATGGAGTTACATCGCTTCGTGAACGGCTTCGATTTTTGATTCGATCAAAAGGTGCCACTTGTCTCTAGACTTACTGAACTGGGCAGTTTAGGGCAAATCTTCCGTTTTATCTTAGAAAGGGTCGTGGAGGGTCTGAAGATCCCCCATCGAAAGTCTTAGAGCTTGGGACCAGTGCCCATGCAAAGGCATGTGTTAGCGACCCCGCACACTAATCAGCGTATGAATACTCTTGGCTGCCTAGTTCGCGGGCTCCCTTTTATGTTGGATTGGCTGCGGTAGTCAGGCTGCCTAGTGAGCGGGAGGCCTTAATGCCTGAATGACACGTTGATCTCATGTATACCATCAAGTCGCAGATTAGGCACTCAGCATAATAGTAAACGAGCCACACAAGTGTTTCGCTGATTAGCAAATGGAGCATTCCACGCGAAGCGGACAGGTAAAAAAAGTCGATGTTTCCGATTTCAGTAATACACTCAGCGGCACGGAATTTGGCCCAAGCCTAAACACCCAGATATGAGGCCAAATAGGTGTTGTATACCTAAGTTTCGTGTGACATGTTAACAGATCATTTGTTTTTGCTAATTTAAGAGGCTAGATTAATAAAAAAATGCGTCTGTTTAACTTTTTTGACTCTAGAAACGCATTTCGTTGTTGGAGCGTAAAGAGTACAGGTAAGTTTAAATTCGATATTAAATGTTGTAAGGGTTTGGCGTTTTGTTTTTTGTTTTTAAATTAATCTTAGGGTTATTCTCGTTTCCATAATTTGAGAATAATGCCCATTACTCCAGCTCAAGTTTCTCAAATAGTGTTGCTTAGAAGTCAAGGGCGTATGCAGCGGGAAATGGCTGAAAATTTCAATTTATGGCGTGCAAACTTAAGATTCACGTTAAAAAGGCATGACCAGACCGCCTTTTACACAAGAAGACCAAGAAGTGGGGAATTAAGGTGTATGTCAGCGCGCGATGACCCGATTATCGTGCTTGCAATATCAAGAAATCGAGTTCTCGCTACGTTTGAGATAGGCCAGCGTTTACAAACAGCAAGCCCGGTGAATGTCAGTGAGCACACAATAAGAAGAAGGATGGAGGATCATAACCGGCATACTTGAAGACCAGTTCGAGGACCTGAACTTCTCCGATACCTTCGCGAAGTGCGACTTACGTTTTCTAGAGAACATGCAAATTGGACGTTAGACTAATGGAGTAAACTCTTTATGAAAACTGTCTGTTTGCGTAGTAAATCTTCTCCGCACCTTCTCTATACACTTCCACGGCCGTCTGGTACTCTTAAGGTGACTCTGCAATCATCGCGATCCATAGAACTTTATACTCCATTAGCCTTGCGTCCAATTTGCATGTTCTCTAGAAAACGTAAGTCGCACTTCGCGGAGGTATCGGAGAAGTTCTGGTCCTCGAGCTGGTCTTTGAGTATGCATATTATGATCCTCCATCCTTCTTCTTATTGTGTGCTCACTGACATTCACTGGGCTTGCTGTTTGTAAACGCTGGCGTATATCAAACGTAGCGAGAACTCGATTTCTTGATATTGCAAGCACGATAATCGGGTCATCGCGCGCTGACATACACCTTAATTCCCCACTTCTTGGTCTTCTTGTGTAAAAGGTGGTCTGGTCATGCCTTTTTAACGTGAATCTTAAGTTTGCACGCCATAAATTAAAAGTTTCAGCCATCTCCCGCTGCATACGCCCTTGACTTCTAAGCAACACTATTTGAGAAACTTGAGCTGGAGTAATGGGCATTATTCTCAAATTGTGGAAACGAGAATAACCCTAAGCTTAATTTAAAAACAAAAAACAAAACGCCAAACCCGTACAACATTTAATATCGAATTTAAACTTTCCCGTACTCTTTACGCTCCAACAACGAAATGCGTTTCTAGAGTCAAAAAAGTTAAACAGACGCATTTTTTTATTAATCTAGCCTCTTAAATTAACAAAAACAAATGTTCTGTTAACATGCCACACGAAACTTAGGTATACAACACCTATTTGGCCTCACATCTGGTTGTTTAGGCTTGGGCCAAATTCCGTGCCGCTGAGTGTATTTGAGNGACTTTTTTTACCTGCCCGCTTCGCGTGGAATGCCCCAAATCTTGATTGGTCTTGGTCAGTTTTGTGAATCATACTATGCATTTCTTTCTTCTAGTAAATCTCTCTTCTAGTCATTCAGAAAACCTTACCTAGCTGTTATTACATATCTATAAGATTAGTGTTAAAAAGTATGTTTTCAACAGTCGAAGACATAAACCTAAACACGCGCGTGTTCCTCTGGCCTCTCGACATGGAGGAGACCATCGACCTGACCCTCAAAACCCTCTACACCAAGAAGACCATGGCTGAAGACAAGCTGCGCAGCCGCAAGGCGATCTTCGAGGAGAAGCTGAAGCGTCATGAGAAAGACCTGGAGCTGTTCCGAAGGTTCGATCCGCCGCTGCTGAACTTGGATCTGTTGAGAGATGTGGTGGGAAAGGTCGATGAGATCTTTAAGAATTTGATGGTGAGTTTAGCAGTGCTTATTTATTAGTGTGATTTCTGTGTGTAAGCGTCACGAACTGGACATAATTTTTGTAGAGAAACACTTGAGAGTATTTCAAAAACTTTCGCACTATAAAGTATACATTCTTATTAACAAAGACACTGGCTCTTGTCTTGTAAATAAATCCGCCATTTGTACAACACTGTTTTTGCAATCATCAATATCTCATCCACAGGACGTTCACTTTTGAACTTATGCCTCCCCCAAATGACTTCCAGCCAGATTGGCCGTTTAATAACGTCTTTATTGGTGTATTATTTCAATAAAATGTAAAAATATGCAATGCATATGCATACGCTATGCCTTAACACGAGGCTGTAGATAAATTAAAACTAACTATGAACTCGCAGGAAGACAAATACGAAGCGGACGACATCATAAACGAGGAGCAGCTGCTGGATCAAGAACTGTCGGTGTACTTCAGCCTGCAGACCATGCTGGCCGGCATCGACCCCTTCCACAAGCTCTGGCACACCTCCTTCGACTTCTACGACGGCTACGAGAAATGGTAACTGATCCTGTAGTTGCGACAAACCAGGCCTTCACTGTTAGGACAATAAGTCAGGATACATAAGTCTACACATATCTATACTCTCAATAGATTCGAGGTAAAAAAGAAAACTACAGCTTGCCTATTGAAGATGTCATATGCTGATACTGAAAATCTGTTAAAATAGTTGCTTACCCATTAAAGTATGCTACACACATACACACACACGATTATAAAATGTTCTGTAAAATCGCTCCTATTCATATCACCTTAATGTTATTTTATGTTACCAGTTGAAATTTCCATGTTATAGTCCTAGCATGTAAAACTTAAATATTTCTATGTTAGCCCACAAATGTCGAAGAATCACTGACACTGAAAATACAGTATTTTTTACTAGTTTCGGTGTCAGGGTTCACCCCTTGTTAGATCCAAATGTTTAATTGAATAAAATTTATTTATTTATTATTTAACTCGCGGCTCCCTTTCTTTGGCTCCGAAGGACACTGTCGGGTTTTAGTGGATAGCTCCCGACTTTCTGGAGGGGAGAGTCCCACAATGCGGTTAAGCTGTAAATTCTGGCTACATTGGAATTGCAGCGGTGGGAATGGAATGTGGAAATAGTCCAGTAACCGATGCTGTTGACTGAACACATTTTCTAGAATTAGAGCATTACGATATATTGAAACATTTTAGTAAAAACTTCAATTTGTAAACTTCAACCGTGTAGGTGTGATGAAGGAATGCCAGTTAGAAGTGGAATTTCTTTATTTCAGAGACTTCTTGCTCAATCGCAGACGGCTTAACTTAAGCTACGTAACACGGAATCATATATTGTTTTCGAAAAGCCAAGTTTATATAAGTCTTTATTGATCGAGCCAGTAATCTAGCAATGTAGTGGTTTTCTGGGAGAGTGGTTATTAGCAACAAAGATCCATATTTCTTCCATGACCTTTTTAATGAGGATATTATTATATTCAGGTACCACGGCCCGTTCCTGGGTCTGGACGCGGAGCAGATTGCCGAGGACGTGGAGGCGTGGTGGAAGCTTCTCTACAAGCTGGGCAAGCAGCTGTTTGAATACCCTGGAGCCAAACGCATCGCCGATATGGTGCGCAACAAGCTGGAGAAGTTTAAAGTGCTGTTGCCGGTGCTGTGCGCTATTTGTAACAAGGTAAGTGAACCTTCTTTTGATGATTGCATAGTTAGAGTAGGCGCACACCGTTGATTTTTAGTTGGCCGATAGTTGTGCCCGATTTCAAATTGTATGAAGAATCGGCCAAATCGAATCGGCGTAGTGTTCGCACTCCCATACATGCCCATACTGATCAACTGCCCGACTAAACTATCGGCTGACGAAAAATCAACGGTGTGCGCCTACTCTTACTGTTTACTGACTGCTTATCGTGCCTAAGGGCCCTCGCCCACGGCAACTTTTTACACAGCGACAGCATCGCTACTAACGCGCGTTAGTCGCATTTGCAACGCACTATGAAAGTGTTGCCAACGCGCTACTAACGCGGTAAAACAGTACAAAACATCGCCGTGGGCGTGGGCCCTAAGATAGTTTAGAATCAATTTTTATTAAACAGAACATTATCATCATTACAGCCACAGGACGTCCACTGCTGAATATAGGGCCCCCCAATGATTTCCAGATTCTTCAGTTGGTTGCGGCCTGCATCCAGCGCTTTGCTTTCAGAATTTCATTTTTTTGTAATTAAGATGAATAGAAGAACCAATTTCGAGAAGGAGGTCAATCGTCGAATCCAACTCGGCTGGGCAGCGTTCGGGAAACTACGCAACATCTTTTCGTCCAAAATACCCCAGTGCCTGAAGACGAAAGTCTACAACCAATGTGTGTTACCTGTGATGACTTATGGCTCGGAAACGTGGCCCCTCACTATAGGCCTTATACAGAAGCTCAAAGTTGCACAGCGTGCTATGGAGAGGGCTATGCTCGGTGTTTCTTTACGAGATCGAATCAGAAATGAGGAGATCCGTAAACGAACTAAAGTCGCTGACATAGCCCGACGGATCAGCAAGCTGAAGTGGCAGTGGGCAGGGCACATAGTACGCAGAACTGACGGCCGATGGGGCAGCAAGGTTCTGGAATGGAGGCCACGTACCGGAAAACGCAGCGTGGGACGTCCACCCACAAGGTGGACCGACGACCTGATGAAGGTAGCGGGAAGGCGCTGGATGCAGGCCGCTACCAACCGTGCGATGTGGAAGTCATTGGGGGAGGCCTATGTTCAGCAGTGGACGTCCTGTGGCTGAAATGATGATGATGATGATGAATAGCATTTTCAAGATGCACCAAATCTACTTCTTTATTCCACTTTCTTTGTGCGTATGAAACATATTCTTCAAGTGTTATTATTCCATAATCGTATAATCTGGCGTATAATCCCGTTTTGGATTTGCCAGAATCCGAATTTTTATAACATGACCTCTAACACCACCATTACCGGTAAATATGCGAACTTGAGCAACTTTTTTGACTACTGAGACTAAGGCTGGGTTGCACCATCTTACTTTAACTTTGACAAACGTCATAATCTGTCAAACTCCATACAAAAAACGCCGGTTATCGTCATAGTTACGGTCAAAGTTAGGTGGTGCAACAGCCTATGTCAATAAGAGTTTGAAAGCTTCGAATGTAATTCATAGGGGATGCGCGACCGCCACTGGGCCAAGATCAGCGAATTAGTCGGCGTGGAAGTAGCGCACGGTCCCGAAGCCACATTAGCTGACATGGTGGAACAAGGTGTGCACGTGTACGCGTCGCAGCTGGAAGAAATCGAGCAGTACGCCTCCAAAGAGTATTCGCTCGAGCGCGCGCTTAACAAGATGAAGGAGGAGTGGTGCGGCGTCAAGTTCGAGGTCGTGCCCTACAGGTAACAGCAGAACAGTACGGTCGGCAGGAACATCTAAATACATCAAATGACGTTAAGCTAACATCGTTACTTTCAACCAAAAGTCGGCCACTCTGGACAAACAAGCTAGCACCCATAACACAAGCATATAAGTTTCTTACTTTGGGGCTAGCTGGCGATGTGTAAAATTGTCTAAAAAAATATACATAGTAACACCCAGCCCCATCACAGAAATTAAAATTCATCATTTCAATTTCTGCCCGGCCGAGAATCGATCCCGGGACCTCTCGGAATAGTAGTCCGTTCCGAACCACTACAGCAACGGCCGACTTGTTGTGTTTGTTTCAAATTCGGCGGTAGTGCAACGTCTATACAGGGTGGAAACGATAAGTGATCTCACTCGATTATTTCTAATCTATACAAGATATCGAAAAACGTAACTGATCCTAAAAGTGCTTCACGAGCACTTTTAGAGTAGGCGCACACCGTTGATTTTTAGTTAGCCGATAGTTGTGCCCGATTTTAATTTGTATGAAGAATCGGCCAAATCGAATCGGCGTAGTGTGCGCACTCCCATACATGCCCATACTGATCAACTGCCCGACTAACTATCGGCCGACGAAAAATCAACGGTGTGCGCCTACCCTTAAACGGTACTAATTATAGTTTACAGAATAAACTGGATCTATCAAAACATTCAATGTTTCCAGCTTCCATACATTTGGTACAGCCACATAATATTAATTGATACCGTTGATAGAGCTAACGAGGCACTTTCAGGATCAGTAACTAGTTTTTTTAATATCTTGTACAGTCTAGAAATAATCGAGTGAGATCACTTATCGTTTCCACCCCGTATACGAGTACATCTTTAACTCATGTATACTACATCTAAAAGTCTGCCACTACTGAACAATGCCTCTCCCAAAATTTTCCACAACGAGCGGTCCTACACTGCCCGTAAACGGTTTCTTCCCGCAAACTTCGCCAACAGTTTTGTGCACTACGTCTCTTGGAGCGTGGTGTCCACTCGAGAACTTTTCTGGCCATCAGTTCTATGGGCTATGCGCAATGTGCCCTGCTCACTGTCACTTAAGTTTAGCAACCCTGCGGACCATGCTACTTACTTTCGTTTTCCCGCAGTTGTCACGCGTGTATTGGGAATTTTATTAAAATTAATTTAGCCTTACTATGAAACATTTAATAGAAAATATCTGACGATGATCTGGTATCCACCACCAGAGACACGGGCGTGGGCATCCTGACGGGGCTGGACGACATCCAGCAGCAGCTGGACGACCACATCCTCAAGTCGCAGACCATGCGCGGCTCGCCCTACGTCAAGGCCTTCGAGGCAGACATGGTGGCCTGGGAGGAGAAGCTGATCAGCATGCAGGATATCCTGGACCAGTGGCTGCAGGTCTTTGTCTTATCAAATAGGAATGACGGAGTTTAGAAGTATGTTCTTATGCATGCGTATTGCCACGTGACTACTGTATGCGCGGCTCGCCCTACGTCATGTATCGTGCAAGCTCATCAGCATGCAGGATATCCTGGACCAGTGACTGCAGGCCTTTGTCTTCTCTAATAAAGCCCGGTCTGTGAGAACGTAGAATTTTGTCCAATGACCCCTAGCTACCCATCCTTATCGCTCGCGGGTAATTATATTGCTGTCGCGACTGTGCGACTGGCACCCGCAGTGAGTGTGCGAGCGCGACAGCAACATAATTACGTGCGAGCGACAAGGATGGGCAGCTTGGGGTCATTGGACGGGATTCTACGTGCTCACGGACCAGCCTTTAGTAATGATGAAGTTCAGAAGTATGTTCTTATGCATGCATATTGCCGCGTGACTAATGTATGTGCTGCTCGCCCTACGTCATGCATCGTGCAATCTCATCAGCATGCGGGATATCCTGAACCATTGGTTGCAGGTCTTTGTCTTCTCTACTAGTAATGACGGAGTTTAGAAGTATGTTCTTATGCATGCATATTGCCGCGTGACTAATGTATGCGCTGCTTGCCCTACGTCATGCATCGTGCAAGCTCATCAGCATGCAGGATATCCTGGACCAGTGGCTGCAGGTCTTTGTCTTATCAAATAGTAATGACGAAATTTAGAAGTAAATTCTTACGCAGGTATAAGTATTGCCACGTGACAAATGTATGCGCGGCTCGCCCTTCGTGAAGGACTTCGAGGCCGATTGTTGATGACGGCCACTGTTGTCGTGTGCCCAAAAAATTTTGAGGCTTCTCGGCTATACACTGAGATAGCGCCGCATTGACACTGCGCGGGCACTGGCAAGACGACGACGCTCGAAAGATGCTAGTGTGGGGGTTTGATGTATTTTTATGCATATTATACGTGACAAAATATTTTTAACGCAGTCTGCAAGCGCGACGTCTCCGTGGTTTTTTACAAACAATGCTCGCGCTGCGCACGCAACGCTACGTGTCACTAATGTCTATGACACGTAGCGTCCCGCTACCTCTGCCGGTTTCGTGCCCGCACTCACTGTCACAGAGTCAATTCAATCAAAATTTTATCATAACTTCTTCGCTCGTGTGCCACAGTGCCAAGCGACATGGATGTACCTGGAGCCGATATTCTCTTCCGAGGACATCATGCGTCAGATGCCGACCGAAGCACGCAACTTCCGCGACGTGGACAAGGAGTGGCGAAGCATCATGGGCGCGACCCAGAAGGAGCCGCTGGTGCTGCCCGCCACCGACTACCCGGGGCTGCTGAAGAAGCTGCGCTACAACAACGCGCTGCTCGACGACATCCAGCGCGGGCTCAACGACTACCTCGAGAAGAAGCGGCTGTTCTTCCCCAGGTCAGACTTAAAGGCTTCCACAGACCAAACGCGGGTCAGAAGCAGTGCGGGTCAGTTGCAGCGCGGCAGTAGGCACACTGAATGCAGCGCAGTTTCAAAGCAGTTGCAACGCGGGTGGTTGTCAAAACGCGCTGCTACCGCCCTGCGTCCGGTGTGTCATGCTAGTATGGCCGCCATAGTAATACAACAGCGCGCCGCCTGGTTTGTCGTTCGGCAGTTGCAATGTGGCGCGGTTGGAGCGGGGGCCCGCGTTCAAATTTGGTGTGACAAACTTCAAAGAGTTTCTTGTATTCTTGCGCAGGCCCGCATTCAAACTGCGCTGCTACTGCCCCGCATTTGTTCTGCCCAAGCCAGACGTATGTACGAGTTCAAAAGAATTATTATTTACTTCAGAAGAATCGAGCGTGACCAAGTCGACTCGAAAAGCAGGACTATGCGAGACTATACTTGACAATTTCATTCGTTCGTTTCAGCCAAATGACGTCCACTACTGGAAAAAGGATGAAAGACTTGGATGAGGCTCAAGGATTTCCACAACACACTCACTTTATTTTTACTTATGTGACGCATGGTGTATGTATTATGTCTGTCTAATCAAAATGATTGTTTTGTGGACTGCTTTACATAAGCGCAAAATGAGTCAAAAAACCGACTTCAACCCTTATCTGCCAATTAGGGTTTTCGCGATTGAAAAATCCACCAGATGGCAATACGTAGACGCGAGGTCCAAATGCTGCATGATTGGTGGATTTTGACATGACATTGACAGATAATATGTCCAAATGCTGCATGATTGGTGGATTTTGACATGACATTGACAGATAATATGTCAAAATCCACCAATCATGCAGCATTTGGACCTCCCGTCTACGTATTGCCATCTGGCGGATTTTTCAATAGCGAAAACCCTCATTGCATTTGGACTATAATTTCTTTCTTTCGGTTCCTATAGATTCTTCTTCTTGTCGAACGACGAGCTTCTCGAGATTCTGTCGGAGACAAAGGACCCGATGAAGGTGCAGCCTCACCTGAAGAAGTGCTTCGAGGGCATCTACACGCTGGAGTTCAACGCCAACAAGGAGATCGTGGGCATGGCCTCCGCTGAGGGCGAGATTGTGAAGCTGTCCACCAGCATACAGCCGGCAGATGCCAAGGTAAAGTAATAAAGTTTTGTTTACTGTTGCGTGTGTATTTAGGTCCACCATACACGGACCGCTCTTGCCATCATAGTGAATTAACCGTGCTACCAACCGCCCGAAGCAGTCACAACTGGAGCGGTTCCATGTAACAGTCGCAGTTTGAAACTGTCGATACTAACTGCTTGAAGCTATCCATGTATGGCGGGCCTTACTGAAGACATAGCGTGCGTGGCAATATTGGCTGTTGCTTTTTGCGAAGGAAACCGCTACTTTGCTTATGGTTTTGAGTGGATTAAAATTACTATTTCTTAAAAAGAGCTTGAACTTTAGTTGTTAGATTGATCTGCTGATATCATATATCTGCTGAATTCATTTTAATTTTCATACAAATCTGATTTTATAAATTTTATTTTGTATGAACACAAAAAAAATTAAAATGATGATATCAAATTTCTGACTTCACCATACCATTTATATGCATATGTTAACATGGGCTAGTGCCGGCTCATATACCCATTTACCTAACACCCTGTATATCACCTTAATAGAGTTGTGTTAGGGCTGGCGCTTTTACAGAATTACTTCCTGAAACACCAGTCTGTATCTACTTTCATCAAATAAAATCATTTTTATTTGCGAACATGGGCTTACATACAGTAAGTTCGGTCGTCCGTTCGTTTCAGCCAAATGACGTCCACTTTTGGACAAAGGCCTCCCCCAAGGTTTTCAACAATGAAAGGTCCTGCGCTGCCCGCATCCAGGCTCTTCCCGCGACCTTTACCAGATCGTCGGTCCACCTAGTAGCCCATGATCGCCACTCGAGAACTTTTCTGCCTCAACGGCTATCGTCTCTACGAGCTATGTGCCCCGCCCACTGCCACTTGATATCTCGGGCTATGCTTGGAGTTTCCCTGCGTCATCGAATCAGAAATGAGGAGATCCGCGGGAGAACCAAAGTGACCTACATAGCCCGCAGAATTGATAAAATCATACAGTAGGTGTTACAAGTTTTTTAGTATCTCCAATTCTCCATTTCCCACCTTTTTGGATCGTCTGATTCTACTTGTTGTCCAGGGCATGGTGGAGCGCTGGCTGCAGCAATTAGAGCAGCAGATGATCGTGAGCCTGCGCGACGTGGCCTCAGAGGCCATCGCGGCGTACCCGCTGACGCGGCGCGAGGACTGGGTGCTGGTGTGGCCCGGCCAGATCGTGCAGGCCGGCTCCTGCGTGCAATACACCACCGAGGTACGTCAGCGTCAAATAGATCGAAGCGTCTTTTTACAAGCTTTTTATTACTTTCACATGTCTGGTGTCTGTCGTCAAATCTTGCAACTTAAAATTGACCCACTTCCCGGTTTTCTATTGAGCTGGAATTTTTATTATTATTATTACAAGCTTTATATTGACTTCACTTGTTAGTATGTGTGGGACAAATCTTGCAACTGAATTTAAGACCAGTTCTTCTCAACCGATTGAGCTGAAATTTGGTACACTTATGTAAGTACGATGACAATGCAATATTATGGTACCTTTGAGCTGGCCTGATGATGGAGTCGGGAGGTGGCCATAGGAACTCCTAAACAAAACGGCGGAAACTCATCGAGTTTGGGTTCGTTGGATTTGTCTTTTCGAGCACTTTAGTGTTAGATAATGTCCAGCGTCCTGAGATTAAGATATATAACTAAAAAGTGTAAAATAAAATAATAATAAAAATAAACTTTTTTAAAACAAGCTTTTATTCTTAATCCATTTCAAATGACTCAATACTTTATTGCTTCATCACATTAGTATTTAGGTCTTACAATTCAAGCAGATCAATGTGGATCCAGTTAGGGCACAGCAACCTTTGGAAGGAGGCAGAACTTTCTCAGTAGTTTATATAAATTGATTTTAACCGACTGACTTCAAAGAGGTCACAACAAAATCATGACAGTTTCTATGTCATATCTGCATACATATTTTTGAACATCCTGACAGCTTATATAAAATTGAGAACAGTTTTGGTAACATATATTGACTACTTTGGGTGCCTCAAACAATATGCTTACTTTGACTGGTTACATTAATATGAAATATTGAATATCAGATCATTTTCGCTATCTTATATGCTTCGAACTATCTGACTACGTTAATATGGATCCTGCTTGATGAATGAGCTATTGGGATAAGTTGACCACGACTTTAATATCCTTGATTTGTTTCTACTTGGTTACTGGTTGATATCCAGCGCGGTTACTTCCCAAAATACTTCTCACGCAACGTGAGATGCTCGCATTAGCAGTTCGACAGTGGCATATAGACCGTATTTTACAAGAAAAGATTCTAAGACCCAGTTTCCACCAAGGCGGAGCGAAGAAATAATAAAAAATTCTGATTGAATGAGATTCATCATCATCATCAACAGCCCTTTACACTCCACTGCTGGACTATGAGCCGAGGGTTTTGCCATAATCCCTACGCTTGGCAGGCAGGTTGGAGATCACAGTTTAAAAGATTGATGTTTTTCAGTGAGTCGAGCGCTGTTGCCCGTTCTCTGTTTGATGTGTCGCCTCTTACGACACCCCCGGGAAGAGAAGGGGTTGGTGACGAATGTATTCTACTCTGTCGTCACCCCACGTCTTTGAATGAGGATTGAATGAAATTGATAATTCAAAACATTTCTCCGCACCGCTCCACCTTGGTGGAAACCGGGTCTAAGGGACATGCTGGTTAGGTAGATTTTTAACTTAATTATACAATTTTTACGATTTTTTTAGTTTTTTGTATGACAATTCACTTTAATTGCAACTATGCGCTAAGGTTATAGTTTGATTTGTATCTATGCGTGTGTGCAGGCCATCGAAGCGATCGAGACGCAAAGCCTGCCCGAACTCGTCGAGCGCAGCACGGCGCAGATCACGGGCCTGGTGTACCTGGTGCAGGGCGAGCTGGAGCCCGGCAACCGCATCACCGTCGAGGCGCTCATCGTGCTCGACGTGCACGGTGCGTGTCTCGTGTCCTCGTGCTAGAGCGAGCGACGAGCTAGCGGACGAAGCACGGCAGATCACGGCCTGGTGTACCTGGTGCAGGGCGAGCTGGAGCCCGGCAACCGCATCACCGTCGAGGCGCTCATCGTGCTCGACGTGCACGGTGCGTGTCTCGTGTCCTCGTGCTAGAGCGAGCGACGAGCTAGCGGACGAAGCACGGCAGATCACGGCCTGGTGTACCTGGTGCAGGGCGAGCTGGAGCCCGGCAACCGCATCACCGTCGAGGCGCTCGTCATCAAGCATTTCGTCTAAGACGTCTTGCAGACACTCCAAGCACCATTTTGATTAAATTATTCGTTGTTTGAATACACTTCAGTCATTTTTGTATTATTTATAACGTGATTTGTGTTTGATGGATTTCTCAGTTATTTACAAGTGTCAAAAAGACATTTTAAAGACAATAGATTGCAATAGATATTTAAAAATACAATAAAAAGTAAAAAAGTCTACATCGCCATCGCCAACAAGTGATGTGCATGCGTTACGATAATTAGTGGTGTGTTTAACACATTGTCGATAAAATAAAATACTCAAGATTAAAAAAAAAAAATTTCGGGCATTATTTTTTTACGGATTTGTGTTCAGTATCAGTAATATAGTAACCTCTGTAAATATGGCAAGAATGCAAAGTAACACCCTGTATTGTATAGTTTAGAAATTATTGAGTGAGATCACTTATCGTTTCCACCCTGTATAGTAGAAAAGCGTTTATTTTGCCAGTCCAGGCAATCTGGGCTTTTATTGACTCCAGTTTCTTCTCGCTTTTTTCGGCCTAATGAAACTGGTGGAGGAGTTACCTTTATAACGATTACGGTTTCGCCTGAGCATATGGAAATATGATTCGTGTCCCGAGGCAGATAACTATCAATATCTAGTTCTTAGAAAGGTCTCTGCACATTTTGGGCTTATTATCAGAGGTATGTTTGCTTTGCTATACGGAATTACGTCATAATTACGTAGAACACAGGCCATGCATCGGTCCGTATCTCATAAAAAGTCGCACGTCAGCAAACCCTTCTGTTCTCTCTCCAGGTCGTTCTATCCTAGAAGAGATGGTCAGCAAGAATGTACAAGACATAACGGACTTCAACTGGATCTCACAGCTGCGCTACTACTTCCGCGGCGACAAGATGTCGTGCTCCATGATCACTACGGAAGTGGAATACGGGTTTGAGTACCTGGGCAATATCGGCCGATTGGTTGCTACGCCGCTTACTGATCGCTGCTTCAGGTAACGTTGGATGGCCATTGATAAAATAATTTAAATAGTTAACATTCAATGGTCCAAAAAACTTATGAAGGTAGAGGGTGGGTCTTTCCAATCAGCTGAAGAAAAAAATAACTACAAAACTTGTCTTCTGATTCATTGAAGTATTCTTTTAGCAAACTTCACACACACACACACACACACACACACACACACACACACACAAACACAAAGCTTATTAGTGTATATATGAATGAACATCAAACGTATCTTATACATTCACTATGTAATTCTGTTCGATTTTTTGTGTGAGTAAAATAAAGATTTATTTATTATTTTAGCGAACTTGAAATTGTGAATTAATGGTAATAATCCTCTGAAGGAGAACCAAAGTAACCGACATAGCTCGCAGAATTGCTAAAATCAAGTGGCAGTGGGCGGGGCACATAGCTCGTAGAGACGATGGCCGTTGGGGCAGGAAAGTTCTCGAGTGGCGACCACGGGCTGGAAGTCGTAGCGTGGGCAGGCCTCCTACTAGGTGGACCGACGATCTGGTAAAGGTCGCGGGAAGAGCCTGGATGCGGGCAGCGCAGGACCGTTCATTGTGGAAAACCTTGGGGGAGGCCTTTGTCCGGCAGTGGACGTCATTTGGCTGAAAAGAAGAATCCTCTGAAGACTACCGTATTTGTGCTCAATAGTTGGCCCTATTGACGCCAACTTGGTAAATGGAACTATCGCATTTGGCCCTCTTTTGGCTTCAGTGCCCACCAGTTGGCGCTATTTTCTTAGTCACTAGTGAGTAACAAGACTTTATTGGTCATTGTAACGTGAGTAACGAGACCTTGTTGGTCATTGTAACAAAATAGCATTGGCGCCTGTCGGCGAGCGCAAATACATTAGCCTTCATAATGCTGGACTCTAGGTAACATTTTGAATAAGTTTCGGATGCCGTAGAATATTTACTTTTTTATTCTACAGAACCCTAATGAGCGCGCTCAAGTTGAATCTTGGCGGCGCGCCTGAGGGCCCGGCGGGCACGGGAAAGACGGAGACCACCAAGGACCTGGCCAAGGCGGTCGCCAAGAAGTGCGTCGTCTTCAACTGCTCTGACGGCCTGGACTACAAGGCGCTTGGCAAGTTCTTCAAGGTATGACTATACTATAAATTAAAGTTGGCTTTTTTGGAAAATGGCTTGTTCGGGAGACTGAAAGTCATAGAACTGCTATCTTGCTAGACGATTCTTGAAGACCCTCGAAAGCTCAGAATGGCTCAGTAGCGGTGATATAATAGCCTATGGATTAGCAAGCTAAGTAGGGCACAAAGCATGCAAAACTGACGACTGATGGGGCAGCAAGGATCTGGCATGGAGGCCAAGTACAAGTGCTGCATAGGACGTCCACTCTTAAGGTGGTCAAATAACCTCGTAAAGGTTGCAGGAATGCGCTGGATTCAGACCGTTGCCAACTGTCAAATCTAGGCATCTTTGGGGGAGGCCTATGGCCTATGTTCATCCTGTGACTGAAATGATGATCGATGGGGCAGCGAGGTTCTGGAACGGAGACCATGTACCGGCAAGTTCAGCATAGGATGTCCACCCTTAAATGACTTCGTAAGGGTTGCAGGAATGCGCTGAATTCAGACCGTTGTCAACTGCCAAATCTAGGCATCTTTGGGGGAGGCCTATGGCCTATGTTCATCCTGTGACTGAAATGATGATCGATGGGGCAGCGAGGTTCTGGAATGGAGACCATGTACCGGCAAGTGTACAGCATAGGATGTCCACCCTTAAATGACTTCGTTAAGGTTGCAGGAATGCGCTGGATACAGACCGCTGCCAACTGCCCAATCTGGACATTATTGGGAGAGGCCTATGGTCAGCAGCAGGGATATTATGAATATCCGTAACCGTAACTTTCGGATATCCGTTATAAAAAAATATCCGAAACTGTAACCGTAACCGATTCAAAAGTTTCGGATAGTTTCGGATGTAGGCAGTTTAAATAGTTTTTTGTATAGCATTAATGTAAAGGCATGTGACGCGCCCCGCGACGCATCGACAGCCCTAGCACCGAGCACGGAGATTTTGACAACCCTACGGCTGCGCGGCCGCACGCCGCACGGACCGAGCTAATATATGAGACGGCGGCGACCGCGGGCGCCTAGCATTCGCTCGGGAGCCATCGCAACAACCAGACGATCGCGCGCGCGTCTACGGTTAATTGCGCAAGAGTCCCTAGCGAATAGCTACCCTCACTGTTCCCACTAACCTGGCTCGATAGGACTTTCTGCTCGCGCGGTTTCCGCGACACGAGCGAACCATCGCTGCCTGTATTCACATCCAAATCCCTACCGAGTGCATGCTTTACTCAATCCCGACCTGCGGTAGCAATCCCGCTGCCACCCTTCCTGTAATTCCTCCCCACTCGCCACGTAGGTCCCAAGCCTTTTACCTTCGGTGCACGAATCCCCACTTCGTTGACCTCGGTTACCGATTTGGGAGCGAACCGTCCTACCCCCCTAGTTTATAAGTATCCAAACTAACACTCGCTAAACCTCGCACAGGGCGCCGCCCCTCTCGCGGATACGTAAACTAGTCTCGGGACGCGAACCGGGCGCGTCGCTATCCCTCTTGTCTCAGTGAAACTAGAATAAGTAAACTATTGTGGAACCTGAATTATAAGTGCCATTGTGTTATTGATTGTGCGTTTCCTTGGTCGAATATCCCTGTAGGCATCCTGGATAGGTACACATCCCTCATCGCAGAAGGCGAACTGGGACTTAGTACTAAACAGCGGGGTGTCAGACTGAGCTAGCTAAGACGCCCCGTTGCAGGCATAACAGCCTGATTTATCTTTATAATGCTATCTAGTATCAATTTTTATTACTTTTTATTCGATGTAAAGTGTGCGGCCATGAATGAACCGTGTTGGACAACTATTGCAAATTGCATTCTAAAGCACAGATATCCGTAACCGTAACCGAAACTTTCGGATATCCGAAATTAAAAAAACATCCGTAACCGAAACCGGTATAATATTATTCATATATCCGTTACCGTATCCGTAACCGAAACCACATATCCATAACATCCCTAGATCAGTCCATCCTGTTAATGAAATGATGATTTCATTACATTTCACCAATCGCTAGGGTCTAGCCCAATCGGGCGCGTGGGCGTGCTTCGACGAGTTCAACCGGATCGACCTGGAAGTGCTGTCGGTGGTGGCGCAGCAGATACTGTCCATCCAGCTGGCCATCCTGCGCCGCGAGAAGCGCTTCGTTTTCGAGGGCACGGAGATCAGCCTCAACCCTACTTGCTCCGTCTTTATTACTATGAATCCTGGGTGAGGAGGTTTTGCTACAAAGTAACTAATGTTTTCAATGAGGGCTAGAGATTTTAGCGCTTACCAGTTGGCACCACTACACAGGGTGTTAGGTAAATGGGTATATGAGCAGACACTAGCCCATGTTAACATGGTCATATAAATGGTATGGTGAAGTCATAAAATGATATCTTCATTTTAATTATTTTAATTTTCATACAAATCGGATTTTATAAAATTTATTTTTTATGAAAATTAAAAAAAAACATGTTAACATGGGCTAGTGTCGGCTCATATACCCATTTACCTAACACCCTGTAGAGTAAGGTCACTGTAAGGCACTGGTGAGTGCTGAAGCGATAGAAGGACTATCGCATTTGCACTCACCAGGATGGCGCCACTACGCTACAGCGTAGGATCATTTCAATCGCCAGTGATGCGAACTGTTAATGATAGCCCCTCATTGATATTACTAATTTCGTAAAGGTTCATCCAGTGTTGTAGCTCAGTTGGAAGAGCAGTCGCCCGGCAAGCGGAAGGTCGTGGGTTCAATTCCCGCCTTAGGCAGTTCGATTTTTTCAAGTTATTTATAATTTTCTAATTTCGTAAAGTTCAAAATTCGTTTTTCAACTGTGGCAGGATGTTGGCAATCGATGAATTAATGATCTTGTTACCCAGTTACGCCGGACGTACGGAGCTCCCGGACAACCTCAAAGTGCTGTTCCGGACGGTGGCCATGATGGTGCCGGACTACGCCATGATCGGCGAGATCACGCTCTACTCCAACGGCTTCGTCTGCGCCGGCCCGTGAGTTGCTTTTACTGTGTATACTATATTTAACTACCTTGTTTAATATACCACGCAATTTTGTATACCCATTATACACTATACAATCGAATGTACCTACTACTGCTATTTCTATTTATTTATATTAACCGGCAGACAGTGGTGACTGAGTTTGTTGCGGCGCTTCTTCTCAGCACTTGCCAAATGTTGGTCTCGAAGCGCGTAAAAAGATTATGAGACATGTAGAGGCTCCTTAAGAGCAAAATGACGATTTGTAAGAACTATTTATTAGTCTAAACAAATAAAGAAATTTTGACTTTGACTTTGACTTTAATTAGTCTTAGAATAAAATTGACAATTATGTGTAGTTTAATCAAGAATATTAACTTTTTGTGTATGATCTAGGTTCACGTTCTTCTACAATCAAGACAATGGAATCGTTTCTCCCTACCTTGAGCCCAGTTTCCACCAAAGCGGAGTGGAGAAGAGAGATGTGTCGGGCGGACTTATTTTTCTATAGAATTTGACAGCGGTGGCAGCGCGGTGCGGAGCGAATAGGAGATTTGGAAATAATATAATCTCAGTGATTATTCAAAACTCATTTACGCTCTACTCCGCCTCGGTGAAAACCGGGCCTTATTTGGTTGATACATACATACTGAAGCAACATCGTTGTGTCCTATCCAGGCTAGCGCGCAAGATCGTGCAAGCATACAAGTTATGTTCGGAACAGCTGTCATCTCAAAACCACTACGACTACGGCATGCGAGCCGTCAAATCCGTGCTGCTGGCCTCCGGCGCGCTCAAGAAAAACTACCCCGAGAAGGTAGGTGGTAGGTCGTGGTAGGTCGTGGAAGGTGTATTATACCATTGATGAATTTTGTAATGATTCTTTAGGTTAAGTTTTGACATCATTTGAAATTGTATACTTTATGACATTAGCTATTATTTTGTTGTATTTAATAATTAGAAAGACTGACTGACTGCATTGCATCATAGTGGAACCTACTAACCCCTAACAACTTTGTACCTATGATAATGACGAATAAATTTCATTTTCATTTTCAAGGACGAGGCGCAGCTCGTGCTGCGGGCCATCATCGACGTCAACATGCCCAAGTTCCTGTCGCAGGTGAGAGCTCGCAACAGCAATTTCTTAACTGTTGATGATGGTACGGGCTCCTTCTTCTTTGCCTGCTGGCCCATTACCATTTTATTTGGGGTTGGCCATCCGTGTCATACGTCTCTAGGCGGCTCGGTCCTGGGTTGTGATGGTACGAGCTCCTAAAGCCACCAAAAGTGACAAGCTGGAGCGAAGAGACGCTACGTACACGATGAGCTCGGAGTAACTTTGGTACGTGACCGCTGCAAACTATAGTCTGGTCCGTGAGCACGTAGAATTTTGTCCAATGACCCCTAGCTACCCATCCTTATCGCTCGCGCGTAATTATATTGCTATCGCGCTCGCTCACTCACTGTGGGTGCCAGTCGCACAGTCGCGACAGCAATATAATTACGCGCGAGCGATAAGGATGGGTAGCTAGGGGTCATTGGACAAAATTCTACGTGCTCACGGACCGGGCTTTAGCTGTGCTTAGAGCAGCTATGGCACAAACAAAACCGTTGCGTAAATGGTTTGCTCTGAGCAGCTGTGGCGCGTAAATGCTGTGACTTTGGAAGGCGCGTGGTGTAGGCAACTTGACCGCCAAGAGATGTCTTGGACAAATTAAATACTGTGGAACATCACGCTCTGCAGCTTACGTGAAATATCTTAGACACATTTAAAGGTACGCCCGCTCAGAGCGGGAGCTATCAGTGACGTCGCTCGGACCCGACGGGGCGCTAAACAAAAGCGCACGCGCAGCCATGTTGCGTGCGGTCGAGGAGGCGTGGCTTAAGACAAAAGCGCACACGCATTCATATTGTGCGTAGGCGGAGCGCAGGCCGGCGCGCTGTCGTAGCTATGCGTAGATGGTGAAATCGCCTGATCATCATGCCACTTTAGGCGCTGGCGTAAGATGATGAGCGGTAGCGGAAGAGGTAGCGGATCAGTACGCTACAAGTATATTCCGTGACTCCTAAATACTTAGCAAACATTACACTGAAGTTTTTAAAGTTTTACAGAGTGATTTTTTTCAAGTGAGAAACGTTTGAAATATCTGTTACATTTCTTCTTCAGGACGTGCCTTTATTCGCGGGTATCTATTCCGATCTGTTCCCTGGAGTGGAGATCCCTCAACCGGATCGCGCCGAGCTGCTTAAGTGCATCAATAAGGACCTGGAAAAACGCAACTTGCAGCCAACTGACTGGTATCTGGAGAAGATTATACAAGTGAGTTTTATTCGTTTATTGATTGCAAAAAGTTATTTATTTATTTATTTATCGTTACTTATTACTGTCATAACATTGGCTGAGGACATCCTATGTGCTCGCTCACCCCTTTGGAATTTACGCTGGAACTCCATTCGCGAAATTCTAGCCATCTTCCATTAGAAACACATCACCATAGCATTCCTTTCCGATTTGCGCGCTGTCTAAAATAAGAAATACAAAAGTGTTCGTACGAGCCTGACATTAGTGACTTTGATAATATTGTGATTTTACTCACTCATTTGCCTGAAACGAACGAACGAACGAACTCACTCTTCTTACCTTTTCCATCGCAGATCTGGTTAGTTATGGCCATACTAATGTGCACCTAAAGGAGCCCTTAGGGCCTTGCCACACTGGTAGGTTGTGCATCCGACACGCCAGTGTGACAGTTCACTTACTGAGCTTCGTGTTACAGATCTACGAGATGATGCTGGTCCGCCACGGGTTCATGGTGGTAGGCCCACCCATGGGCGGCAAGACGCAAGCCTACCAGTCGCTGGCCGACTCGCTGCGCGCGCTGCAGCTGATGAAGCCGCCGCCGCGCCACAAGGAGTTCGGAGCTATCTATCGCATCCTCAACCCCAAGGCCATCACCATGGGCCAGCTGTACGGCTGCTTCGACCCCGCCTCGCACGAGTGGTGAGTGGACCAGTGGCGGCCAGACGCAGGCCTCCCAGCAGCTGATGAAGCCGCCACAAGGAGTTCGGCGCCTTCTACCGCATCCTCGACCCCAAGGCCATCACCATGGGCCAGCTGTACGGCTGCTTCGACCCCGCCTCGCACGAGTGGTGAGTGGACCAGTGGCGGCCAGACGCAGGCCTCCCAGCAGCTGATGAAGCCGCCACAAGGAGTTCGCCATCTACCGCATCCTCAACCCCAAGGCCATCACCATGGGCCAGCTGTACGGCTGCTTCGACCCCGCCTCGCACGAGTGGTGAGTGGACCAGTGGCGGCCAGACGCAGGCCTCCCAGCAGCTGATGAAGCCGCCACAAGGAGTTCGCCATCTACCGCATCCTCAACCCCAAGGCCATCACCATGGGCCAGCTGTACGGCTGCTTCGACCCCGCCTCGCACGAGTGGTGAGTGGACCAGTGGCGGCCAGACGCAGGCCTCCCAGCAGCTGATGAAGCCGCCACAAGGAGTTCGCCATCTACCGCATCCTCAACCCCAAGGCCATCACCATGGGCCAGCTGTACGGCTGCTTCGACCCCGCCTCGCACGAGTGGTGAGTGGACCAGTGGCGGCCAGACGCAGGCCTCCCAGCAGCTGATGAAGCCGCCACAAGGAGTTCGCCATCTACCGCATCCTCAACCCCAAGGCCATCACCATGGGCCAGCTGTACGGCTGCTTCGCCCCCGCCGCGCACGAGTGGTGAGTGGACCAGTGGCGGCCAGACGCAGGCCTCCCAGCAGCTGATGAAGCCGCCACAAGGAGTTCGCCATCTACCGCATCCTCAACCCCAAGGCCATCACCATGGGCCAGCTGTACGGCTGCTTCGACCCCGCCTCGCACGAGTGGTGAGTGGACCAGTGGCGGCCAGACGCAGGCCTCCCAGCAGCTGATGAAGCCGCCACAAGGAGTTCGCCATCTACCGCATCCTCAACCCCAAGGCCATCACCATGGGCCAGCTGTACGGCTGCTTCGACCCCGCCTCGCACGAGTGGTGAGTGGACCAGTGGCGGCCAGACGCAGGCCTCCCAGCAGCTGATGAAGCCGCCACAAGGAGCTCGGCGTCATCTACCGCATCCTCAACCCCAAGGCCATCACCATGGGCCAGCTGTACGGCTGCTTCGACCCCGCTTCCCACGAGTGGTGAGTGGACTATAGTCTGGTCCGTGAGCACGTAGAATTTTGTCCAATGACCCCAAGCTACCCATCCTTATCGTTCGCGCGTAATTATATTGCTGTCGCGACTGTGTAACGGGCGCCCACAGACCGAGCTTTTGTGGCGGCCGGACGCAGGCGCGTTCATCACTATCATTCATCATCATCAGCCAGTTGGACCAGCAGGTTGTATCTGCCTCTATGAGGTCGTCTGTCCATCATGTGGGTGGACTACACTGCGCTTGCCGGTACGTTTCCTCCACTCCGGGTCCTTGCTGCTTCATCGGCCGTTAGTTCTGCGTGCTATGTGCCCTAGCCCATTGTCACTTTTGCTTACTAATCATGGCGTGCGATTATATGGACACAAAAGATTAACTTTGAACTTTAGAAGCACATTGTGTTCTAATGCGAGGTTTAGAACAGCCATAAAAATTGCAGAAGTTTTTTTAACGGAAGCTGTAGATCTTGGCTACACAGGAGTTGCAGCGGTGGGAACGAGAGGTGGGAATAGTCCCGTTCCGCAAGCTGTTTAACACTGTGTAAATAGCTGTGACAAGCCAACTTCTGTAAGATTTACATAGTGACAGCTGGCGGAAGTTAACTTCTGCAAGTTTTATTGCTCGCTTTGAGGTAGCCTTTCGAACTAAGCGTCACAGACGCAGCGTCTTTAGCTTTGGTCTTGTGCCATTAACGCCGCGTCACTAACTCGCTTCGAAAGGCTACCTTTAAGACCAAAGCTCAAGACGCTGCGTCTGTGATGCTTAGTTCGAAAGGCTACCTTTAGACGTATGCCGATATGACTCCTTAGCATACCGGAGTTAAAGTTCAAAATCCATTGTTGAAATTACTTAATACCATATCGTCTACAGGTCCGACGGAGTCCTAGCCATAGCCTTCCGCGAGTACGCCATGTCGATCACCCGCGACCGCAAGTGGATCCTGTTCGACGGGCCCGTGGACGCCGTGTGGATCGAGAACATGAACACCGTGCTCGACGACAACAAGAAGCTGTGCCTCATGAGCGGAGAGATCATCCAGGTAACCGCCTCTGTGGCCTAGTGGTAAGACCACCTACTTCAGACGCAGAGGTCCCGGTTCGATTCCCAGTGAGGGCAGATTTTTCTGTTCGGTTTGGTTGGTGGTAGGGCTTGTTCAAGTCCGCCTGACTAGCTACCACCATCTTAGCTAAGTCTATCGCCATAACAACAATGTTAACAGCATTGTTGTGTTCCGGCAGTTAGAGGTAAGATAGCCAGTTCCTCCGTGGTTGAGGATTCCGGGTGAAGCTCGCTTCCACCTTCGGCCTGATCATCACTTACCATCAGGTGAGATACAGGCCAAGAGCTTCCTCGTTGTGGATAAAAAAAAAAGTTAGGTCAAGGGTTCGGTTCCTGGCTGAGGCAATGAGGGCTATCGTATTGGTTCCCGCTGAAAACTAGCTTCTCGATATGGCGCTTATTATGTCGCGAATATCGCTGAGCGGACGCCTCTTCAGCATAGCTTGTAGTTAAATGTTATGTACTGTATTTTTCTTTTTATGCTGAATAAAGTATTCTTATTCTTATTTTCCCTCATCAGATGGCACCACTGTAGAGTAAGGTCTTGTGACTCACTACTGGCTAAGACAGTGGGGCCAACTTGTGACCGTCGAAGCGGTAGGAGGACTATCTTATTAGCACTCACCAAGATGGCGCCACTGTATAGTAAGATTCTGTCACTCGTCAGTAGTGTCAGTGTACTCGTCAGTGTCTGAACAAAGTGGGTCCATCTTTCTTCTTTTCTTTTTTTGACCTTAACTATGACTGTGACTCCAATGATAAAAGTCATTAACTATGCCTAGGTGAGTCATTGTGTAAAGCTTTTTTATGTATTGAAACTAAAATATTGTTTTTAGATGACAAACAAAATGAACTTGATATTCGAACCAGCGGATTTGGAGTTTGCCTCTCCAGCCACGGTGTCCAGATGTGGCATGATCTACATGGAGCCTGAACAACTAGGTATGCAAAATTCAAGTCTCACATCTTTATATTTCGCAGCTGACAAGCTTTATTTACGCTTAAAATACCTACAAGAACATGCAGGTCTACTCATTATCATATCAGCTAGCTAGGAAATGATCATAGTTGAATTTGAGTCCTTTTTAAACTTTTATCAGATCGTTTATGCCACGGGACGGTATGATATCATCTTATAACCAATACTTCTCTATGTGTCTTTGGTCGGCTAATTAATATCATACGGAATAACACAAGCAATGAGTGAAAACGTATACTATTTATTAATCAATAATTTATTAACCAGGCTGGCGAGCGTTCCTGGAGTCGTACAACACGCACCTGAGCAAGAAACTGATCCCGGAGCAGTTCGAGCTGATCCAGGAGCTCATCGACTGGCTCGTGCCGCCCATCTTCGAGTTCATGCTCGTCAAGTGCCACCACTTCGTCGTGGTCGGCGAGATCCACCAGTTCTTTGTGAGTGTTGTGTGAACCTATGACCACAGAATAATAATAAGTACAGAAGGTTTTCTTCGCGAAGGTATTTAACAAAATGTATGCTCAATGTCGATAACAATATGGTGTAATTTAGCTTGTCTCAAGAATCGAACACCATTTTGTTGACAAACGTCAGTGATCAGTACTGCGCCGAAGCCATAGGGCTGACTTCGGTAAAATGATGTGTGACGTGAGGTACCAAACTGCGGAAAATGGCGGAGGAAATACATGAATAAGCATGAATTATATTTTGTGTTTCTATTATTATTCAGGCAGTTAAAATACTGCACAGTATTAATTACTCCACCGTTTTCACATACATAGTTTATTTTCTTTACAATGCAAATGGGTGAAGAATACACGTGCGTACGTCAATGCTCGCTCCTGAGTGTCCTGTCGATTAAATAATATCCCAGTAGGTTCCGTCCCGCGTGTTTTGTTTTCGATGCAAACTCGCGGAGATGAACAGGCCTGCTATGACTATGACTTAAGGAAGTTACCCCATCTGGTATCAGCTTGGTTTTGAAACCAATTAGTTATAAGCAACAGTAAATGTAGTTATTTGGTAACTTAACTAACTAACATCACGATGGCGCCACCATTATTATTGTCGCGTTTTTGTTTGTGTTGATAAGTTGTAAAACGATCGAACGTATGTCCTTTTTTACAGTCGTTCACGCGCCTGTTCACATGCCTACTCGAAGGCGAGTCCCAGTTTAGCACCATGTGGCTACAATGCACCTTCGTGTTCAGCCTATTGTGGGGACTGTGCGCCACTCTGACGGGTAAATATCGCATATTTACTTACATAAATAACATCTCCCGTATTCTAGCTCAAGAAACGTACAATAGACGTAGATTCCGTGTTAATAAAATAATATATATTCATTGACCATCCAATGGACACTTTCATCTCTAGGTTTTCAAATATGATGTTCGTTGTGGACGTTATGAACACTTGCCAAGAGAAAACTATAGTGCGGATCGTTCGTCGCTTTCGCAAACTCATTAAAGAGTCCAGTGATTATACTACTTCAAATTTCTTGAGCGATAAAAAAGTTTTCTTCTCGTTGGCGTTGAAACAAATGTCATATTTGCAGCAAAATAATAGCTAATATTGTTTGTTATTCCTAAATAACAGGCGACAGCCGCAAGCAATTCGACTCGTTCTTCCGCAAACTCCTGGATGGCAGCAATGCGGCCTACCCCAAGCCCAAGTCCTTCAAGCTTACTAAGAACCAGCTGTTCCAGGATAAGGACACGGTGTTCGATTACGTGTACGATAAGAGAAACAACGGCACCTGGATCCCGTGGGTCGATCTGGAGAAGGAAGTACCTTTGGCTGCTAACGCGAAGGTAACATTCTAGACTAAGAGCTGGTGAACGCCAGACCTACGTCATTTTATAAAAGCTGAAAGTTTCTCAGCGTATGCTCCCAATATAGGATAGAATGTTGGTGAATCATGAAGTTTGGGTCATCGTGGCTTTGGCAGCTATCCTAAAAAAACTGTCTGGCAAGGAGTTGGAACTGTCAATACTGTCTGGCTGATTCTATCCTCTATTGGGAGCTTGACGCTGACAAACTTTCAGCTTTTATAAAATGACGTAGGTCTGGCGTTGACAAGCTCTTGTCTATTCGTTATGGTTTCTATAAATTAATATTATTTAAGGATGAATTGCGGCTTTTTATTCTACTATATGACTTGTTTTAGAAAAGCCTGGCTTGTCTGCAAGGTCATAGGAACGGTTATTTTAACTTAAACTTCTTGACAGCGTAGTATTATTACACTCCATTTGATGTATATTGCAATTCAATGTCGATTTATCGCTCTAAAAATTCGCCTACAGGTCAACGAGCTCATAATCCTGACGAACGAAAACGCGTGTCTCCGCTACTTCGTCTCCAAGATGGTGAAGTCCAAGATTCCTATCTTACTGGTGGGCCCCACTGGCACCGGCAAGTCCTCGCTCGTGCTCAACTTCCTGCTCACGCTGCCCAAGGAGAAGTACATAACCAACACCATCAACTTCAGCGCCAGGACCACGGCCAATCAGGTAACTTCTAGGCTGTATGTATATCCTCGTTCGTTTCAGCCAAATGACGTCACTGCTCAGTTTACTCTTGTTTTTATTTTTTTCTTCTTCCATTATTATGTGCCACTGTCATGTCCTATGTAATTGCCTGTATAGATGACCCAAACTGATCTGTCCTACCAAACTCATTGACAGAGGGGCGCCACCATCGTTCAACTATATAGTTTCCAACATGGCAAAAATTGGAACCAGCGATCCGCTATTGACGGTGGCGCCCCGCTTTCAATGTCACAGATAGGATGTCACAGTTTAGTATATTAGGTTTTATATTTGTGTGATGCCATTGTAATAAATGTTTCTTTCTTTCACTGCTGTACAAAGACCTAATTTGTACAGACTGGTGCTGCACCGCCCGCATCCAGGCACTACCCGCGACCTTCACCCGATCGTCTGTCCACCTAGAAAAGTCCTCTAATTATTATTAACCTTGAACTGTAACAATTTATTTTACAGACCCAAGATATCATCATGTCAAAAGTAGACAGAAGACGTAAAGGCGTATTCGGACCTTCTATGGGTAAAAAGGTAAGTCCAAAAGTTCCTTGGAATGTTTTATTACTTATTATTACATTTTATTTAGTATGTAGACCCAACATGGCAAACCATCACATGGCAAAGCAACTTGAGCAACTGGACACTATAAGGATTTACCCTCTGAAACCCTCTGCGCAGCCTCTATGTGTATAGATGACCTAAATTGAATTGTTCCACCAAACTCATTGACAGGGGGATGCCACCATCGTTCAACTATAAAGTTTTCAACATGGCAAAATTCGGAACCAGCGATCCGGTATTGACGGTGGCGCCCCGCTGTCAATGTCACTTTGGTTAGTTTTGACATTTCTTTTGCAGTGTGTACTATTCGTGGATGACCTGAGCATGCCTCAGAAGGAGCAGTGGGGAGCGCAGCCGCCGCTGGAGCTGCTTCGGCAGTGGATCGACCACGGACACTGGTACGACCTCAAGGAGATGGTGCGCCAGGAGGTCGTCGACGTGGTGAGACTAGAGTCCTGGAATACGAATGCTACAGTTACCTATACCATAGAATAATAATAAGTACTACGTACAGAAGTTTTACTTCGCGAAGGTATTTAAAAAAATGTTTTCTCAATGTCATTAACAATATGGTGTAATTTAGCCTGTCTCAAGAGTCAAACACCATTTTGTTGACAAACGTCAGTGATCGGCACTGCGCCGAAGCTATAGGGCTTCGGTAAAATGATGTGACGTGAGGTGCCAAACTGCGGAAAATGGCGGAGGAAATACATGATTTAGCATGAATTATCATGAATGATATTAACTACTTATTTTTACCTCTCAGAGTCTTGAGGAAACTTAAAAAATTCTGTGTTTTTATTATTATTTAGGGAGTTATACTGCACAGTATTTAGTACACCATTTTCTTTATTTTCTTCCATCATACACAAGAATACGCGTGCGTGAGTCAATGTTCGCTCGTATGTGAGGCCTTGTCGAATAGTATCCTGTAGGTGGGCCATCGTGCGTGTTTTGTTTTCGATGTAAACTCGCGGAGATGAACAGGCCTGCCTATACGCCGTATTCACAAACGATGCTTGCTTTGTGAAGCAGCAAATCGAACGCACAGCCTTGAATAGAACTCTGTGATTGGTTCGCGTGTCACTCTGTGCGTCCACGCACACTGTAAGACCGCATAGTAATGTTTGTGAATACGAGCGTTTTGTTCGGCCAGATAAATGACTTCAGATTTTAATCACAGCGTAATCCAAAGGAGATCGGTGTATAGCCCGAAGCTAATATTACAAGCAACGCCCTTTGTGATGCATGAATTTGTCTTCGATTTCAAAACGAAATAATCTTGAGATCACTGAAAAAAGTCTATCATTGTTTCATTTATGCTATGACGTTATTTACAACAATACATAAGTCTGTTAGCACGGACTTAGAGGCTGGTATACTGTATAAGATCGTCAACTAACATTTAGGTTGTGGGTTGACGAGCCGGTTCCTACCCGGTCCGGCAATAAACCGGCGAAAAACCGGCCCAACGATAAATGATTTCTATTCTATTCGATGCCGGCCCCGATAGTAACCGGCTCGTCAACACACGCCCTTAAAGCGACCTCCAAATATTTCTTGCGTCCACTTGGCCAATGTAACCATACCCTAACTCGCATCCATTGTGCTCAGTTGCTGGTGTCAGCCATGCTGCCTCCCGGCGGCGGCTCCAACCTGATCTCGTCGCGGCTGACGCGGCACATGCTGCTCATCACGCTGGACTCCTTCGAGGACAACACGCTCAACAAAATCTTCTGCACCATCATGGACTGGCACTTTACTAAGGGTTTCACTGACACTCTTATGAGGCAGAGTAAGGTAAGTTGTTTCCCGGGGAAAGATGTTTAGAACTACGTAATGGCAAGGCAATAAAGCAAGACAAACATTTATATTTATGTTTCCTCCACACGTCTCACGTCTTTTTTTACCAGATGCAACTGGGGAATTTGACCTACACTGCTCATGGTGGACAAACAGGCTTACCTGATATAAAGAATACCTATCAGTTTAAGTTGATACATACCCGCTTAGATTAGTGCCTTTTTATATTCTTCCGTAAAATATCATCCGATGCAAAATTTCAGTCCCTAGCTGTTTGCAATAGAACTTAGCGAAACATGCTGCTATGTCTGGTTCTAAGAAGGATATAAAGCATACTTTACTTTAGCTAAATCGCATACTCCTCCCCAGACGGTGGTATCAGCCACGATGGAAGTATACAAATCAGTAGCGTCCCAATTCCTGCCAACTCCAAGCAAGTGCCACTATCTGTTCAACTTGCGGGATTTTGCGCGAGTCATCAAGGGCATCCTGCTGGTGCCGTCCAGCCACATGAAGGAGATGAATAAACTCGTGCTGCTGTGGATCCACGAGACCTACCGCGTGTTCTACGACCGCCTGGTGGACGACGCCGACAGGTGAGAGGGAACACAGAAGCGCCACACCTATCGAGGCATCCTACTGGTTCCCTCCAGCCACATGAAGGAGAAGAATAAACTCGTGCTGCTGTGGATCCACGAGACCTACCGCGTGTTCTACGACCGCCTGGTGGACGACGCCGACAGGTGAGAGGGAACACAGAAGCGCCACACCTGTCTTAGGGCATCCTGCTGGTGCCTCCAGCCACATGAAGGAGATGAATAAACTCGTGCTGCTGTGGATCCACGAGACCTACTGCGTGTTCTACGACCGCCTGGTGGACGACGCCGACAGGTGAGAGGGAAGACAGAAGCGCCACACCTGTCTTAGGGCATCCTGCTGGTGCCTCCAGCCACATGAAGGAGCTGAATAAACTCGTGCTGCTGTGGATCCACGAGACCTACCGCGTGTTCTACGACCGCCTGGTGGACGACGCCGACAGGTGAGAGAGATGGAATATACCATCGTCTCGGCACAAGGCAGTAGCGTCCCAATTCCTGCCAACTCCCAGCAAGTGCCACTATCTGTTCAACTTGCGGGACTTCGCGCGAGTCATCAAGGGCATCCTGCTGGTGCCCTCCAGCCACATGAAGGAACTGAATAAGGTCGTGCTGCTGTGGATCCACGAGACCTACCGCGTGTTCTACGACCGCCTGGTGGACGACGCCGACAGGTAAGAAGGATGGAATATACCATTGTCTCAGCCATAAGGCAATAGGCGTCCCAGTTCCTCCCAACAGCAAGCAAGTGCCACTACTTGTTCCAACTGCAGGACTTCGCGCTCGTCATTAACTAAGAAAGAGAACACACACAGTTTCACAGTTCAGGTTAGCTGCTATTAAACGACATTCATTTGACCAAAATGTCAAATGATGTCAAATTCCAGACTAGTAGGTGCATATCTATCCAGTATGGATAGGCATCCAGCTTTGACTATAAAAATTCAGGGCAAATTGTTCAGAAAAGACATGAGCAGGCAGCTAATCTCAGTTAACTATTATAGAAAAGAGTTGAGAAAACGCTTTTTGCGGGTAGGATGACTGTCGACAATATAGAGATGGCACACCATTGTTTTAATAGGCTTAAACTCGCTCGTCTTAAGCCTAGGCGCAGACCATTGATTTTTCGTCAACCGATAGTTTAGTCGGGCAGTTGATCAGTATGGGCATGTATGTAAGTGCGCACATTACACCGATTCGATTTGGCCGATTCCCTATACAATTTAAAATCGGGCACAACTATCAGCCAACTAAAAATCAACGGTGTGCGCCTACTCTTATAGAAAAGAGTTTGGAAAACACTTTTTGCGGGTAGAATGAATATAGAGATGGCACACCATTGTTCTTATAGGCTTAAACTCGCTCGTCTCAAACCTTTTTCTTAATATAAGAATCTCATTAATGTGTTTGTTTCTCAGACAAAAGCTCTTCGAAGTGGTGCTGAAAGCGGTGTACGGCAACTTCCGCGTGCACATGGACCAGGTGCTGCAGGAGACGGGCTACATCCCCGAGGGCGAGAAGCTGGCCAACAAGCACGCCGCCAACATCTTCTTCGGGAACTACATGGAGCCCGACGCCGACCCCAAGGTTTATGACCAGGTCAGTGGTGTATTCGCCAAATTCTCAGCATATACTGGCCCGTGAAAACCAACGACGAACTCTAGGAATGCTGCCACGAAATTCTGATCGACCAGCAGATCAAGCGTCGCAAGTGGAACTACATCGGCTACACTCTCCGAAAGTCCGAAAGGACCACGATCACATCCCCCAGCAGGCTTTGGATTGGAACCCCCAAGGAAAACGCAAACGTGGTCGCCCCAGCAAACTTGGCGGCGCACTGTAGCAGACGAGGCGAAAATAATCAGCAAGACTTGGAGCGAGATCAAACGCGAAGCTCAAGACCTAACGCGATGGAGGACTGTTGTAGACGCCCTGTCTAGGGGACATAGCACATTAAGTCAAGTAAGTCAAGTGGTGTATTGTGTGATGAATTGGCTCTTCGAAGTGGTACTGAAGGCAGTGTACGGCAACTTCCTAAGGCTTATGATCAGGTTAGTGGTGTGATGATGATGATGATTCATTCGACTAATTTCGGCCATCGTGCACTTCGACTCCTGTCTTGGCGGCGCTGGTGCGGCCGATAATGGCTTACGTAGCCGATCTTCGCGGGAAACCATCTGAGCACGCCGCCAACATAATTACAGTGAATGGCGGCAGATACTAAGGTTAGTGGTGTATTGTGTGATGGATTGGCTCTTCGAAGTGGTGCTGAAGGTGTACGGCAACTTCCGCGTGCACATGGACCAGGTGCTGCAGGAGACGGGCTACATCCCCGAGGGCGAGAAGCTGGCCAACAAGCACGCCGCCAACATCTTCTTCGGGAACTACATGGAGCCCGACGCCGACCCCAAGGTTTATGACCAGGTCAGTGGTGTATTCTCCGAATTCTCAGCATATACTGACCCGAGAAAATTTTCCACGATGAACTCTTGGAACGCTGCCACGAAATTCCGATCGACTAGGAAACCAAGCGCTGCAAGTGGAACTAGATCAGCCACACTACGAAGGGACCCCGATCACATCCTCAAGCAGGTTCTCGCTTGAAACCCCCAAGGAAAACGCAAACGTGGTCGCCCCAAACAAACTTGGCGGCACACTGTAGCAGACGAGGCGAAGAAAATCGGCAAGACTTGGAGCGAAAGCGATGGAGGACTGTTGTGGACGCCCTATGTCCCATGTAAGGGACATAGGACCTTAAGTCAAGTAAGTCAAGTGGTGTATTGTGTGATGAATTGGCTCGTAAGTCAGTGGTGTATTCGCCAAATTCTCAGCATATACGTGCCCGAGAAAATTTCCAACAACGAACTCTTGGAACGCTGCCACGAAATTCCGATCGACCAGGAAATCAAGCGCTGCAAGTGGAACTACATCGGCTACACTCTCCGAAAGGACCACGATCACATCCCCAAGCAGGCTCTGGATAGGAACCCCCAAGGAAAACGCAAACGTGGTCGACCCAGGCAAACTTGGCGGCACACTGTAGTAGACGATGAGGCGAAGAAAATAAGAAAATCAGCAAGACTTGGAGCGAGATCAAACGCGGAGCTCGAGACCAAACGCGATGGAGGACTATTGACGCACTGTGCCCCATCTAGGGGACATAGCGCATTAAGTCAAGTAAGTCAAGTGGTGTATTTTGTGATGGATTGGCTCTTCGAAGTGGTGCTGCTGACTCCAAGGTTTACGATCAGGTCAGTGGTGGATTGTGTGATAAATTGGGTATATGATCAGGATACTGTATTGTGTAATCAGCCAGGGCTACCGTATTTAAACTCATTGGTTTGTGCCTGGCAAGAAACAAGAGTGTCTTATTCGACAATGGTGACTTCTCTAAAAAAAGCGACCAGGACCTTACTGACCAGTAGCGCCAACTGGTGGAAACTGGTGGATCTTGATCTGCAAGGCTAACGAAATAATGATAACATTTTAATAAGAAGGAAAAGAAAGAAACATTTGTTTTGGCTCTTACATAAAAAACAACAAGTTTACTATTTTCTACTTCGCTGGCAGTTGGTGTACCTTATCTTATCTTATTTAGGGCCGCGCATGGGCGCAGTGCACGTCGACCCATTGGGATATTTTGTGCTTATATGTGTACCTTTCTGTAACTCACTATTTGATCCTGCACAGGATCGGCCTTGCTGTCTCTAACATAGGTCCATCAACTCTCAAATATGATTAGTTGTACATTTGCAACTTGTCTGTTGTCATGCAAGAGGTCATTGGAGGAGGAGGCTCCTCCAATGACGTCTACGTCTTGTAGCTGAAATAATGCCGATGATGAATGTGATATATGGTGTCCACAGGTGATGGACCTGGACGACATGGCGGTGAAGATGGAGTACTACCTAGAAGAGTACAACGTGGTGTCGTCGTCGCCCATGGCTCTCGTCATGTTCCGGTACGCGCTCGACCACATCTCACGCTGCACGCGCGTGCTACTTCAGGATAACGGTACTGTCTAACTAATGGACTGATTACCAAACACCAATATACATTTTCGTTACCACAAAGGTGTCCCAAAAACTCTTTGAAGTTCCCACATCAGATAAGTCGAATCAGTAAGACAACAAACGAACCTAAACAACGAAAGATAAGGAGACATGTAAAGTGCCCCATAAGGGCTACCTTTTTCTTTTTTTATTATTTTCTATTGACGTTCATAAGTGCCACTTGTGGTCTAAACTGAATAAATATTTTTTGATTTTGATTTTGAACCTGCCTAGGTGATTTTTATTAAATTTTGGCCTGAAAAGGCCCAGATAAGAAAGAAAGAAAGAAACATTTATTGCCATGGACATCACAAAAGACAAAAGAGGTGAAATAAAAAAAAGCAAATAAGACAGAGGTGATATAAAACATACAATGAATGAGCAAGTTTAGTAAACTGAGCAGTGCCACCCTGTCGCACAGCGATGCCCATCGCAATGGGACCCCACTCAGCATATGCCGTGGCCCACGGTGAGGGGGATGCAGATCATAATTAATATTATTCAAAGGCCAGCAATTTTACAAAAAGACATAGTTATGGATGATTCCGTTCTAACGAGGGCATAAGATTGGCACTAAGATTTTGACCCATTTAGCACAAAGCAAATGACCGAAAGAAGAGTGAAAGAAGCTCATACTAATCGCAAATATTTTTAGGAAATTTGCTACTGGTCGGTGTTGGTGGCAGCGGCAGGAGCAGTGCGGTCAAACTGGCCGCTAGTATTCTTGAAATGAATGTCATTCAGGTGAGCTAGTTTGATTATCTCAATAATCTATGTTTCGACTAAGAGGTGTCTAACAAAAACTTACAAGTTGATTAAGTATCTCTAGCACAGCACCTAGATGTGGTCAGTGAAGGATTGGTCGTTGTGGATATCTTCGTTGTTTTAAGTAACTGTCCTCTCCATAGGTTGTCTGGAAGAGATCGCTTCATAGCGATAACACCGCCTAGTTGTACCTTATGTGTTCCTTTTCTTTCTGTTTTTTTTTATCCACAACTAGGAAGCTCTTGGCCTGCATCTCACCTGATGGTAAGTGATGAGCTTCACACTTGTTCTGTTCTTTGGTGTACAATAAAGAGTAATTATTATTATTATCTTCAGTGGAGGTCTTTGTCCTGCAGTAGATGTTCTTTGGTTGAAACTAAAATCAAAAATATAGCACTAGTATCCTGATATTTAACTCCTCTGTCCATCAGATCGAGATCTCCCGCGTGTACGGGCAGAACGAGTGGCGTGACGACATCCGCAAGCTACTTATGAAGGCCGGCATCATCGGCAAGCCGCTCGTCTTCCTGTTCGCCGACAACCAGGTCAGGTCATATCTACGACTAGCGGCCGCCCGCGACTTCGTACGCGTGGATCCCGTTCTACCCCCTTAGGGGTGGAGTTTCGTAAAATCCTTTCTTAGCGGATGTCTACGTTATAACATCTACCTGCATGCCAAATTTCAACCCGATCCGTCCAGTGGTTTGGGCTGTGCGTTGATAGATCACTATGTCAGTCAGTCAGTCATCTTTGAGTTTTATCATATCTATGATAGCATTCCTACAATATTGAATACAGGTAGTGCCTAAATGATTAGTTTCTCGGGGAAGCGGAGTGAGAGAGGTGTGACATGTGATGTAAGAGCAGTCAGATATGTATATCGATGTCTGAAGCACAAGTTTCGCTGACGTTGAGAGCCTACGCTAAAACACGCGTATCTGTATCGACACGAAAATAGTGTGAGATCCCTGTTTTGTGCGGGTGTGTAATGTATGATATAACTACATATCATATAATACTTAGAGGATATAACATCAAATTATATAAAATCATTTAATATAATAATTATTTACTATAATAAACGAATAATATAATTTTGAAACGAATAATTTTAAGACAAATAACTAACAACTGATATAAAATGGTTTGATATAATAAATATTTTCTATAAAACTTACAATGTATACTATTTAAAACAAATAACATTCAAATCATATAAAAATAAAATGTCGAAAAATCAAATGAGATAAAATTCTTTTCCTATAAAACTTAAATCATAAAACAATAATTTTATATAAAGTTCAATTGTTATAATAAGCATGGCATGCAGCAAGCAAACAAGCAAGCTAGCAAACGAGCAAGCAAGCAAGCTAGCAAGCAAGCTAGCAAGCAAGCTAGCAAGTAAGCTAGCAATCAAGCTAGCAAGCAAGCTAGCAAGCAGGCAAGCAAGCAGGCAAGCAAGCAAGCAAGCAGGCAAGCAAGCAAGCAGGCATGCAGGCATGCAGCATGCAAATTTAACTAAAAACTTGAGACTTCTGTCACGGCTCCGGCACTGCGGGGCTCTGGCGGTCCCTCGCGTGCTAATCGTCGCAGATGGCTTTCGCTCGACACCGCGTTTTCGGCTTGCTGGCCGGCTTTGCCGGCCAGCCTCAGCCGCGGCGCCTCGCTTCTCCAGCCACCTGCTCCTCAGCCCGCGGGCCGCCTCGCCCCTCCGTGCCTACGCGCTTCTAAATTACACTCTAGGGGTAGGGCAGACAAGACTACGTGGAGTCGGTTTTACGGCGATTCGTTTTTGTCACTAAAGTCATTTATAAGTCAAGCTAAAGAAACATAGTAAAAGTTATATCTATCAGAAATTATATCAATTAAAGAGTATACCAAATAGTCGTTAAAACAAATAATATTTATTTTATGTAATGGTTATATGAAATATTATTTATATTAAACAAAATTACATCAAATGAGTCTTAGATTAAATAAGGTTTATATCAAATGTCTTTATGCGTTATGATTGGTATCTCAAATGAAATTATTAGAAATTATTTATTATATGAAGTAAACATTAGATGTTAAAAAATTATATCAAGTGTTATTATAAAATACGTTTATTATACAATATGAACGTTATTGAAATGAATTTATATCATATAAACTTATATTAACTGTCACGCACCCGTTTTGTGCACCTAATAAAATAAATCTATACTAATATTATAAATGCGAAAGTAACTCTGTCTGTCTGTTTGTCTCGCTTTCACGCCTAAACCACTGAACCGATTTTGATGAAATTTGGCATAGAGATAGTTTGAGTTCTGGAAAAGGACATAGGATAATTTTTATCCCGGTTTTTGAAACAGGGACGCGCGCGATAAAAGCTGCGGGTGGAATGCTAGTAAATCTATATAAATAAAAATGAATTGCTGTTCGTTAGTCTGATTAAAACTCGAGAACGGCTGGGCCGATTGAGCTGATTTTGGTTTTAAAATGTTTGTCGTAGTCCAGGGTAGGTCTAAACGGTGAGCAAATAAGGAAAAATTGCGATGGCTTATTTATTGCCTTTAAGGCGGAACAGAGTTCGCCGGGTCAGCTAGTAATAAATAAAAAAGAATCGCAGTGTGGCGTCAATGCGGGCGACGAGTTTCTACACGTGGTGGTGGTGTGGGTGGGCGCACGCCACGGCCATGTTATAATAGGTTTTAACGTAAGTCCTGAATGAAACAAACACCTTACACCCTCCCACACCGTTCTACTACTACAAGTATGTCAGCTATGCGCTACATCTGTATTGATATTCCAGCTCATAAAAAGAAAGAAATAAATACATTTATTACAATGGACATCACACAAATACAGGCAATTACATAGACATGACAGTTGCACATAATAATGGAAGCAAAAAAAAATTAAAACAAGAGTAAACTGAGCTGTGCCACCCATTCACCAACAAGATGCCTACTGCAACGGGACCCCACTCAGCATATGCCGTGGCCCACGGTGACGAAGGCCACGGCGCTGGTTTTCAGTGTGCCCCATGCCGAGTGAGGGTCACGGACCATTGGTAAAATAAATAAAATAGTAAAAACACCATAGCTTTCCCATAACATGTAATATTTGTAGATAATGTACGAGGGCATGGTGGAGGACATCAACATGCTTCTGAACACGGGAGACATCCCCAACCTGTACGGCATGGACGAGAAGGTCGAGATCCTGGACAAGATGCAGGCCGCCGTCAGAGAGGCTGTAAGGACTTTGAAATGTTGCAGTAGATACCTATAGATAGTTATACACTTGTGAAAAGAGGTAAGACAGATTATTCAACAAATCGCAAATACATTCGCTAATACTTTTATTATACCACGTTGCTTGTGTGGGGGATCTGATACAAAGCTTGGTTAATTAGTTTTGAGTTACAATTTTGTCCATTGACCCCAATTAAGCTACCCATCCTTATCTTGACTTTTATTCCAGAGCATCTACTTACTTATCCAAGAAATTTCGCATGTTCTGAACAACCTTGGTATAGTCCGGTCGCCGAGCACGAAGAATTTCGTCCACTAACTGCGGCCGCCGGTCGCACAGTCGCGACAGCAATATAATTAATTACGCGCGAGCGATAAGGATGGGTAGCTTGGGGTCATTGGACGAAATTCTTCGTGCTCGGCGACCGGACTATACCAAGGTTGACCAGTAGAAGTGTGACAACGTGCGAAATTTCTTGGATAAGTAAGTAGATGCTCTGGATTAAAAGTCATAAAAATCACTTAAGGTTCGACCAAACAATCAAAGCGTTTACTTCTGATCGCCATCGCGCTCGCGGACTGCACGCGTTGTTTTGGTCGAACCTTTTTTTAAAAATTAGGCTTTTAAAGAGCCCATTTTATGCTTCATTGATACTGTATTCAATAACCTAATTTGAACAATGTTTTTTCCAACGCTTACCATTGGTCATCTGACACGTAAGTACCATCTTTACCAAATTATTTTTCACCAAACAACTTCTTCTCTAAATCCTATTATGGCCATTCCAGGGCAAGAAAATGGAGACGACCCCGCTAGCTATGTTCGGTTTCTACGTGGACCGCGTCAAGGCCAACCTGCGCATCGTCATGGCCATGTCCCCCATTGGAGATTCCTTCCGCAATAGGCTGAGGATGTTCCCTTCGTTGATTAACTGCTGCACTATTGATTGGTGAGTTTAGTCAAGTTCTTGTCTAACAAATTAAAATATGTGAAAAATATTATTGGCAGGTAGTTGCTAATTGCTCATAAGATAGGCCCCCTTAATTGATATTTATTGTCCGTGGTGCATAATCTTTTCTTAAAGGTTTTAAACCTTTGTTTGTCACCTGTCATCCGCTTGGCATTGGAGGGAAGTCGAACCTTAATTTCGAACTCCTCCTATGTTCTTCTGATTAATTTCGTTGCGGGTCCAATGACAGTTTAACTTTCCCCCGGGACAAACTTGACCTTCATTGGTTGGGTTTTTGTGGCGGTCAAGCTGTAGATCCTGGCTACACAGGACTTGCAGTGGTGGGAACGAGAGGCGGGAATAGTCCCGTAACAAATTAAACGCCGCAGGGCTCTCTAATTTTGTGTCATGTGACATGAAGTTTTAATTCAGATACATATTTCGATTTTTTATATGAGAAACTTGTTTTATGTATTGTGGATACTGTTAATTTAAATAATAGTATTGTAGGATTAGCATCTTACTGTCCGCTCTCCTGCAGAATCAGCAAACAAAATGGCAGTGGGCGAGGCACATTGGTAGCTTACAGTGATAGAAATGATGGCTCTTGAGCTAAATAAGTTCTCGAGTGGCGACCACGGACTGGAAAACGTAGAGTGAAATGAGTGTGGGTGGACTCACAATAATATCACGGATAGCACTAGCGTATAAGGTCACGGATAGCACCTGGATGAAAGCGCAAGACCAGTGGCCTAATTCACGTATTTTGACAGTCAAAATCTCGCTGACATTCAGAAGTCGTCCCATTGAAAAACAGTTTTAAACCCGTATTCACAAGGGTCATTTTGATAGAACGATTACACGATAGGATCGCAACTCAGCGATTTGTTGTCATTGAAGTTTTGTTACGTCGTCCCATTGAAAAACAGTTGTAAACCCGTATTCACAAGGGTCATTTTCATAGAACGATTACTCGATAGGATCGCAACTCAGCGATTTGTTGTCATTGAAGTTTTGTTACGTCGTCCCATTGAAAAACAGTTCTAATCCCGTATTCACAATTTGATAAAACGATTAGTCGATAGGATCGCAACTCAGTGTTTTGTTGTCGTTGAAGTTTTGTAACATGAATAAGGCTACAGTTGTTGTTTGGAAGTCCTTAGGGAGACCTTAGTTCAGCCATGGACGTTCTTTGGTTGAAATGAATGTACAGACGACGGCACGTCAACGTAACCACTGCGGGTTCTTGTGCAGTGGTATTAGGGGTGATTTTGCAACAAAAATGGGTAACCTGATGTGCTGTCGTGTGTACTTTTCGCTTAGGTTCACGGCGTGGCCGGCAGAGGCGCTGGAGCGCGTGGCGTCCATGTTTATCGCCAAGATGGAGAACGTAGAAGAAGAGCTGTGCACCGCCTGCGTCGAGATGTGCCAGCTTTTCCACATGAGCGTCGTGGCGCTCAGCGACAGGTAGATCTAGTTAAAGTCAACATTTTTTTATTTGCATAGATCATTGGTTCCCAAACTTATTTGAGACGCGCCCCCTTTCGACCTTACAAAAAATTCCTCGCCCCCCTCCTCCAGTCAAGATTATTTATTGGTCATATTGAGCAGTCTGGAATGCATTTTCTCAGTGGTCAGTTTTTTATACATAAGGGTGCGCCCCCCACTTTAGGAACCAATGGCATAGATAGACTTTTTAAATAGTACTTACTAATCGTCAAGTATTTAAAGAAAAAAGGAAGATAAAAAAAATCACTTCTTGTGGCACCCAGCCCTTGTGCTTTGCCAGAACAAGGGCAGCCTTGCGTGATATCCAGTGAAATTGATTAGTTGACACAATCAACCGAAATTAAATTCAACGGCGAAGTGGTCGGATTGGCCAACTCGAGATCCGAGGAACGGGGGTTCGAATCCCACCGCCGCTCGACTATTGTGATGAGCCCACTCGTAACACAAGCTTATTTAGCTTAACACGAGGGGCTAACGGGACTATTAGTAATTTGTGCAATACAAACTGCTAATAATCTTTAAAAAAATCCAAGACAGGATGAGGGTAAAAAAAATGGGTCACGTCATATGGCTACGTTCGTCTACCACATGCCTTTGAAGTCTTGTCATATTATGTCATAATGTGAGACACAATACGGTTGACAAATTTAATGTGAGACACAATACGGTTGACAAATTTTTATATTTCTTATGTTTACCGTAGATTCTACTCGGATCAAAAGCGTAAAGTGTACGTGACGCCCACCAGTTACCTGGAACTCATCAAAGCTTTCCAGAGCCTCTACGCTTTGAAAGTGGACCAGATTACCAAATCAAGGATCAGGTAAGAAGTCCCAATTAGTACTAGGGTTATAAAAGTCATAATATCATCACTTACCATCAGGTGAGATACAGGCCAAGAGCTTCCTTGTTGTGGATAAAAAAATATTATACATGAAATCCATTCTGCGTATTGATAAAACTACGCAATATACCTGGTTTTCCTGGTAAACATTTCTAGCTAATTTCGGGAATCAAAATAATTGGTAAACATTACAACAAACCAAAGTATCCACAGTATAGGTGGCGCAGTAAGAGTTGAAGCGATCAACACAAGCAAAGATTTGTATCTGTATACGCTTTTCGCGTATTCTGACAGATTTTTGTGTTCTTAATTCAACTATTATAGCCTGACCAGGAACATAAAAACCCTGGCATAGAGGCGCGTCAATTGCATTTGATAGTGCAACACTGAGTACAGTCGTACCTGTGTTAAATTAATAGGCTAACTTTATGTATCAGGATTCAGGATTACGGGCTAATTTGATATTTTCATAAATTAACGAAAAAATATGATTATAGGTAACCTGGTTTAAATAAATTAAATGAAACCATCAATCGAGCTAGTAGGATTTATTTTATTATTGATCAATAATCAAATTCAGAACTTGAATATTCAACTGCAATGTCTGCTCATGAACGCTTCAAACTCGGTACTTCTTTCCCAATTCCATAAAATTCAACACTTAGAAAGTGACGAAAAACTTTAAAATAGGTAGTTAAAACAAACCACAGCTAATTTTTCATAGCGGACTGTACTATACGATAAACATGTCAGTCAATTTGACAACCTTTGTCGGAAACATTAATCAATGAAAATATTGTCCGAACCCTTAATATTTCTCTTCGACAAATACTTTAACACATTGTGAACCACTTTTCTTTCACGACTATAAAAAGATTTTAGCAATTTAATTCACAAAATCAATTTCACACATTTAAATATCCTTGGACATTTTACACTGCGCCTCTAGTCCCAAACTAAGCAAAGCTTGTACTATGGGTACTAGACGACGGGATAAACATACTTACATATATACTTTTTTTTTTTTTTTTTTGTAAATACATACATATTATACATAGAAAACACCCAGACCCGTCACAGAAATTAAAATTCATCATTTCAATTTCTGCCCGGCCGGGAATCGAACCCGGGACCTCTCGGCATAGTAGTCCGTTCTGAACCACTACACCAAACGGCCGACCGATTTAAAATAAAGTTTGTTTACACTTTGACAGCAATAGATTGACATGCAAGGTGACATGTCAATGAAGTTTTCAGTTACTGTTGCCATTAAAAGAAATTAGTACCATTAGTTTTCCGCAACATGGCGAGGGTTTTTATGTTCCTGCCTGGTCAGGCTATACATCAGTATGAGTATGTGTTCGCCTCAACTTTCGTTGCGCAACCTATAAATTGGTAATTTAAGTTAATTTTGTAATTTATTGTGTTCCAGATATGAAACCGGTCTAGAACAGCTGGACTTCGCGGCAGGGCAGGTGGCCGTGATGCAGCAGAACCTGCGTGACCTCCAGCCTCTTCTAGTGGAGACCTCGGACAAGACCGAGAAGCTCATGATCAAGATCGAACAGGACACCGTCGTGGTCGAGAAGCAGAAAGAGGTAGGAAGTTCCCCAGGGAACAATTAACCAAACTAAGGTCCAGAACACACGGTGAAACGCAATTGCAACGAAACTGCAACTTCTAGATAAATAAATAAATATCTTTGGACAATCTCACACAGCGCCATCTAGCCCCAAAGTAAGCAATTAATATGCTTGTGTTATGTGTGCTAGCTTAACGGATATACTATTTATATACTTTTTTTTTAAAATACATACATATTATACATAATTAGTAACACCCAGACCCGTCACAGAAATTAAAATTCATCATTTCAATTTCTGCCCGGCCGGGAATCGAACCCGGGACCTCTCGGCATAGTAGTCCGTTCTGAACCACTACACCAAACGGCCGACAATATATAGATACTTTTGAGTTGCATCTAAGTTTCTGCCATAGATTCCGTTGAGAGACCACACATGGCGCGACCATTTCAAACCGGTTTCGAACTGGTCTCTCTCTCAAAAGTAACTAAAAGTTGCTTCGTTGCAATTGCCTTTCACCGTATGTTCTACTAACTTCACAAGTTAGTTTATAAATTGTCCAAATGTAGACTCATCTTTTTGGCACTCTATCTTTTGATTGCTTCGGAAGGTACCCATAGAGTGACGATTCGAAAACCGCCTGAGGAAATAGTCCTGTTTCAATTTAACGACCATTTTCTAAATCCTGAAAGCAATGATAAAGTTGTGTTGACCACTTTAAAAGCTTTGACTTCTCCTCCACTCCGTATCTTTTTTACACAGCTGCAACCCGAAAGGTTCTTTAACATAATTAAATGACCTTCCTCCTAATCATTAAGATAGTTTGAGTAGCTCTCCATTTATTGCTATCTTCCCCCAACACAAACAGATCGTAGGTGCCGACGAAGCCCTAGCGAACGAGGCAGCAGCCGCAGCTCAAGCCATTAAGGACGACTGCGAGTCGGACTTGGCTGAAGCAGTGCCAGCGCTGGAAGCCGCTTTATCAGCGCTGAACACGCTGAAGCCTGCTGATATTACACTCGTCAAGTCCATGAAGAATCCCCCAGCTGGTGTCAAGCTGGTTATGGAAGCTGTGTGCGTCATGAAGTCTATTAAGGGGGATAGGAAGATGGATGCCAACGGTGAGTTGTGGTGTTCCTTGATTATGAATCCTATGTGCCTCTAAGGCCGCGATGTCGGTGCTCACACGCTCAAGCCGGCTGATATCACCCTCGTCAAGTTCATGAAGAATCCCCCGGCTGGCGTCAAGCTGGTGATGGAAGCTGTGTGCGTCATGAAGTCTATTAAGGGGGATAGGAAGATGGATGCCAACGGTAAGTTATTTTGTGCGTCCAATGTGCTTTAGAAACCGCATCGCCCACGCTCAAAACGCTTGCTAGCTAACAAATACCTCGTTAAGTCTATGAAATGGTAAAACTGCGGAAGCCCAAATGGACTAAGGGGCTGGAAGATGAACAGTAATGCTAATCAAAGGCCAATGACAGGTCGCGCGACCTATGACAGTTCACGCGACCTGTCATTTCCCTATGATTGCGCCGGCGATGGCGATCTGCACGCGTTGGTGTGGTTGAAGCTTAATTTGTTTATTTTTATTTTATTTGTTTAACAATGTAGTAATAATAGTAATTTCAAAGTACTTCAGACACGATACGATAAAGTTAACTTCTTTTATAGTAACATCTTGCTGGTTTTACCTCTCGTTACATTTTCTTTTCTCTTGCAATTTGCAAACTGTCTTCACTTGTTCTAAAAGTTCAATAAACATCTACAGGCAAGCCCTACGAAGACTTCTGGGGCCCGTCGCAAAAGATGCTGGGCGACATGAAGTTCCTGGAGAGCCTGAAGAATTACGACAAGGACAACATCCCGACGGCCGTCATGAAGAAGATCAGGGACAAGTGAGATATCATGTTAATAACATGATAGTGGATACGCACGTTTTCTAGCGACGTGAAATTAGGGCCAGCCCTATTGTTCAGAGACTGTTAACATTAGGTCTCCCAAACAAATCCCTAGCTAGCGTGGAAAATAGGCCAATGATGAGTAACTTGATGATGATGATAAATGGCTTGATTTGAACAGTTTTGGCTGTCACATCTCGAGCACTCTCTTTTTTTGTTAGTTGACATGTTAAGTTGGCTTAATATCATAATGCACACTTGTAGCTTACACTTGGACAAATACGTCCTAAGCCCACAGGATGTAAGAAATATTGTCCCCCAAAAGTACTGCAATCTAATAGATGCAGGACTCTGAAGCGAATTGTAATTCATTCTTAGAGCCAAAGCACACGATATATTGTGGCGGCGGGCAATGCCGGAGCGGGTCGCTGCGTCGTCTTACAAAGAAATATCTAAGGCGGGCACACAATCCGGGCTGCGCCGCGCTGCTATGGTGAATTCTTTGCGGTGCGGCGCCGCAACGCATCGTGTGCTTTGACTCTTAAGCTAAGAACTCACGGCGCTATTTTCACCCGCGCCCGCGGCGGTTGTGGAATTGCGGTTTTATTTCAAAACTCACGGGAGCTGTTATTTGCGCGGTTATTCTAAGAAACCACGGCGCGATTTTAAATCGCGGCGCGTGCTAAGTCACTGGTACAAAATGGTCGCCCGCCGAGCGGGACCCGATTACAACCGCGCCCGCTGCGGGCGAAAACCGCGTCGTGAGTTGTGCATTCGTTTTTACATAAGTATCTGCATTCTACAGAAGCTGCGGGTGCGGGTGAAAATCGCGTCATGAGTTCTTAGCCTTACTGATTCGTTTATAATGTAGGTATATCCCGGACCGCGAATTCGACCCGGTGGTGATCGCCAAGGTGTCGTCAGCCTGCGAAGGGCTGTGCCGATGGGTGCGCGCCATGGACGTCTACGACCGAGTCATCAAGGTCCAGTGCACAATGACACTTTATTATTTTTCATTTCGGGGATTAAGCAGCATTTGAGAACTTTAAGTGGCGCCTCAAATGTCTGCCAGAATATTTATTTATTTATTAGTAAAGGTACACCAACAGCAGAACACATAAGACATTCGCAGTATACATTATCAGGGTTTCAGTTTAAATATGTTTGCCAATTAACCGAAGACCAGCTTATTTTGAGTGTGATAAATCTAAATCTTGGTGGTAAGTTATGAAGCAGTCTCTAGAGGATTCATGCTTACTTGTCACACGTTCACTCTTAAAAATCGTAAAGTTAAAGGAATGCAGTAAAATTCACGATACCCTTGGGAATTGAGTTCCAATACCTTACTATTCCACAATGAACGGTCCTGCGCTGCCCGCATCCAGCTCCTCCCGCGAGAAAACCTTTGTCCAGCAGTGGACGTCATTTGGCTGAAACGATCGAACGAACCTTACTATAGTCTGGTCCGTGAGCACGTAGAATCAAAATCAAAAATATTTATTCAGTTTAGACCACAAGTGGCACTTATGAACGTCAATAGAAAATAATAAAAAAAGAAAAGGTAGCCCTTATGGGGCACTTTACATGTCTCCTTATCTTTTGGGCCCTACCAGCGCTTCGAATTCGAATTTTGTCCAATGACCCCAAGCTACCCATCCTTATCGCTCGCGCGTAATTATGTTGCTGTCGCGCTCGCACACTCACTGCGGGCGCCCGTCGCACAGTCGCGACAGCAATATAATTACGCGCGAGCGATAAGGATGGGTAGCTTGGAGTCATTGGACAAAATTCTACGTGCTCACGGTACGGGCTTTAGTCTCATGACAATCCATCAAATTACTTCGTGCAACCTTCGTCGCCTGATCGTTTACGATTCGTTTCCGTGCAGGTGGTGGCGCCGAAGAAGGCTGCCCTAGGCGAAGCAGAGGCCGAGCTACAGATGCAGATGAACACGCTCAACGAGAAACGCGCGCAGTTGCAGAGTGTATTGGACAAGCTGCAGGTAAATAACAGACCTGTATAGGCCTAGGATGCGCGCCGTGATAAACTTTTATCACGCCATTTTATCGATGTTGCCCATACATTTTGACGTCGATAAAAGTATATTACGGCGCGCATCCTAGCCCGGCAGGTGTAACAGCGGGATTACTCAGAAAAACGTTCTCGAAAGTTTCGAGTGTAGCCATCCCTCTCACGCAAAAGCGATGTCGGCGTATGACAGCATGAGCAACGGTTACAGATAGACCCGACGCTGCGTAAACAGCATTTCGGAGTAGCCTTGCAGGTCGCCTACATAGACTTACATGGACCACGGTGCAAACTAAACACTGCGTCGTCTTATGCGCTTTGTAATACTGTATACTGGGGGCGTAGTGTGAGTTTACATCTAACGCATTCGATATAAACTGCGTAAAAACGTGACATTAAATGTATGACGGATTGTACAGCGACCCTGGTGGAAACTTTTAAGAACTAATACACCGTGTTACTTTGCATTCTTGCCATATTCACAGAGATAAAAGTAGGTAACAGTACCTATTATTTAAGATAAACAAGAGACTCCCATAAAGAAAGTACACTAAGATTTGAGTAAATTTGGTTTTTCAGTACAAATTGGAATAAACCAATTTTGTCTCGCACGTTCTACAGGTGCAAGTGGAATAAACCTAGTGGGCGTGGCCTAGTTCTTAATTTTATGGCATTGGGTACCAGCCTTTTTATCCAGTCATAATAACTATTTTAAAATACTCTTCAGTTGATTTCAGATTTTCCTTTCTACTTTACGGGCTTAGGACCGTCAAAAATACGTAATAATTATTAGGGTTTCAATTAATTTACAACATTGTACCCTTATTTTTACAAATTAATAAATTAAGTATGAAATGAAATAACCTTATTCACGATTAATTATTTATTCATAAGTTCCTACTTACAAAGTTTACTTACTGCGAAACAAGTGTTCAAAGTGTCCTCCGTTCTGATGAAGGCACAGTCTAGCACGGCGAAGCGTAGGTTTTTCGCTTTAGTTTTCGCAACACATACCTAAACGTTTTGTCTCACAGTTTCACTAAAACAATCCTTTCATGTAACGCGTTTACACCGTTTTTCTCTTCTGCGCATACCAGTCGTTTCAAGTCACTCCAAAAATTCCATTGGTGTCAGGTCCGAGGATCGTGGTGGCCAAGCTACTGGACCCCTCGTCCAATCCACTGTTTACCAAACGTATTATTCACGCACTTGACGTCCTTATTGTGGGGGAGCACCATCCTGCTGGTAGTAGAGCATTTGGTGTAACGCTAAGGGTACGTCATCAAGCATTTCGTCTAAGACGTCTTGCAGACACTCCAAGCACCATTTTGATTAAATTATTCGTTGTTTGAATACACTTCAGTCATTTTTGTATTATTTATAACGTGATTTGTGTTTGATGGATTTCTCAGTTTTTTACAAGTGTCAAAAAGACATTTTAAAGACAATAGATTGCAATAGATATTTAAAAATACAATAAAAAGTAAAAAAGTCTCCATCGCCATCGCCAACAAGTGATGTGCATGCGTTACGATAATTAGTGGTGTGTTTAACAGATTGTCGATAAAATAAAATATTCAAGATTAAAAAAAAATTTTTTCGGGCATTATTTTTTTACGGATTTGTGTTCAGTATCAGTAATATAGTAACCTCTGTAAATATGGCAAGAATGCAAAGTAACACCCTGTATAAAATAAAATTTTCATATAAGTATTTTTTTAACGCAGTCGATATCGTATGCGTTTTACATAAACTCACACTGCGCCCCCTACTAGACATGTTGTTCAGTATAAATAAATGGTGCATCTCGCTTTGCGCAGGCGTTATTAAAGCACAAACAATATTTTAAAGCTCTCGCAGTTGAGACCAAATGATCTGACAATAACTGCGACGTTCTTGTTAGGCCCTAAACGACGAGTTCGCCGAAATGACGCGCAAGAAGAAAGGTCTTGAAGACGAGATCGACCTGTGCTCGACCAAGCTGTCGCGCGCTGAACAGCTCATCGGCGGGCTGGGCGGCGAGAAGGCGCGCTGGACCGACCTGGCGCACCAGCTAGAGGAACTGCTGGGGAATATTATAGGTGGGTTCCGTACACTAAGGGTGCCAAAGCGTGCCAGTTGGGACCCTATTAATGACTTACGCCCGTATTCACAAACGATGCTTGCTTAATAGTAAGAGCTAGTGAACGCCAGACCTACGTCATTTTATAAAAGCTGAAAGTTTGTCAGCGTATGCTCCCAATACAGGATATAATGTTGGTGAATTATGAAGTTTGGGTCATCGTGGCTTTGGCAGCTACCCTAAAAAACTGTCTGGCAAGGAGTTGGAACTGTCCAAACTGTCTGACTGATGGGGAAACTACTTCTAATTATTGCCCAAATATTATGTATAAAAATCAACTTTTATAGTATAACGTAAGCTTAACTTTTAAGCTATATATTCATTGGACTGTAATTCTACTTACGTTATACTATAAAAGCTGATTTTTATGTATAGTATTTGGGCAATGATAAGGAGTGGTTTCCTCATAAGCCAGACAGTTCTGACAGATTCAACTCCTTGCCAGACGATTTTTAACGGTAGCTGCCAAAGCCACGATGACCCAAACTTCATTATGCATCAACATTCTAACTTTTATTGGGAGCAAGCATACGCTGACGACGCTAATGACGTAGGTCTGGTGTTCACTAGCTCTTAGTCTATAAGTGAAGCAGCAAATCGAACGCACAGCGTTGAATAGAGCTCTGTGATTGGTTCGTATGTCACCCTGTGCGTCCACGCACACAGTAATGTTTGTGAATACAGACGTTATATACTAGGTCTCACGCTAAGTAATACCGTTAAGAGCATCAATCACTTCAAAGGCTAAAAATACTTTAAAGGACCCCCTAAACTAGCGTCTTTCTAGCGTCGCCATCTCGCGAGCGCCCGCGCAGTTTCGATGCGGCGTAAAACTCATAAAAAACTCATAAAACTCATTTATTTTTGCAAACAGGCTTTTAAAAAGCACTTTTAGACGTCCCAATATTAACCCTACCACTGCTTCGGGACAATAAATGGGCCAGTGCTGAGAAGAAGCAGCGCAAGAAACTCGGTCACTAATAGTAGTAGTCTCAGCGTTGCCGCGACGCCAACGCAACGTTTTTTTCAGCCAAGTAACGAAACCTATGCAATCCTACGCTCGGCAGCAACTCTGCGTTGGCATTACGGCGCTGCTGCTTAGGCACTGGCGAGACGTCGACGTTCGATAGACGCTGGTGTGGGGAGGCCTAATGAGGGCTATCGTTTTTATACTTAACAGTTGGCACCCCTGGCGATTGACAGGACCTTACTCTACAGTGGCGCCATCTTGATGAGTGCAAATGCGATAGTCCTCCTACCACTTTAGCACTCACCAGTTGATGCCACTGTCTTCGCTACTAGCAAGTGACAGGACCTTACTCTACAGTGGCGCAAACTGGTGAGCGCTAAAACGATAGCCCTCATTGGAAACATTTATTTTCTTTCTTTCTTCAGGAGATGTGCTACTATCGGCTGGATTCATTGCCTACCTCGGGCCTTATACCGTCAACTATAGACGGGAGATCGTGCAAATCTGGAATACGCGCACAATTGAATTACGTAAGTATTAATTTTATCAAGCACGTGCAAATTTTTCATGGTTCGGACTTCACTCCAGAGTGCCTTAACTAATGTCCGTTTTCACCAATTTTTAAGTGACCCCTATGGTAACACGTAACAAGAATTTTGTTTACATAGGAGTCACTTAAAAATTATGGGTTGATGGTGAAAACGGGCATAAGAAGAGGAGAAATTAATTTAATTTGAGCTATGTCTCCAGAGATTCCGTGCTCCGAATCATTCTCTCTGATGACGACACTCGGCGAGCCCGTGGTGATTCGAGCGTGGAACATCGCCGGTCTGCCTGTTGACGCTTTCTCCATCGAGAACGGCATTATCGTGGAGAAGTCGCGCCGCTGGCCGCTCATGATCGACCCGCAAGGTATGGCCTCAGACCATCATCATCATCATCCTCTCTGATGACTAAAGCCTGGTCCGTGAGCACGTAGAATCCCGTCCAATGACCCCAAGCTGCCCATCCCTATCGCTCGCGCATAATTATGTTGCTGTCGCGACTGTGCGACGGGCGCCCGCAGTGAGTGTGCGAGCGCGACAGCAACATTGGGGTCATTGGACGGGATTCTACGTGCTCACGGACCAGGCTTTACACTCGGCGAGCCGGTGGTGATCCGAGCGTGGAACATCGCCGGTCTGCCCGTGGATGCCTTCTCCATCGAGAACGGCATCATCGTGGAGAAGTCGCGCCGCTGGCCGCTCATGATCGATCCGCAAGGTATGGCCTCAGATCATCATCATCATCATTCTCTCTGATGACTAAAGCCTGGTCCGTGAGCACGTAGAATCCCGTCCAATGACCCCAAGCTACCCATCCCTATCGCTCGCGCGTAATTATGTTGCTGTCGCGACTGTGCGACGCGCGCCCGCAGTGAGTGTGCGAGCGCGACAGCAACATAATTACGCGCGAGTGATAGGGATGGGTAGCTTGGTACGTCAATAGGGTACAGATCTTAAGAGATCCCGTGCTCAGAGACGTTCTTGCTCATGACGATATCAGGACGGCTGCACCAAAACGCTGCTTACGTAGTTTCGGGTCTGTCTGTAACCGTCACTCATGCTGCATCTCGATTTGCGTGAGAGGGATGGCAACATTTGAAACTTTGGATGACGTTTTTCAAAATAACCCTGCCCAGCATTTTCATTAAGTCGATAGGAAACATGTCACATTCTTATCTAGCCTTGGCATTGAATCATCCAGTGTCTTTTTTATTTCCACCAAATGCCGTCCACTGCTGTATAAAGGCCTTCCACAGATTTCCAGAACTCAATACTCAATAGTTTATTGCTTCCATAATGTTTACAAAAGGTAAGATACAAATTATGGACCCTGTCGGGCACTGCATTTTAGGAGAGAACTTCTGGTTCTGCGCTGCCCGCATCCAGGTGCTTTCAAAGACTTTTACTAGATCGTTGCCATTTAGCTTATTACATTTTAGTCTTCCGATCAACTGAATGTATATTTCCCTGTTTCCAGAACAAGCGAACAAATGGATAAAGAACATGGAGCGGGAGAACCAGCTGAAGGTCATCAAGTTAACCGACCCCAACTACGTGCGGGTCCTGGAGAACTCCATCCAGATGGGATTCCCCGTCATCATGGAGAACATTCGCGAGCAGCTGGACGCGGTGTTGGAGCCCGTGCTACTTAGGAACGTGTTTAGGTGCGTGTAAAACCAGGCCTGTTCATCTCCGCGAGTTTACATCGAAAACAAAACACGCACGATGGCCCACCTACAGGATACTATTCGACAAGGCCTCACATACGAGCGAACATTGACTCACGCACGCGTATTCTTGTGTATGATGGAAGAAAATAAAGAAAATGGTGTAATATACTGTGAAGTATTTAACTGCCTAAATAATAATAAAAATAGAATGTACTTTTTTAAGTTGCCTCAAGACACTGAGAGGTAAATAAGTAGTTAATATTATTCATGATAATTTATGCTAAATCATGTATTTCCTCCGCCATTTTCCGCAGTTTGGCACCTCACGTCACATCATTTTACCGAAGTCAGCCCTATAGCTTCGGCGCAGTGCCGATCACTGACGTTTGTCAACAAAATGGTGCTTGACTCTTGAGACAGGCTAAATTACACCATATTGTTAATGACATTGAGCATACATTTTTTTAAATACCTTCGCGAAGTAAAACTTCTGTACGTAGTACTTATTATTATTCTGTGGTAAAACTCATAAAACTCTTAAAAATTCATAAAACTCATTTATGTTTGCAAATAGGCTTTTAAAAAGCACTTTTACACATCCCAGTATTAACCCTACCACTGCTTCGGGACAATAAATGGGCCAGGGCTGAAAAGAAGCAGCGCAAGAAACTCGGTCACTATTGTCAGTAATTTTTCAAGGGTTTAGTCTTTAAAATATACAAATTGTAGTCATAAGTATTGATGCGAGCTGGGCAGTTAAACATTCCAAACATTTTTATCTTTAATCATCATGTGTCATCTACTAGTCCACGGGCATTCAGTTGGGCGCAGCACTCCATTCAGATGGTGGTTGCCAGAATCACGACAATATTCAACACCAAGACAAAATGACCTGGACAAAGCGACCTCATTTAAACAAAACCCTTCGATAACACAACGCCCGGCAACTTGGCGTTGGCCCCACAACTCGACCCTGATAACTCAACCCTTTGACAACTCAGCTCTCGGCAACTTAACCCTCGACCAGTTTGACCCCAATCACTTCAATCATCATCATCATCATTATCATCTCAGCCATAGGACGTCGACTGTTGAACATAGGCCTACCCCAATGCTTTCCATGTTGCCCGGTTGGTAGCGGCCTGCGTCCAGCGCCTTCCTGCTACCTTTATGATGTCGTCGGTCCACCATGTGGGTGGACGTCCCACGCTGCGTTTTCCGGTACGCGGCCTCCACTCCAGAACCTTGCTGCCCCATAGGCCGTCAGTTCTGCGTACTATGTGCCCTGCCCATTGTCACTTCAGCTTGCTAATCCGTCGGGCTATGTCAGCGTCTTTAGTTCGTTTACGGATCTTCTCATTTCTGAATCGATCTCGTCGAAATTATTTCAATCAATGTAATTTAAACGTATGTTTTATATGCAATTTGAGTCAAACAGTCAAACAAGTTCCTCATATAACCTGTCTCCAGGTCGGGAGGCATCGACTGCCTGAAGCTGGGCGACAACATCCTGGAGTACAACCACAACTTCCGCTTCTACATCACCACCAGGCTTAGCAACCCGCACTATTTGCCAGAAATCGCTGTCAAAGTAAGTTCCATTCATGCTCATAAAAGTCTACTTCTAGGGTTGTTGCATTTGTTGCCCACAACAGCCCGTCTTATGAAACGACGCTCTAAGCTCTATTCAAACCTAAGTGTGGATTTAAGCATAGAAATGCACGTTCCAAATATACATACACCAGGAGGGGCTCCTGTTTCTGTAGTAGAGACTGAATGACCTGAATTATGATGCTGATCATTTTCAACAGTCAATATCTTTATTGCATTCCATTCCATCCATAGAGATAATAGAGAGATGCCAACTAATGCACTGAGTTCGAAACTCAGTGTCGCATTAGAAATTCACACACACAAAGTAATCAAAATGTGTTCATTATCCACTGCGGTATCAATACTCAACATTCGAATAGTACTACGCAAGCATTGTAAACTGTTTACATTATGACGTCGCTGCTGTCATCATTGCTTTCACGAGCAATGTATTCTGTTTTTGGGCATATTGCTGCGACAAAGGCCCCGCCCCCTTGTCACATCTCCATTTAGTTTCCGTGATCTGTGATTCCATCCCATCTTTATTGCCAGGTGACGATGCTGAACTTCATGATCACGCCGCAAGGGCTGCAGGACCAGCTGCTCGGCATCGTGGTGGCGCAGGACCGGCCCGAGCTCGAGCTCAAGAAGAACCAGCTCATCGTCGAGGGTGCCAATAACAAGCGCACGCTCAAGGAGATCGAGGACAAGATATTGGAGGTACGAGACCCATCATGTTGACCTACCATAAAGTTAATAGTTGATTTTGAACTTTTCCATCCGGTCGAATTAACTGCGCATCTGGCGGCCGTGACGTCACTTCGACGCTTTAGTACGGCGAACGCGACGTGGTGGTCACAGTCCAGAGAGGTACGCAGTAGGGTTGTATGTTTGAAAAAGGTACAAATTCCATTAAATAATTTTGTGTTAGGCTCAAAGTAACGTTTATAAAATGTTTGTATACTGAAATTATTTTTGATTCTAGTTTACTGTATGTCGTAAGGCACTGGTTGGGTCTTTATTGTGACGGCCAAATTGTAGATTATGTAATGTTGAAAACCAGCGTCGGGGCACGCGTGGCTCGATTAATGCTGAGGGGGCGCTTTTTTGGCATAAAATATGCGTGTATAGTTTTAAGTCCCTTTGTTCTGTTTTTTGTTTTATTTTTGTGTCAAATAAAGTTTTTCTTATTCTTAATGTAACCTAGTGGTAGAATGAGATTTTAGTTTTTTTTACATAGTGGAAACCCAACGAAAACCTATAGCAGTTAGCATCAAAGAAAGCTTATCGTAACCCTTATTTTACCAATTCTTACTCGCCTTTGAAACAAAACCCATTCACAAATATTCCCCATCCAGGTGCTATCATCAGCCGGCAACATCCTAGAAGACGAATCCGCCAATCAGATCCTATCCTCATCTAAAGTCCTCTCGATCGAGATCGAAGCGAAGCAGGCGTCAGCAGCGGTGACTGAGAGAGAAATCGACGAGGCGCGGCTCCTTTATGTGCCCGTGTCCAAGCACAGTTCTGTACTGTTCTTCTGCATCTCAGACCTGGCTGCCATCGATCCTATGTACCAGTACTCGCTCAACTGGTGAGAAAGAAACATTATCATAATACGTCCATACATTAAGGGCCTCCGCTAAAACTTGCGCGGAGACCCGCACGCAGTCAAAGTATGAGCAGCGCACGCGCACAAGATTTCGTTTAGTAGAGGTTCATAAACAATAGTAGTAAACACAAAACAGAAGAAAGGGAAGAGCAGTGTCACCCTGTCACTATCGCGATTTTAATTGCAACAGAAATGATGTTTTTTTTGTCTTTCAATATGTCGTACAACTTAGCATTCTGAACTTTGTTACGTATTATTTGAATAGAGTAATTATTTATTGGTACTACCGTTCTATTCATAAATTAATCAATTAATCTCGTAATCCACAATGATGAGTTTCAAAACTGGATTTCAGTGTGCCCTATACTTACTAAGTGAAATACTCAAGACTTGCGCGAACACATTTGTATCAGAGTTCAGATACAGTGCATATCAATCGACTAGTACAAACAGATGTTTGGACTAGTCGAGGAAATTCCCTGTATTGTTAACTATTTTTATGTTATTTATTTTGATGAGTCATGGCAGTGATCGTTCGCAGGTTCATAAACCTGTACAACCAGGCCATCATCAACTCGCCGAAGAGCGATGATCTGGATGAGAGACTTTCGGGGCTCAACGCGTTCTTCACTCGCAGCATCTACGAGAACGTCTGCCGCAGCCTGTTCGAGAAGGACAAGCTGATATTCTCGCTCGTTCTGACGCTGGGGATACTGAGAGCTAAGGTTTGACAGGATCATGTATAGAGCGAAGACTGGACGAGAGACTGGCGGGGCTCACGCGTTCTTCACTCGCAGCATCTACGAGAACGTCTGCCGCAGCCTGTTCGAGAAGGACAAGCTGATATTCTCGCTCGTTCTGACGCTGGGCATACTCCGGGCCAAGGTTTGAAATAATAATTATGCCTTTATACCTTTGATACAACTCGGTGGAACCACAATATGGCGAAGGTCGCGGGAAACACCTGAATGCTGCCAGTGTAGGAACGGTCTTTGGGGAGGCTTTTCCAGCAGTGGACGTCCTTTGCTGAAATGATGATAATAAAACTATAGACGAGCTTTTATGCATGCTGGATATGTGTTATATTACATCTTCTAGGTGGCCTCTGGGTACATCTTTAGGTACTTCGTCATACTAATAAATTCTTATCTAGACTGTAGCAGCAAGGTTACTTATTTTTCTTTGTGATTGAGTTTGTTGTGGCGCTTCTTCTCAGCACTTGCCAAATGTTTGTCTCGAAGCACAGGTAGGGCAAAAAATAATAAGATATGTAAGAGTAGGCGCACACCGTTGATTTTTAGTTGGCCGATAGTTATGCCCGATTTTAATTTGTATGAATAATCGGCCAAATCGAATCGGCGTAGTGTGCGCACTCCCATACATGCCCATACTGATCAACTGCCCGACTAAACTATCGGCCGACGAAAAATCAACGGTGTGCGCCTACTCTAAAGGCTCCAGAACATTTGACGATTTGCAAGAACTTATTTACTTAGTCTATACAAATAAAGATATTTTTGATTTTGGTTTAACTCGTATCTTACATTACCAGGGCGCGATAGACGATGAGATGGTAGGCTTTCTTCTGACGGGCGGCGTGGCTCTGGAGAACCCTTACGAGAACCCCGCGCCCACCTGGCTGACTGAGAAGGCCTGGTCCGAGATCGTGCGCTCCAGCAACCTTGCCGGGTAAATAAATAAATAAAATCCCACCCTTAGTCAGGTTACGTCAGGATACAGTCACGCGTCCGCCCGCGCGGATGGTACGGGCGCAGGTCACGAGCTAGATGTTGCTTTGTGAAGTGAAAACTCCCGTGAGTAAGGCCGCAGCCTCGAGTTTAGCGGGCAGCGGCGCGGGAGCGGCGGCGGCGCGGGAGCGGCAGGATCTTATGCGTAAAATCAAATAGACCGGTTCTCGAAAACAGCGGCGCGGGAGCGGGCAACGAGCGGGCAGCGCACTCCTTCTTTTGCCCACAATAAATCGAGCGTTAGGAATAAATTTGAATCTAAATAAAATTGTCGCCGTTATTCAGACATTTCGTTTGCGAATAAAAACAAATAACTCGACAACACAACCCCGAACACAACACTTCGCCGCTAAAGCGCCGCGCGAGCTGCCCGCTTGTTTCGAGAACGGGTCTGCGTTGCCCGCCCCGCTCCCGCGCCGCCGCCGCTCCCGCGCCGCTGCCCGCTAAACTCGAGGCTGAGGCCTAACACCCGTGCTGATTTACAATCCAAACAGGTTATCCGCGCGCTTACGAGGTGCGCGTACCACTCGCGCGGACGATCTACGTGACTCTGAAACCTCCCTTACAGTGTGGATTCTAGAGACTATATTTTTTACCTACAACTGGCAATCTTTTAGTCTGCATCTCATTTGATGGAAAGAGATGATCATGTCAAGGTGGAATAATACTTCACCCGGAACCCGTAACCACAGAGAAATTGGCTATCTTACTTTCAACCGCCTCAAACTGCCTGTTACGGCAACAGGGTTAGATGGTAACTAGCCAGGCAGACTCAGAACAAGCAATACCATCAACTAAAAAGAACACGTAATTTTGTCCCCACTGAGAATTGAATCCGGAACCTTAATGCAACAACAAAATACATAATAGTGATACTGAATTAATGATACACACATGTTTCTGGCAGCCTTCGCGGCTTCAAGGAGAACTTCGAACGCAACGTGAAGGGCTGGAAGGATTTCTACGACTTGTCTGCGCCGCATGAGAACACCCTACCTCCGCCCTACGAGAACATCAAGGGTATTCCCAAGCTAATCATACTGAGGTAAACCTTTTCATTTTATACAAGACCAGAAACCCGCTTGAACAATATTATTTTAAAGTACATTATGGTACTACACTTTTAGTTAATGTTTTAGGGCTTTTTGCGTCCAAAAATCAAATCCAGATAAATGTGTAATGCCATGCTTCGTTATCTTAAAAGTGTTTAGGTTATGCACAGCTTTAAAAAACTAACCGTTTTAAACATGTGATATTCACAGCTCATGTGGGAAATTAAGTCAGCAAAAACAAATAAGCCTAGTACAATAATGAGGGCTACCATATTTGCGCTTCTTATCTGGCGCCATTAATATGTGACAGGACTTTACTTGATAGTGGCGCCAAATTGGTGCATGCAAATGCGATGGTATTACCGTTTCAGTACCTAATAAGTACTGCCTTAGCCACTAGCGACTGACAGGCCCTTAGGCCCGGTTTCCACCAAGGTGAAGCGGAGCGGAGAAGAGAGATGTCTCGGGTGGACTCATTTTTCTATAGAATATGACAGCGGCGGAGTGGAGCTGTGAGGAGCAGATAAGAGATGTGGAAATAATGAAATCTAATTGCTTATTTAAACCACTTCTCCGCTCCGCTCCACTTCGGTGGAAACTGGGCCTTATTCGCTAGATAGCGGAAATACTAAATCCGCATTGACTTAAAACAATTTGTCAGATGTATCCGCCCGGACAAGCTGATTCCGCTCGTGCAGCAATACGTGGTCGAAGAAATGGGTCGGGTGTACATAGAGCCGCCGCCATTCGACCTGGAGAAGTCATACAACGACAGTAACTGCTGCTCGCCGCTCATCTTCATCTTATCGGCCGGATCGGACCCCATGTCGGGGCTCGTCAAGTTCTCCATGGAGAAGAAGGTCGTCAGCTTCGAGACCATCTCGCTGGGACAAGGGCAGGTGGGACATATTCCTCATTTACCTTCTTAAAACTTGCTCACTCTTAGCAACAGCGCACACTGGGCGTCAATCGCGGCGACTAGACGCCAACGCTTGTCAATTTCATATAATATGTATTAGCTTTTCGTCGCGATGGCAGCAGACAAATTGGTATTGCGACTGCTATTTGCCGCTGGCTTTTATCCTGTCAGCTATCCCCAACACTATCACCAGTCAAGTTCCACATAAACCGTTTCGAGACCATATGCAATTATGCATGCATGATTTTAATAGTTTGAGGACTTATTCTCGTACTCTTACAATGAATACCTAACTGCAAAATTATCGAGATTTAAAACAAGCAGTTTAGGTAAGTACAAAAAATGTTTCTTATCCTAGCTCATGGAGTGCAAAAGCCTTTGTAATATTTTGACATGGTTCAATTCGATGATTTAGGCCCAGAACAGACGGTGAAACGCAACTGCAACGAAACCGCAACTGCTAGTTACTTTTGAGTTGCATCTAAGTTTCTGCCATAGCGTCCGTTGAGAGACCACACATGACGCGACCAGTTTGAAAGTTTCAGTTTGCAGTTTCGTTGCAGTTGCGTTTCACCGTCTGTTCTGGGCCTTACTGTCTCCCCTTCTAGTGTTTCCATCATGAAAAACACCTACGTTACCCCAGGGTCCCATAGCAGCGAACATGATCAACCAAGCCATCCAGACGGGCGGCTGGGTGGTGCTGCAGAACTGCCACGTCATGGACTCCTGGATGGGCGAGTTGGAGCGCATCTGCGCCGAGGTCATCGTGCCCCAGGCCACGCACCACAGCTTCCGGTGCTGGCTGACGTCGTACCCTAGTCGGGCGTTCCCTGTCACTGTGCTGCAGAACGGTTTGTGCCAGGATGAGCATTTTAGAAAAAAATTAGAATTTGTGGAAAACCTTGGAGGAGGCCTTTGTCCAGCAGTGGACGTCATTTGGCTGAAACGAACGAACGAACGAACGAATGAGCATTTTAGCTGATAATAACATTTTATGTCAGAATGAGTAATTCAGCCATTGCCAGTTAGCTGTCAAAAGAACGCCACAAAACACTACCATCTAGACCTCGTAAAGGCGAGAGTAAATAGGCACTAACTGAGAAAGTGTCGTTCTAGATGTATCTACACTTGTCATCTGATGTGATTGCGGTCAAATACCTGCCTTATAAAAAAGTGCGGACGATGGCACACCATGTTTACTTTAGCAACTTATGTAGTAGCAATGTGTCATAATAACAACGTGCTGTAGACTACAACCTAGAAACAAATCTGACCCTCACTGGTTGGGTTTTTACTGACTCTATTATTAGCTTGACAGCTGTAGATCCTGGACACACAGGAGTTGCAGCGGTTCGAACGAGAGGTGGGCGAAAGAGTCCCGTTCTTCAATCTAGTTAGTGCTTATAAAGCACGTTCATTTCATCCACGAAGACGTGCCCCACCAATTTTTGGTCGAGGGAAGCGCGGGGTGCGCGGAGTTTGATCCGAGCAATCCGAGCGTCATTATTGTAGTGTGCGTGTGCACTCATTGATAATTTAGCGTGTACCGATAATACTCAAACATTCGCGGAAGAATGATGGAGCGCGTCTTCGTAGATGAAACGATATACACCACTACATTTTTATCACCGAAAAAAAAATCTGGGTAATGAGTTATTGATACTGATCTTAATTTATGCAAAAAAAAAGTTAAATAAAGTTACTCAAAATTTAATCCCAAAATTGGTAATTTATGAACGCGTTGCTAGCACTATTTACGTAAGATAATGTAACATTTATTAGAACTCAAAATTACTTGAAATGTTGTATTAAAATGGTCTAAGTTAGCTAAGTAAGTAATAATAACACTGGAAGCGTGGTCGAGGCGTGAGCGAGACAGACAGATCGGGGCAATATGCGAGCGCGTACGACTACTCTAGCGAGCAGCGGTGCCCCAGCTGTGACGCGTAAAATACGGGCTAAAGAAAATGTAATAAAAAAATCAACTTTATTTATTGCTATAAATTTTTCACACATTTCTACATAATCTGTTAAATTTTTTTCGGTATAAAAATGTAGTGGTGTATAGTATAGATTCTATACAAAGTGTTCCTATTCCTCAGGTGTAAAAATGACGAACGAAGCGCCGAAAGGCCTCAAGAACAACATCTACCGCTCGTACATATCCGACCCGATCTGCGACCCGGAGTTCTACATCTCGTGCCCGCGGACGGAAGAGTGGAGACGGCTGCTGTTCGCACTGTGCTTCTTCCACGGCATCGTGCAGGAGCGCCGCGCGTTCGGCCCGCTCGGATGGAACATACAGTACGAGTTCAACGAGAGCGATCTGCGCATCTGTATTATGCAACTGCAGGTAGACGTACTCCTGATCTTCGTTTGTCATCATCGACATCATTTCAGTCTTAGGACATCCACTGCATTGTCAGCCGTTTGGTGTAGTGGTTCGAAACGGACTACTATTCCGGAGGTAGCGGGTTCGATTCCCGGACAGTACAAACATTTGTGTGCATGAACATATTTGTTTGTATTGGACTGGGTGTTTTCTATGTATAATAAGTATGTATTTACAAAAAAAAAGTATTGAAGTATAGGCTTAGTGTGAATTTACATCAAACATATTACGATAATGAGTGCGTCAAAAAATTACACTAAATGTATGACGGATTGTAAGTACATCGTCTCTAGCGGATACTTTCAAGAACTAAAATCTTCATAAATTTTCAGAATCAGAATCAGAATCATCATTTATTTGCTATAAATGTGGTACAGGAGATGGATACAGTTAATGGTTAGGTCTCACAATTAGTCATTTCTGACATGCAAATATTAAATTAATAAATAAATTTTTTGACGCACTCGATATCGATATCGAAAACGTTTGATGTAAACGTTTAACACACTAATGCCCGTTTTCATCATCAATCCCTAATTTTTAAGTGACCCCTTTGAAAACAATATTCTGTTAATATGGGTTACTTAAAAATTAGGGATTGGTGGTGAAAACGGGCATAAGCCCCCTGTATCCAGCGCCTTCCTGCAACCTTTATGAGGGTGCATACCACCCCATCACTTCCCTCTTGTGTAACTTATTGTAAAACTTGGAAAAAAAAGAAGAACTGGCTCAGATGAAGAATTGAACCCACACCTTTCGTCTGCTGGATGACTGCTCTTATAAATTAAAGTAAAAAAAAAGTAAGATAAATTAGATGTATAAATGCTGGTGACCTTCAAAGGCGAGCTTCGGATATTTCGGCTTGGTTGAGAGATGTGCAGTCGACAGCACGTTTTTGTTGTAATATAGCACCAACAACAATGTACTTGATGTGCTATTTCCTATACAGTTTTTCACTGTGATTTCGCTTGCAGCTGGCAACAAAATGAATGTATCTTTTCCCACAGATGTTCCTGACCGAATACGCCGAGACTCCTTTCGACGCTCTCAACTACCTAGCGGGAGAATGCAACTACGGCGGCCGCGTGACCGACGACAAGGACCGCCGGCTCATCATGTCGCTGCTGTCCATCTTCTACAACGACGAGGTCACCACTGACCCCGAGTGAGTGACTGTGATGAGGAACGTGGGACTTTTATCTAAATAGAATACAAAGCAATAAAAAACTAAAAAAGCCTCGCCAAACGAAACGCGTTGCCTGCGCGTGTCAAAATTGTACGGAAATGGTTCGTAAAAATAACATATCGTAAGAGGGCGAGTGCCAGCAGTACCCATCGCTTTAAACTACTTTAAAGCATTGACGCGCGCCAATAACCCGTTCTGTTTATACAGCCTTTAGTAAAGCTGAGCGTAAACGGGCCACCGACCCACAGTCACTAGAAGCTGCCGGTAAGCTATCTCGAATTCTCGATTTTTAAGACATTTTGACATTTAGTGGTGGTGTACGTGCAACTCGATCTCCACGACAATATGTCACCGGTGGCGGCTAATGTCCACTTGTTGCAGCCACTAATCACCTAGGCTTGATTTGCTCAGTACCAAAGAATGTGACTCGCGATATCCACCAGTCACTGCAATCACTGAATTATATACCTTTTTGTCTCATACCAATATTGTACACTATGTAACTGGTTATTACGGATAGTTTTTGCACCTAACGATGGCGAATGTGTGTACGTGTACATGCACATAACAATAATGCAATGTCTATTAAAACTTAAAAAAAAACGACCAGTAGCGAGCCACCACACCACACATGTAAAGCTCACTCGCCATCGTGAATTGCAACAACTATAAATGTAACCTGTTTAGAGACAAAAAAAAACTTTTTATTCTGTGACTGTTGTCGGTGGCGTAGCTGTCTATGGTTACATAGAGATAAACTACACTGAAATGTCCCACCGACGACATTGACAGAAGGGCGCCACCATCTTCGTTCAACTACATGGTTTCCACTGTGGCAAAAGTCGAAACCAGCGATCCGCTATTGATGGTGCCATGGTGGCCCCTCTGTCAGTACCAAAAAAGGACATTTCAGTGTAGTTCATCTACACTGGTCATCATAAAAATCGACCCACCTGCGACAAGCACTTTCAAACGTATGCATCCCCACTTCCCACCAATATTACTATACTATATTACCATTTGAAAGCCTAGTTCTAAACTTCATTTCATTAAAGGAAAAGTTTTTACCCCAAAAATGTGTCTATAGAAGAATCCAGAGTCACTTCTTCAAAAAATAGGTAGTTACGCTTGAGCCAACTTTTATGGCTATAAAACTGTTAAGTTGGGATTAATCGCTATCCATCTGTTAAAGAGGACACGTGAGATCATTATTTGGTTTTATAACCATAAAAATTGGTCTAATTGATCCCAGAGGTGTGCCCAAAGTGAGTTCTTTTTTCAAGTTTTTCAAGTCACATTTGTTGTATATGTTAATCGTTTATTAGGAAATTTAATGTGTTTTTCTTTAAGGATATTTATTGGGCTTTCAAATAACACCAATATTGTTGGTGCACCATGATTGTGTCAGTAGAAACGAGTTTTCCTGTAAAACGCAGGTGGGCCGATTTTTGTGATGACCAGTGTATAACCGTCTCCTACCTTTCAGCTACTCGTTCTCCCCGAGCGGCGACTACCGCATGCCGCCCAGCATGGACTACAACTCGGTGCTGGATCACATCCGCGCGCTGCCCATGCTGGCCAAGCCCGAGGTCTTCGGTCTACACGAGAACGCGGACATCACTAAGGACAACAAGGAGACCGTCGCGGTAAGTTGTTATTCCCAGATGCCCCCACCAGTGACCCAGTCTCCCCCAAAGTTTGTGCAACAAAAATGAGCAAGGTGCTTTGGGAGGAGCAAATGCAATGAGTGATGCTCTGGAATGGTGCAGGCTTTTCTTTCTTACTCTCTCTCTCTATAAGTCCAAGGTCTTCGGCTTGTATCATGAGAACGCAGACATCACCAAGGACAACAAGGAGACCGTCGCGGTGAGTCGAGACCTCAGCTACCTGCAGCCCGACGTGAAGCGACGCGACGTCATGTGACCAGCTGCCTATGCTGGCCAAGCCCGAGGTCTTCGGTCTACACGAGAACGCAGACATCACCAAGGACAACAAGGAGACCGTCGCGGTGAGAATGTTAATTCTTAAAAAAAAGTGTGCTGTGTGAGGGCAATACGATGAGTGATGCTCTGAAAGGGTGTACCTAGTCTTTTCTTATTCACTCTACCTATAAGTCCGAGGTCTTCGGTCTGCACGAGAACGCGGATATCACCAAGGACAACAAGGAGACAGTCGCGGTGAGAATGTTAATTCTTAAAAAAAAGTGTGCTGTGTGAGGGCAATACGATGAGTGGTGCTCTGAAAGGGTGTACCTAGTCTTTTCTTATTCACTCTACCTATAAGCCCGAGGTCTTCGGTCTACACGAGAACGCAGACATCACCAAGGACAACAAGGAGACCGTCGCGGTGAGGACATGTTCATTAAAAGTATGCTTTGGAAAGAGACGTGAGAGGGATTCTGTGGAACGGTGTAGCTCTCTAGCCCCAAGTCTTCAGCCTGCATGAAAATGCGGACATGACCAAGGAGACTGTCGCGGTGAGGACAATTGTTCATTGAAAGTGTACTTTGGAAAGAGATGTGAGAGAGATTCTGTGGAACGGTGTAGCTCTCTAGCCCGAGGTCTTCAGCCTGCATGAAAATGCGGACATGACCAAGGAGACTGTCACGGTGAGGACATTATTTTTCATTGAAAGTGTGTGAGTCGAGACCTCAGCTACCTGCAGCCCGACATGAAGCGACGCGACGCGACGCGACGTCATGTGACCAGCTGCCTATGCTGGCCAAGCCCGAAGTCTTCGGTCTACACGAGAACGCAGACATCACCAAGGACAACAAGGAGACCGTCGCGGTGAGAACATGTTCATTAGTGTGTTTTGGAAAGAGATGCGAGAGAGATTCTGTGGAACGGTGTAGTTTTTCTTTCTCACTCTCTCTAGCCCGAGGTCTTCAGCCTGCATGAAAATGCAGACATCACCAAGGACAACAAGGAGACCGTCGCGGTCAGGACATGTTCATTAAAAGTGTACTTTGGAAAGAGACGTGAGAGAGAGAGATTCTGTGGAACGGTGTAGTTTTTCTTTCTCACTCTCTATAGCCCGAGGTCTTCAGCCTGCATGAAAATGCAGACATCACCAAGGACAACAAGGAGACCGTCGCGGTGAGAACATGTTCATTAGTGTGCTTTGGAAAGAGACGTGAGAGAGATTCTGTGGAACGGTGTAGCTCTCTAGCCCCAAGTCTTCAGCCTGCATGAAAATGCGGACATGACCAAGGAGACTGTCGCGGTGAGGACATTATTTTTCATTGAAAGTGTGTGAGTCGAGACCTCAGCTACCTGCAGCCCGACATGAAGCGACGCGACGCGACGCGACGTCATGTGATCAGCTGCCTATGCTGGCCAAGCCCAAAGTGTTCGGCCGGCACGAGAACGCAGACATCACCAAGGACAACAAGGAGACCGTCGCGGTTGAGGACAATATTGTTTGGTCAATGAAAATGAGCAGGGAAGTGACAAAAAAAGAGTGGTGATGAACGATCTGTACAACAGTGTAGCTATATCTTTCTCTCTGTCTGAAACAGACCGTCGTGATGAGGATGTTTGTTTAACGAAAGGGAAAAGTATCATATGAGAAGAGATTGAGTGAGAGTGAAAGGATGTGGTGTTTTCTTTATCTCTATACTCCATATTATAACTTTTTGACGTAATGTGAACTTGCAACAAAAATCCGTGCCCTTTGACTACCGTATTCCCGCTCACTAGTAGTAGGCGCCACTAGCGAATAACTATCGTTTTAGCGCAACACTCACCAGTTGGCGCCACTATCTGCGCCAAATCTTTCCACAAACCACACATCTGGTCTCACCTCTGCCTTGCAGCTATGACGCTCTCGGCAAATCTCACTTCGCCTTTCTAAAAACGGCTCTTTCGTTTCCCGCAGCGGCAAATCTCACTTCTCCTTTGCTTTGTAAAAACGGCTCTTATGTTTCCCGCAGCGGCAAATCTCACTTCTCCTTTGCTTTGTAAAATCGGCTCTTTCGTTTCCCGCAGCTGCTATTCGGCTGCCTGCTGACCCAAACATCGTTCATTTCCGGCGGCGGCGGCGAGGGCGGCGACGGCGGCGGCGGCGTGGTGGAGCTGACGAAGGACATGATGGCGCGCCTGCCGCGACAGTATGACGTGCTCGAGGTCTCGCTCAAGTACCCCGTGCAGTATTATAACAGTATGAATACTGTGCTTAAGCAGGTATGTACAGACCGTCAATGTCTGGTGGGAGTTCATCATCATCATTTCAGCCTTAGGACGTCCACAGCTGAACATAGGCCTCCCCCAATGCTTTCCATGTTGATCGATTGGTAGCGGCCTGCGTCCAGCGCTTCCCTGCTACCTTTACGATGTCGTCGGTCCACCTTGAAGGTGTACGTCCCACGCTGCGTTCCCCGGTACGCGGCCTCCGCTCCAGAACCTTGCTGCCCCATCGGCCGTCAGTTCTGCGTACTATGTGCCCTGCCCATTGCCACTGCAGCTTGCTAATCCGTCGACCTATGTCAGCGACTTTTAGCTTTTCACCACTATAATAACTACATATTATAAAGATCAAATAATGTTTACCTTGACACGCAGTCGTTTTTACTTCTTAACTAGGATTCATTTTTGAATTTCAGCTAGGAGTATAGTCTATCTTCCCAGTTGACACTAAAGCTTGCTATTTACCGAACTAAGGCTCTGCGCAAACGAGCCACCGACCACAGCCACCGTTAGCTGTCGCACGCTACGTCTCTTACGCCCGTATTCGCAAACATTACTATGAGGCCTCACAGTGCGTGGAGTGATGAGTGATCGATGGCCGCCACTCTGTCTTAGTATTCGGTGACCGATAATAAATGAGTATTAGATTTCTATCAAGTGGTCGTCAACGGTAACAAGTCGCAAACATTGAATTGGGAGTGAACATCATTCGCTACATTATGGTAACGACGATTCAAGACAAGAAAAACAAGTAAACGCGATATCCAAGTGGCTGTGGTCAGTGGCTCATTTTTACCAGAGCCTAACGCGACTTCTTAGGCTGTTTTCAGGCATCCGTTTTTTGACCGGTCAACGGCCGATTGTATGGTTTATAACAAACATCTGCACATGCATCAGACGAGCTGCGAGAAAATTAACAGCAAACAAAGGATATCCGTTTTTTGACGTGCCGTTGTCCGGTGAAAAAACGGATGTCTACAAACGGCCTTATGCCATCACAAACATTACTATGAGTGACACATGAACCAATAACAGAGCTCTAATATTCAACGCTGTGCGTTCGATTTGTTACTTCACTTAAGCAAGTATCGTTTGTGAATACGGGTGTTACTGTCCCTCAAACTTCTAGTCCGAGCCACAGCAAAATAGATTTTGTCATGTCCCTCCCAGGAGTTGATCCGGTACAACCGCCTACTCTCAGTGGTGGCTCGCACATTACACGGCGTGCATTTAGCAGCACAGGGCCTGGCCATCATGAGCGCGGAACTGGAGCAGTGCAACAACGCCTTCGTCAAGGGCATCGTACCCGGCGTTTGGATGTCCAAGTCCTACCCCTCTATGAAGCCGTTGGGCTCCTACGTGGCGGACTTCCTGTCCAGGTCGGTGTGATGATGATGTAAACGGTCTATTCCTCTTTGATGACTTTGATCACTCATGGATAAGAAGTCCTCTTTGAGATCACCTAGGTCATTTGTTCCCAGTGGGTTCCCAGGGGGGGGGGGGGGGGGAACAGATGTATGTTGTATTGAATTAAGCATTATATCACGTTCATGTTTCCAAAGATCACACTCCCACAAGATATGATGGGCAGACTGCTCATGACTGACATCATCAGTGGAACACTCGCAAAAAGGAGACGGAACTAGTTTGAATTCGTGAAGTTTATGTTTAAAGTTGCCATGTCCCGTGAGGAACTGCGACGAGCAATGGTCGATTTCTAACCATCGCCTAGTTAGACGTTCGCGTACATTCGGGAAGAATTTATATAAGTGACGTCCTTTGACTGACGTATCCCATCTTTTTTGCCATTCATTAAGTAAATCTTCTTCAACGACTTCTCGGGAATCAAATAATCGACTTATTTTAGAACGATCGCGGCTATTTAAGAAATCGGAGGTTATATTTTCCCTTGATGCGAAGTACATAGCCGCACGCTTTTGTACCTCTAAGTCGACCGGCAGTACACCAGCCAGGACTGGCAGAGCCTCCGTGCTCACAGTTCTGTAAGCTTTGCAAAGAAAAATCAATGCAAGGCGTTGACTTTGGAGTAGTTTCCGTCGAGCGGCTCCTATAGTAGCTCTGTCAGCCCAAACTGGTGCACCATAGCAAATGGAGCTTAAATAAGTGGCCGAATATATTACTCGGAGGATTTTAAACGTTAGACCCCACGTCGAGGTTGAAATGTGACTTAAGGCATAAAAGTTCTTTTTAGCTTTAGCTCTTTTTTTTTAAAACTGAAAGTTCGTGGATGCTATAGTAATATACAGGGTGTTAGGTAAATGGGTATATGAGCCGACACTAGCCCATGTTAACACGGTCATATAAATGGTATGGTAGAGTCAGAAATTTGATAACATCATTTTGTTTATTTTTATTTTCATACAAAATAAATTTTATAAAATCTGATTTGTATGAAAATTAAAATAATTAAAATGAAGATATCAATTTTCTGACTTCACCATACCATTTATATGACCATGTTAACATGGGCTAGTGTCGGCTCATATACCCATTTACCTAACACCCTGTATANGGATGCTATAGTAATATACAGGGTGTTAGGTAAATGGGTATATGAGCCGACACTAGCCCATGTTAACACGGTCATATAAATGGTATGGTAGAGTCAGAAATTTGATAACATCATTTTGTTTATTTTTATTTTCATACAAAATAAATTTTATAAAATCTGATTTGTATGAAAATTAAAATAATTAAAATGAAGATATCAATTTTCTGACTTCACCATACCATTTATATGACCATGTTAACATGGGCTAGTGTCGGCTCATATACCCATTTACCTAACACCCTATATATTCACTACTGCACTCGTACTTTTGTAACGGTACAACTAAATTAAAACTCGGCCATCATGCTGAATCAAAGGTGCTCACGCGCGGCTGTCCCCAAGGATCGGTCCTAGGGCCCTACCTTTGGAATTTGGGTTTCGATGATTTTCTAGCATTACCATTACCCGAAGGCTGTTCGTTAACCGGGTACGCTGATGACGGTCTCCTTTTAATAGAGGCTGACACTAGATCAAAGCTTGAAAATCTAGCGGATACATGCTTGAATTTAATATCTCAATGGGGAGACAGGAATCGTTTGCAGTTTGCCCCTCACAAAACTTATCAGCTTCTATTAAAGGGTAATCTTAAAGTTTTGCCTCGCATTAAATTCAATGAAATAACTGTTAAAAAACGGGAATCTGTTTGCTATCTCGGACTAATTTTAGAGAAAAACTTTAGTTTTGTCGAGCACATTAAACAGATCGGTGAAAAAGCTGGTCCGGGAGCACGTAGAATTTTGTCCAATGACCCCAAGCTACCCATCCTTATCGCTCGCGCGTAATTATATTGCTGTCGCGACTGTGGGACGGGCGCCCGCAGTGAGTGTGCGAGCGTGACAGGAACATAATTACGCGTGAGCGATAAAGATGGGTAGCTTGGGGTCATTGCTACGTGCTCCTGGACCAGACTATAGAAACCTGCGACCGCTGAGAGAATGCATTCCAGACTGCTCGATACGACCAATAAATAATCTTGACTGAAGGAGGGGGGGCGCGGAATTTTTTGCATGGTCTAAAGGTGGCGCGTCTCAAATAAGTTTGGGAACTAATGACCTAGGTGATCTTATCCATGGGTGATCAAAGGACACCATCTTTAGCAATTAAGACTTTTAGTGCAGTTTTTTTTACATTATAAACCCCGATACTCACCGTATTATCACGTAACTAGCGAGAACTAGCACGAAATTATTCACAAAACTATATCAATCATACAGCAATTAGTATTACACGAATATTATGTACACTACCAGATCTTACAATAGTTTAATATTGCGTTTCAGTTATTACGAAATAATAACTATTATTCACTCGGCGCCCGACATCAATATTTACTCAACACACGCAAGTAGGAAGAAATAAAAGAAATCATCAAATTGAAAACCAGTTTACTATCACAACACAGTAACTACTCAGCATGTGGTCACATACTTGTATACTATAAATACGTTTTGTACTCAGTCTGTTCTTGTACTGTAAAACCGTCGTAAGCTACATTGCGCCCCGCACGATACAAATGTCTAACACTACGCAGCTCAGACAGTAAAAGGAAAACAGATAAATGTTACAGTCGAAGTTAATACTAATACAATTCCACCCCCCGACCGCCGAAATTTCACATCCTCAACCCCAATGGACCCCAAAATTGACCTCAGTATCAAATAGGCCACGTCAGTCTAAATAACAACTATAACAATAAAATATAAATCTGTGCAGCGAAAAAATGTGCGATAATACAAACGGCATACTAAAATCTGTACAGTGGCTCACTCGAGGAACTGAAAATATAGCACGGATGAATACTGACATGTTTGTTGACACATTCGAAGTCTACAACTAGTGGTTCGCGCGCGTTTTATAACGCTCAACCCTCGGCGTTCTTGGCCAGGTCTAGAAGTTTGTTCATGAGCTCTCCGCCGAAAGATTCGCGGTACTTCTGGCTGATGCTGTTCAGCAATGCATAGGGCGTTTCGTAGTTCATATTCTCAATTGTAGAGAGCGCGGTGTCATCATACTTTCGTCCAACAACTCTGAAACCCGCGGCCGACATTTCGATGCAGTACTCTGTATTCTCCAGGGTTGTCAGGTTGATGAAGATGCGCTGGTTGGAGCTTTTCAGCTGCGGCGAGATGTTAGCTGCCTTCACGTGCTTGCGGATGTCGCTGATGGCCGACTCAGCCTCCGCGGGCCACGTCTCTTTGCCCAGCACTTGTCCTTGCTCGGACATTGTTCCCTGGAAAAGAAAAATATCCTCATAAACTATCTATCATCGCATCTTTTCGCAACAATATAGTTGAGGATTGCAGCTAATAAGTCTGTTTCTATTTCAAGTTGAAAAAAAAAAACAAATAATCGCCTCTTTCTGAAAGAAACTAGGTATTTGCTCAGTATGAACTAAGACGGTAATTTGCAAGTTAAATTAATGGCAAACGTGTATTATTATACACTTAAAGAATGATATATTACGCCTTCTAATATCTTCAGATATTTCGTGTAAGTCATAGTTTGAACCCTAAGTTAGAGAAATTATTTTTTCCATATCATGCCACCATTCGACGAAACACAGCAGGTGTATCCTCTAGCCTAGTTTAGCATTCGCGATAGTAGCGAGAAGATAATAACGAAAACATTATTTCTAGACTAAAATTCCTGCAAGACTGGATAGACGAGGGCCCGCCCATGGTGTTCTGGATCTCAGGCTTCTATTTCACGCAGTCGTTCCTGACAGGGGTACTTCAGAACTACTCGCGGCACAACAAGATTCCTATCGACCAAGTGCACTTTGAATTCACCCTCACCAGCATGGAGGCTGAGTGCGAGGAGGAGCCTGAATTCGGGGTCTATTGCAAGGTAATGTTGACAAGCTGTGTGGTTCCGGCAAATTAGAATGGAGTCAAGATTCTCTCTCTCACTCAGGCCTATTCAGACCTAAGCGGTATTCGCTACCGTCTGCGGCAGAGAAAACCCAGTGGGTATGCGGTAATAATACTGTTCAGACCTAAGCGGTATTCGCTACCGCGTGGTATGTACCTCTACCCACAGCGGTAGCGAATATCGCTCAGGGTCCCTCTAGCCGCGATACTTGATACTAAATACCTGAGCGAAACCCGCGCGGTATGTACCTCTACCCACAGCGGCAGCGAATATTGCTCAGGTTTGAATAGGCTTTAAAAACGAACTAAGGTATAGTCAGCGTCAATCAAATATTTCGTGACGCCGAAAGTGGCCAAAAAGTTGACAACACAACCTTATTCCAAATGTCACAAAGACGTGTTACGAACTTAGTGGCTAATTTGAGTGTCAAGAACTACACTGGTCATCACAAAAATCGGCCCACCTACGTTTTACAGAAAAACTCGTTTCTACTGACACAATCATGGTGCCCTAACAATATTGGTGTTATTTGAAAGCCCAATAAATATCCTTAAAGAAAAACACATATAATTTCCTAATAAACGATTAACATATACAATAAATGTGACTTGAAAAACTTGAAAAAAGACCTCACTTTGGGCTCACCTCTGGGATCAATTAGACCAATTTTTATGGTTATAAAACCAAATAATGATCTCACGTGTCCTCTTTAACAGATAGATAGCGATTAATCCCAACTTAACAGTTTTATAGCCATAAAAGTTGGCTCAAGCTTAACTACCTATTTTTTGAAGAAGTGACTCTGGATTCTTCTACAGACACATTTTTGGGGTAAAAACCTTTCCTTTAATGAAATGAAGTTAAGAACTAGGCTTTTAAATGGTAATATAGTATATTAATATTGGTGGGAAGTGGGGATGCATACGTTTGAAAGTGCTTGTCGCGGGTGGGTCGATTTTTATGATGACCAGTGTATTTGTCGCTGACTGTAAGGGAGGTCAGCGTGGCGAGTGAAGGACAAATCCTCAATCTTGTCGGCTACCTGCCAGCGCCATAGCATTTAGCGTAGGTTTAGTAAGTAAACCTTATTCTAAGCCTACGATTTGTCTCTAGTAAATTAGAGGGTCGTACTCCTGTAGTAAAGACTAGATGACCTGGATGATGAATGTGGTTAATAAAGAAATAGATTTATTGTATGGAAGATGGTACATCAAATCATACAATTTGACAACTTATGTGGATAAAAAGGTGCTATTTTATAGATAGTAGTGTATAGGCGTATATGCAATCGATTGTACACCATAGTACAAATTACAGGAAATACACGAGGGCACTTCGTGTTCAACAGATATCGTGCAATGTAATCACTAAATATTAAAGCCAAATTCACAGTTGGGCGTTAAACATAGTGTTATTTGGTTCGTAGAACAATATGAATATTAATAACATTTGGGATAAACACTTGAGGGAAGTTTGTTATGGATTATTATAATCTACTAGACTGAAATGGTAATGAAGAGGAATATTCTGAATCTGATTAATAATATTACGAAAACAATAGTCTGCTCAGCTTACACACAAAATCAACTCAAACTTATATCGATGACTTCGATATAATGAGTGACGTATCCTAATCCACCTTCATAAAATCAATATTCATGTTTTATCAGAAGAACTCTCGTTATTTTTGCTAATGGAAGGTGACGTAATATTGATAAAACTAGGTTTCGGATTACTGGTAGTGGACGCAAACAATCTAAGGCCGACAAATTTATTCACCACAGTAGACCATGAGATCAGATATTAGCATTTCTTTCTACATGTCAACAAAACAAAGCGTAAAGCATTATTTTAGATATACAGGGTGTTAGGTAAATGGGTATATGGGCCGACACTAGCCCATGTTAACATGGGCATATAAATGGTATGGTGACGTCAGAAAATTAATATCTTCATTTTAATTATTTAAATTTTCATACAAATCGGATTTTATAAGATTTATTTTGTATGAAAATAAAAAAAAATAAAGTGATGATATCAAATGTCTGACTTCACCATACCATTGATATGCCCATGTTAACATGGGCTAGTGTCGGCTCATATACCCATTTACCTAACACCCTGTATAGCTATTTGATTTTGTTTAGTTATATAACGCGGACAGATTTCATCTCTAACTCGACGTCATAAAGTTAGTTTTCCTAAAAAGGGATATCACGTCGCATTCTCACGGTAGGCATAAATATGTCCATAGTTATTTTTAACAGTTTTATTGATGTATTGAATCGCAAGCAGCAGTCGCAGCCGGTGGATAGGCAAGGCCAAGAGCACAGCGTGTTTGTGTGGGTGAGTTACGAGGGCTCGTGTGCGTGAGATACAGTTTGCTTGTTTGGTAACCCCACTGTGTGAATTTACTTTATTTTTGTATATTTTTCAGTTGTGCATGATTTGAATAGGAGATATAAATTATTATTGTCAAAAAGTAGCAGCACAGCACATAAATCTATTTCATCATTTAATTAAATCACAATGTTTGAAAAAGACACAATAACACTACATAGTTTATGCATGGGTAAATAAGGTAATCAACACGTTGATTCTCACTCAGGTGGTTTCAGAATCTGGCCCCTGTATTGTGAATATCTGTAGTTCTTTGTTTCTTTTCTAGTTATTTGTTTCTTTTTATCACCTATAAATTGGTTCTGTGCAGGTTTTGTGAAGTTAAATTAGATAAAAATATGCAACTCATGACTTTCTAGGGTGATTGTAAAAAATAATTATTATATGTTTATCAGGGTCTATTCCTGGAAGGTGCCCGATGGAACCGTGAGACCATGCAGCTGGACGAGTCCTACCCTAAAATCCTGTTCGACACCATCCCAATAATTTGGTTCCAGCCAGCCCTCATAGCGGAGTTCAACCCGCCTCCATGCTACTTCTGTCCCATTTACAAGACGAGCGAACGAAAGGGAGTGTTGGCCACAACTGGTCATTCCAGCAACTTTGTCATGTACATAACCCTTAATTCTGAAGTCCCTCAGAAACATTGGATCAACAGAGGAGTTGCTAGTCTGACACAGCTTGACGATTAAACTTCCTTTATTTTAGATAATTTCAGTATTAATTTTTATCTTTTTAATATGTGGACCTTTCAATGTCTGTGATAGTTGTCTAGTCGCAAATAAAGATTATTGTCTTAAATTGAGTTTTATTATTATTGTTTATATTGAAGGAGACTGAAAATATTTCAAAGTAAAAATGATGCCAGATGTAATATTCCAGGAAAGTTGAAATAAGCTTAGAAGATTATTAAAGATGTCACAAATATTGATACAGATTCATTGGATTTCTATTCAAAGAATACATTATTTATTTGCAACTTCAGAGCCAAATTACAAGAAGTAAGTTTCCAACTGGAGGGAAATATTTTTTTTAAAACAATGATGCAGTGATAGACAATTAATAAATATTCTGTCAGCTACAATACAATTACACATTCAATATTATATTTTTTTAGTAATTCAGTATATTTGTGAACTAAAGTTCGAAATTTTGAAAGTAAATTAATTCGCAATAAATAAAAAGGCACTATTAAGTATACAGGTTATTTATAATAATAAAGTCTAGACTCAAGATAGTAAGTGCAGGAAAAGTGAGGCAACTTTTAGTGGACCATTCGGGTCCTACCAACATGAGTAAAAACTCATAAAAAAAACTCATTTATTTCTGTAAATAGGCTTAAAAAAAGCACTTTTACACACAGTGCTAAAAGGACCTCATGCAATAGTTGATTTATGTAATATTTATTAACTTCATTATTGTCCAAATAAATAGGAATATGAAATAGAAATCCATGGACTTGTAAAATAGTTTGTCAGCTTGTGCTTGATATTATTATTAATTAATCTGTCTAATGGCTTCAATGGTACGACTTGTGCTTGTTACAACATACAAAATCTTGTTTGTATTATATTAACACAGATTACAGACAGTTCATTTAAATACGGCTTTATCATAATTATTATTTAAAATAATAACTTTTTAGTTACAGTTTAAAATTGGCGCGAGTAATCATTCACTTACCTTTTTATTCTTAATGCCTATTAGGGTATTGATATGCCGTTTAAAAAAATTACTATCAAAATGTACACACGACCAAGTGCAATTATATCTTCTAAAATTCTAAATTAAATTTATCAACCGTAGATTCTCATTTTTACAAAAACCAATGACACATTTCACATTTTCTGACAAATTGCTCTCCCGTGACGTCAGCCAAAAAAACAAAATAGTGTTGTCTAACAACAACGCACCATAAGCAAAACTAAAATCGTTATCAGATTTTATCGATTACGTTATATCCATAGACAACGTTATTATAAATAAAAAATATATTAAAAATAACATTATAAAATTTTATTTTATTTTTATCCGATCCCTTGCAACATTTTTTTCCGTTCTCCCTTTTTTGCTTTCCAATTTTTTTGGGATGGACTCTCCCGCTGTTTGCTTTCCTAAATTTGCCTACAAATCTCGTAGTGATCGTAAGCGTAACTCGTGAGTGCGTAACTGACGCACAAGCCGTGCACGCCATCAACATAAAAAATATTATGTAATTTTTTCATTCACCAAGCAATTTTTTTTTTAATTGTTTAATTTTTTAAGTTTTGTTTTTTTTTTGTTGCCGCGTTATGGGGAGTTTACATTTTTTTTTATTTGAAAATCACTGTTAATCTTAACTTTATTATCTAACATTCAATTTTATAATGTACTTGTGATGCTCTTTCATTGATACATTAATAAATCTTCATTGAATAACTAATTGACAGATTTTAATAATAATTTTAAACAAGAATAAATATTGATTTGACTAGATTTCTTGTCATGCATCTTCAAACAGGGTTACATACAAATTACAAAAGTGGATTAAACAGTTATTCAAATATACCAGTTAATAACAAAAATAATCACCGTCAGGATTAAGGCATTTAACGATTGCAATCGAATATTTGTAATTTTATTGAATTGAATCATTCACCATCAATATACAAACTTGGAAACAACAAGCAAACTTCTTTTTAATTTCTCATTCTAAAACGAGTAATTCCGGTTCTCCAGCGCGTGTTCTGCTCTACACAATCAACAATAACATGGCAACATTCGTACGGGACTCCAGCGAAAGGTTTTTAAAAACATTCAACAAAAACACATACACAAAACTTTGTTTTTGAAACATGTTTCTTTACATGCGCCGTCTAAGTTGCCTCTCTTGGCTTGTGTAGACAAAACATAGTTTCTCTAGAAAACAAAATGAGTTTGGAAATTCTATTTTAATGATTTTAAAGACAACAAGAAGAAAAAAGCGCCGCTTTTAAGTTAGACTCTATTTACAGCAGCGAACATTTATGAAAAACTAAAAGTAGAAGATCAGTTTTATTTAGATTATCTGTACTTGCACTAAACCACCAAAACAACTACGTAATAACCATAGCGTCAAAACAAAACACAAACAATACTTATTTAAAGAACCGACTGAACAAATTGAAAATTAAACCAAAATTCCGGATTTTATGTGACAGTACCCTACCTCCTAAGCCACGCGGGGTTATTTTGTGTATATGTTACGGTTAATGTGATAAATTGAAAATTATTAATAATAACCGGTTATTATGAATAATTCCCGACAGTTGCGGTGAAAGTGATAAATTAATCACATTTAACAGTGATTATTTAATAATTCAACCTCAGTACTAACAAATTTCATAAAAGAGAACAACATCTTGTGTACATGTTTGTGTACAGCCAAACTTTTGAACGTTTTGATATCGGCGTTTTAATATAATNAAGCCCAGTCTAAAATAATTTTACTTATTTATGAATAGAATGGTAGTAACAATTGCATCATTCAAACAGAATGTTCAACTAGCTGCCTTTAACCCGCTATAAGGTAGCCAAAATGCTGCAATTTATCTCATTAATAATTCGCTCAGTCAGCAGGAAAAGGAAAAGTAATATTCTATCTTCCTTATGATTGATCTTAACTTCACTTTACGATAACGAAGTAACTGAAATCGTTCTTTAAAGGAACTGAATACTACGTTGCAAGCTATTACCATCTAGTAGGCTTGATGTAGAAGGTAAGTGGTGCGCAACAAAGTTGTATTATCTTACGAGTGGGGTTAACACTTACATGGCCTCCGTCGCCTATTTGGAGGTGGTGAAGCAAACATTTCCATTTCCGAGGATGATGAGGATGAATCTGAAAAAGACGACTCGGATTTCGAGCTTTTCCTTCATCCGGGCCGACAGAAGTCAACCTTTCACCGTCACCACTCTTTACCCTTACACTCTGCATCACTTATATTTCCTATTTGCACATTTTAACTNCACTTACATGGCCTCCGTCGCTTATTTGGAGGTGGTGAAGCAACCATTTCCATTTCCGAGGATGATGAGGATGAATCTGAAAAAGACGACTCGGATTTCGAGCTTTTCCTTTATCCGGGCCGACAGAAGTCAACCTTTCACCGTCACCACTCTTTACCCTTACACTCTGCTTCACTTATATTTCCTATTTGCACATTTTAACTGTGTTTTATTCTTATTTTATACTTATAAATAAGAGAGAAAACATTTTTGCTGTGTAGGCGGCAAAAATCACAAACGCTATGAAATGTCAAGTTGACAGATCACCAATTTCCATAGAAAGTGGTGCCAGCTGGTGTATGAAGAAGGTAAACTAGATGATAAAGCAGAGACAATTGGTAAGTTTTCTTATACCATAGACTAAAATTAGGCAAAGATCATAGACAGCTCTCTCAACAGAACGCTGTGTTTTATTAAGGCACATAATAGCACACAAGTTGAAGTTTTAAAGAAAAGTATACCTGAACATTATTTTAAATGTCGAAATAACATGCAGTTTAATTTTTCAACAGTGTTCTGTTTGCAGATTTGCTTGTAACGGAGTGCAGGATGATTTGATTTGTTGTTAGGCTGTGTAGATGGCGCACCGAACTTGTAAACTGCGTATGCCGAACTGACGTTTTTGGTTATTTTTGTTCTCGCCTCGTGTTTACTTTAGTGTCTAATTTCGGTCCAATTGCGAAAATTCAGTTGTGCAACACCCGAAAGGTTAATATTTCGCTCATAGACGGCATCATCGTGCTGAATAGTATCGATCCGTAGTTCCGGAGTAGGTATATGTATACAGTTTTATCACGTGGTGGTGTGGTGGTTTATATAATTCTTGTTTACCGCACAAGTCGGAACTTTGCGCATGTGCGTCCCGTCAGTAACCTCAAATTGTAGAGTAGGCACGGATTCGGCAGGCTCCGGATATCCGGGTCGCGACGCGAAGTCGGCGGTTCTCGCGGCTGGTTTGTGATGTGCCCTCGTGCAAGTCGTACACGCCCCGTGAGCGGACAGCGTTGGTGATACGGCACTCGCGCGGCTGTCATGGCCCAGACTCAGTTCACGCGGAGCTCCGAGAGCGACGCATGGGCGCTCCTGTCGCTGAAGTCGGCGCCGCCGTCGCCGTCCAAGGTGCAGTGGGCGCAGGAGCCGGCGCCGATCGCCATCGCGCGGCTGGACGGTCGGGACTTCGAGTTCATCATCCGCCAGAAGCGCGTGGTGATCGGGCGCAACTCGAGCCGGGGGCAGGTGGACGTCAACATGGGCCACTCGAGCTTCATCTCGCGGCGCCACCTGGAGCTGTTCTACGACCACCCCGAGTTCTACCTGACTTGCAACAGCAAGAACGGCGTGCTGGTTGACGGCGTGTTCCAGCGGAAGGGCTCGGCCGCGATGCTGCTGCCTAAGAGGTGAGTGCGTCACTTGATAAGGGCTGCGGCCGTTACTCTATTTACATGCACTCATTAGCTTTATGTTTGTAAACAAACTTTTTTGTTTACAATCTACCCACCTGTAGTTTTTAAAAACTATTGGGAAATGTTAATGCTCTGTTGACACATATGGTTCACCTTCATTTAGAATCCACATTGATGCTTTGTTTGATAAACATTATGTGAAAATATGTTTATTGCTCCATCAGTACCTGGAATTGCTCATTTATCTCCTTTAATGACTTGCATGTTTTGAATGTTGGACATTTATTATGTTCTATTTGTTTACAAGTTATCATTAGTCAACAACTACCCTTATCTCAGTTATAAAGAGTGTACACAAATATTGATAGTGGCCGTACATCAGTTTTATATGTATTAATTACATTGCAATGGAGGATAGAAACATACGAACTTCTTATTTGCAAGATAACAGAGTCCAAAACAAATCTGCCATTCAACGTAGTGGATGATGCAACACTCAGAAATAGCACCCATTGAAGATTATAAATATTTATTTGCAAGTCATTGCCACATACTCTTTTGATATAATATTTGCATGGTTTCAAATTAGATTTTTCAACTTTTCATGCTTTTCAAATGGGCTGTAAAATCAAATTTTCTGTTTTGGTTTTTTTGATTACCCACCTACCTTTTTATGCTGGTGAGTAGGTACTTACAAAACATTTACTCTTTTATTTCCAATTTTAAGAATATTTTTTTCAAATACACCAATCTTGTAGCGAACTATCCTCAAGTTTAGAAATATTGTTGCATGGCAACACATAAGCTGCTAAGCTTAGGCTATAATTATTATTTTGCTTTATTACTATAATTAATGTAGGAAAATAACTTAATTTTATAGATATGTCCTTGTATGCACTTATTAGGTATTATGTTTTGCAAAACAGTGCAACTAGTCGAGTAGTAGAACTTAGAACTGACAAATTCAATTATTATAATTTAACCGATATTAATAATTAAATTAAAGTATTTAATTATTACAGTTTTGAACACAATTTAGTACCTTCCTATTCATGTTAATTAATCTCTGTGTATTGTTTGGAAGAGGTAGCTTTCCATTCATAATACAACTTGGATTGTGGCTATGCCTAGTTTTTTTTCCGTTTACGTTTATTTCATACCATTACAATAATCTTGATCTACGATCCATTATGACCTGAATGAACTGTAACTAATATTGTTGATGTTTATTGTAAACTGTAAAGAGTAAATATTTACTCGCACACTCCACTATATTGGGTCATTCAACCATTTGAATGGTGCAATTATATTGCAATTAAGTGGACATTGAACAGTTTTCCTACTATGTACACATTCTTGTGAACACACAATTATTGATATTGTGTCATTAAAAGAGGATTGACCTTTACTTGAATTTATTAAAAAAAAAGATTACTTAGTTACTAGTCCATAATGCTAACATTGAACAACTATCAATCGATCAATGTGAGAAGCATTGGGGGAGGCCTATGTTCAGCAGTGGACATCCTATGGCTGAAATGATGATGACGAATGCTAACATTTGAAAAGAATTGGATTTTCTAGTTGTAAAGAATAATAAGATCTGGCACATGGCTATTTAAAATTCGCCTTTTACTTATGCTGACACAAGCAAGCACTGCTATTATGTGAATAACTTACTAGCAATTTATGATGCAAATAGACTCTTTTATAACTATTATTATTATCATGCATGGCTTGTTGATCTTGAAGTTGCCATTTACCTGTTTATAAAACATATACTCCCCCCCCTTGTTTGCTAGATAAACATTTAGGTCTGCAACCAGTTACACTTAACACTACATTGTAATACACAAGTGTTTGTACCTAGCACTTGTTTGTATTAGTCATAGGGCTGTCAAATTACAGATGTCCAATTTGTGACATGAGAATGTGACCTGTCAACATCTTTCAAGCTGTCTCAAAACAGTCACAATGTTTGTGTTTATTGCAAACCGATGATTCATGTTTTTGTTATGTATGGGTGTGTAGTTAGTTATTATTAATATCATCTAATATTATTACCCAAAGAATTAAAGATTCCTATAAGATAGTTAATTATTAACATTTTGTTTTGAATCATCATTGTCACTATAATAATAACAATCAATAAAGGACTCTCAAAAAGGCACATGATAGTAGATTATTACGAATATAATGTAATTATTAACACAGTTTAGTTTTGTATTTGCTTCCTTGTTTATTGCCCAAATTGATGACAAATGGTCTATCTTTGAAACTCACTGCTCAGGCCCAAAATTACGTACATGGTGTGGTAAATAATTTTTCATGTAACAATTTTTTATGATGGCAACCCTGAGCACGAAGTTTGTAAGACCATGTTTAGTGTTTGAATCTGTGTCACACATGTCCCACTCGCATGTCGTGGCTCCAGCGGCCTTGCGTGTGCCTTCTGTGTGCATGCACCCTATTGCAATGAAAACTGCATGTTATTGCAATGGAAATCCAATAGTATTTAAATTGCTATAAAATTATTTATGAAATTAACAATCAACTGTTACTAATTCCTCTTAAAATCAATGGAATTGCTATTTTACCTGAAAATCAACCACAGTAAAATGTAAAACATCATAGTAGTATTTATAACAACCATAATAATACGATTTTATAGAACTTTTTCCTTACTTTTTCCCTTAAAAGGTAACTTCTCACCGAAATACCAATTGGTGATGTGTAAACAAATGCGTCAAACTTACGCTAATGTTAAGTGAAACCTACTGCATACCTACTACAACCTTTTTGGTACTTATGATTGTATAAAATACTATTTTTATAGAATTTTCTTCAATAAGATTCGATTCTTTGCCCAAACAGGAAAAGTCAATCACAATGCTATTGCAAGTGCATGACAGGTGTGTTGTGGAGAAGTGAAAGTGCATGACTAAGCACTGGCTAAATAACGCTCAGTAGTTTTCCTGCTATATGAGTGTTTATTCCTTATTGTTTTGTTTGATGAATCACTTATTGATTAGTCCAGTATTGATTAATTAATGTGATTAACCTCATCAAGTTTGATTTATTTCAGTATTTGTTGATTTTCTCTCTACTGCCTCGGTTTTTTTATAGTGATCCAATTTAGATTAATTAATACAAATCAAGCTCTCTATGTGTTAAGTAGCTAATTAGAAGCTTGCCATACTCAATAAATAAAATAGACAATACATATTTATTTGTTCACACAATATGCTTAACAAATTGCAAAATTAGTTTTGTATACCACACCAGTTCTGCGTACTATGTGCCTTGCCCATTGCCACTTCAGCTTGCTAATCCGTTGGGCTATGTCAGCGACTTTAGTTCGTTTACGGATCTCCTCATTTCTGATTCGATCTCGTAAAGAAACACCGAGCATAGTCCTCTCCATAGCACGTGACCAACACAAATATATTTTTGAAGTACCGCATGTAGTTATAGCACTTTTAGTAATCCCACTAGCATGTGGCGAAGTGCAAACACTATAAATAATGAGTGGATTCATTCAGGCCACTGCAGTCCCTTGCGACGCCATTATAAATAGTCACAAGGTAATCGTAGAAGTCTAGTACTAGTGCTAGTCGGTGTTTACTCCGCCGCGTGACGAATGTTTGTTTGTGCGTCTGTTGCGTAACGAGCTGATGGTATACGACCGTGTATTGCGTGCGGAAACGCCGCGTCTTTTTGACGCGACATTTTCAACATCAATACGCTGCACTACTGCTGGTAAGATAGCCAGTTCCTTTGTGATTGAGGATACCGGGCAAAGCTCCACCTCGACCTTCAGTTTCCACCTTCGGTCTGATCATCACTTCCCATCAGGTGAGATGCAGGCCAAGAGCTTCCTCTTCGAGGATAAAAAAAATCGCTGATCATGTCAAATAACATATTTTTGGTGGCTTTCAAGGTATTTATTTATTTTGAAGTGTCTTTATCTTAGCAAATGATCCACTTTTCCTAGAAGACTTTTTCTTATTTGCCAGATAACTCGATATCATGATAAAACTGTTTCATTTCGTATATTTTCTATAAGATTGTGTCGTAAACAGGAAAATTACTCTTAACATTGCTAGAAAATATCTTTGTCATGAGATCTTTCTACAGGCCCTTTGCCAAATCTTTAGCTGGCGTTTCCTATAGCAAACATTTTGCGCTGTAATAATGTTGAGGGCGTTGCTCGGCAAACTCCCCAGCCGTGTGTCACCGCGGCGACACACGGGGGCAACTGCCAACGATGCGCGTTGCGCAATGCGCCGCTATGTTGGTAAACACATGTTTTGCTATTGAATAGATAATAACTAGTTATTAATCTACAACGGGGAGGGTAATGAAAATGTAATTAAAGCGTTGTTTACATTCGAGACAGATTTCATTGAAAAGTTATTTACGTTCGCTGTGTTGACTTGTTTTGTTTATCACCGGTCTATTATATTATTGATTGGGAAATTGTTGTTGTGAAGCAGAACTAAATCCTTTTCTCTCTGATTCCTTCGAGCTTTATTGGTTTATACTATAGGACTACGCCAACTCGTAGTTTCATTTCTCAATGTTATTGTTTGTAACAGGACGCCTTGTAACCTCAGGGGTTATAGAAATCTCTTGCCGTGTGGGCTTTAATAACTGAGTCATCACATCTAATCGGATAGTTGGAGTCGCTCGATTTAAGAGATTCAATTCTTGTACCTTTGCCATTTGTCATATCTTTTGTCCATCAACGTCTGCTGACGTGCCTGCACTAGGTATTTAATATCTGTTGGGAATGCCATATTGATCCACGACAACAATGCATCCAGGGATCGCGCGGCTAGCATCTTACGCTGCACTTGACGTTGCAGCAGACAATCAAAACCCCCCGCAGAAGCGGCCATGTTTTATCTGTCGAGTTGATCTTTTTCTAGTTTTAACTGGTTGCGTTTTAGAAGTCGTCAAGATATCTATAGATTTTGCTTGCGATACAGGAA